TGAGGAGTTCCCTTAACAATTACACTTCTTCATCATCAGACCCTTAATGACAGCCCCACTCTATATAGGTGTAAAGTCCTCATCAATACAAATTAATCAAGCCCAAACTCAAGGTAGTTACTGTATACTGTTGAGGAGTTCCCTTAACAATTACACTTCTTCATCATTAGACCCTCAATGACAGCCCCACTCTATCTAGGTGTAAAGTCCTCATCAATACAAATTAATCAAGCCCAAACACAAGGTAGTTAATATAAACCGCTGAGGAGTTCCCTCGACTGTCTGTCGACTCCATCATCAGGTCGACTCCAGACCCTTATCTAATTGTAGTGTTTAAAATTCTTAATTGGAAAACATAATAAACGCATTACTCCCCCATAGAATTTTCGAAAGTTCCCCTCGGTTTCCCTAGGATCCCATCATCAGATCCTGACTTCATGGAAATGGGACCATCTCGGGAGTACACCCTTTCAAACAAAACAAAATTTTTTGAAAAAACAACAATCAGCCGAACATAGTACCTCCTCCTTTTTTTGAAGTCGGTAAAAAGATTAGACATAACATTCGTTTGACGAACGTAAATGTGTTGTGTGAACTCGTGGAGTGACGTCGGTAAATATATTTTTATTACATGCAAGTGTTATTTGTTATGTTATTATATTGCTAAATAATTAATTTAATATTAAACCGGTTTAAGTTAGGATATGCTTTGTTGTTTATGCTTGAATGCATTTATAAAGGTACCTACCTATGTATTCATTTAACGATTTCACGTCTAATTCATTTTACTTAATTTCGTTATTAAGTTCGAGGATAGTTTAGAGTTTTTATATTAAAACTAGCGGACCCTACAGACTTTGTCCTGCATATAATATAATAGGTATAGATAAATAACCTAGATACCGACTGCCGCCATCTGCCGGGCTGTTTTGTGAATCTAAACCATTCCCAGATCCCATTGAACACAAACAAAAACTTTCATCAAAATCGGTGCAGTCGTTTGAGAGAAGTTCAGTGACATACACACTCACAGAAGAATTATATATATAAAGATGAAATTAAACGAAGCAAACGCATTTATTTTAGTTAAATATGCACTTTTTAAATACACTTCATTTTTAAGAACACTTTTAAACTATTAGTTCCTTGAAATTACAACACAAAATTGAATATTACTTGTCAATTAAGTCATTAAAAACTCGAAACAATGTAACTAATTAGACTGTTGTCTACAAAATATATAGTATACCTATACACATATACGTTATTTCTAAATTAAACTGAATCCCTTGACTATTCTAATATTTAGACTCCAAAGTACGAGTACAATCACTTGTGTACCTACGTTTTGCAGCAAGCAAGCATTACTAAGCATTTATAGTTTTTGTTTACTTACAGAACTTTTTTATTAAAGTTGTTTTACGTCAGTTCTTGCACAAGGAGAATATTTACTTTTAATATTAGCCGTTTGGTTAGGCTTTTTTAGGTACGATTCGTCATTTTTGATGTCTTATTAGTACATGATTGGTCGCTAAGCGAATTGCTAAATGTGATATTTAGTTCCGCGCGGTTTCACACGCTCTGCTAAGCTCCTATTGGTCGTAGCGTGATGTTTTATAACCTATAGCCATCCTCGATAAACGCGCTATCCAACACAAAAATAATTATTCAAATCAGACTTGTAGTTACGGAGATTAGCGCGTATAAGATATAGGATATACCTATTATACATCATCATATCAGTCACAAGATCACACCTTCCTTTTTTTATGGGGTATGTCGGTATACTAGCAGACGGATCACCTGATGGTAAGCAAACGGCGTCGCCCTTGGACACCTGGAACACCAGAGGCGTTACAAGTGCGTTATCGCCCTTTTGGAGATTAGGAGTTTGAAGATTCAGGAATTGGGGAGATTGGGGAAGGGGAGGGTAATTGGGCCTCCAATTCACGTCGGTTTTCTGTGAGGCCGTGGCGTCACTCCGGTCGGGCCGGCCCATTCGTGCCGAAGTATGGCAAGACTAAAAATTAAACCTTTAATGATCTTTACCAAAACTACAAGAAAACAATTTTTGGCATCAGCAATCGGTAGCTACACGACCAAGACCCCGATATCAGTCACTTGTAATTGCAGCACTTATTTGTCAATTAACGACAAAGTTGGCAAGAGATCGCGTGTGACTTACCGTACGTCACGCCTTGTCACGACACTAGGACTCGCCTCAGATGACCGTCAACATGTTATTAAAGTGACATCCACCATCTTTACTCCGTGACAGGAAACGAGTGAACACGAACAATAATTATTGCAGGCATTTTTATTGAAGGTGCTTTGTCATAAAGAAGAAGAAGTCATGGTTTTGGTCTAACATTTAAAGCCTTCAGCTAATATCAAGTTTTTCAAGATTTTTTTTAAATACCATCACCCCCACTCTCCACTCAGGTGTTATAGAAGTCAATTAAGGAATTACTCATTTAACAGGGATTGAGCAACTGTAGCTCTCTCAAAATACTTTTTTTTTGTGGGATAAACCGGTAAACGAACTGACGGATGCTAAGATGGTAAGCAATCGGCGCCGCCTATATACACCTGAAACCCTAGAGGCGTTACAAGTGCGTTACCGGCCTTTTGGGGATTAAGAATTGTGGGGGATTCGAGGATTGGGGATACTGGGAAGCGGGGGTAATTGGGCCTCCGGTAATCTCACTCACACAAGGAAACATAACGCAAGCGTTGTTTCACCTTGGTTTTCTTCGAGGCCGTGGTATCACTCCGGTCGAGTCAGCCCATTCGTGCCGAAGCATGGCTCTCTCACACTTAATACTGAACTTATTTAACTACGATGTGATATAGAGGAGACTCTATGAGAACTGTTAATGTTGACTAGCTCAATACAGATAGAATGACAATCAGAAATATAATTCCAGATACCAATCGTATTCACAATGGCTGTGGCCGATAATCGTGAGCAACAATTGTACCGATTATTTATACAACCAGTAGTTACCAGGTACACAATGGTCGCACTGACGTAGCCAATCAGGATGATTGTTTGGGCAACACACGTGGCCCGGAAAGGTAGTGGTTTCCTATGTATTGACGTTTCCCGGAAAATTGGTACCAATGTACAAACATGTTGTGACGTCTATGTTGCCAAAAGTATTTTGTTGTATGTAGATATAGGACAGTTTGCCTGAAGTATAAGTACTTAGTTTTATGTGAATACTGAACGTTACTTAAAGTTTAACCAATGTCCTATTATTGATACACAACTGTCAGTTAGGTAGAACAGTTTTTTTATGATATAAGCAGGTTACGGGTATCCTGATGGTAAGCAATCGGCGTCGCTTATGGACACCTGGAACAACAGTGTTACAAGTGCGTTACCGGCCTTTTGGGAATTAGGAATTTGAGGATTGTTGTGGATTCAGGAGTGATTCAGCAAATATGAAAAGCAATAATTTTAAGACGCTGTGCAAAATTTATAATTGTTTGTTTTTAAACCTCTAACCCTTGGTCCGGCTCGACGTGCAGCAGAAGGAACGGGGTGGTTTTTAGTCAGTAAGAGTCTGACACTCCCTCCCGCCTCACCCAGGCGGGAGCAGACTTTCGATGATTTTCCCCCCTTAAAAAAAAACCCTTTGAGTACGGTCATTATAGACACAATTAAAGAACAATAGGTGTGCGGACACCGGTGTCCTCGCGGTGTTTGACAGTTTAACTCATATAAAATATGAAATAGCTCACATTGTAAAAATAAATACCTTTTAATAGTAGTCCTCTAGAAAATAGATCCTAATCCTAGCACCATAATGGGTAATGAATTAGGGATTACCCATAACTGCAGCCATTTGCAACTGCAAGATATAATTAAAGCACATTAGCTATTTTTAAAAGATTGCTATCAATAATCTCGCGAGTATTAAATGAATCGGATTTCCCCAAAACGAGGTATTGTGTGCCATTGTATGAGAATTGTATGAATTTGTGTGTGATAGTCGTTACACACATACAATGCACGTTGAGCCGGAAATATATTATTATTTGGTGTTTGTGCAACAATTGGGTGTAAACATTTTTTGTGATGAAATTGAAACTGTATTGAATGAGTTGTTATTTTTGAAATTCGTGTCTTATTAATGAGTTGACATTGTTCATTAGATGAAAGAGTATTGATTTATTAACTTCATAAAAACAAAAACTGCGTTCAAAAAATTGACTTCGAAAACCAAAACCTAAAAACAAGCAAAGGTCAAAACTAAAAAGCAATAAATAGATATTTATTAGTCATATACATACTTATAGGTGAGAAGTCGGTGCCACAAGTTTTAAACAAAGGTTATTTTGTAAACCCTTAACAAATACCTTATATTATCTACGCCGTGTACAATTTTATGACAGGATATAGGACCCTTAACCTAAGTTATGTTTATGTTATGGGCCCCCCATACAATTTTGAAAAGTTCCCCTCGGTTTCCATGGGATCCCATCATCAGATTCTGACCTGGTGGAAATGGGACCACCCCGAGAATATGACCTTTCCAACAAAAAAGAATCAATTATTATGTTTTCGGCTTACTCACGTAATAATTTGACGAGAAACTCGACTAGTTTCAAGCCATGCTAGTGAGTAAGCCGAAAACATAATAATTTATTTAGTATGTCTCACGAAAGTTACAATACAAAAAAAAGAATCATCAAAATCCGTCCCCAAACGCCGGAGTAAAAAAAACATACAGCCGAATTGACAACCTCCTCCTTTTTATAGGTCTGCCTAGTTTGGAAATCAGGGTTTAATAATTAATTTGCGCTACCACTTCTGTACCTTAGTTTAACCCAAAGGAATGTACAAATCCATTGGTGTTCAATAAAGAATTTATTATTATTATTTTGGGAAGTCGTTTAAACATACTTTTAACTGTTGAGAGTGAATTAGTTACGTGTGAGCGTACGATACATACATGTATTTTTTAATTAAAATTTATTTATTTTTGTTGCAGGAATGTCGCGAGGCAGTAGCAGCGTGTCACCATGGAGGGTGGGCAGCAGTTACGGTTGCTGCTATGGAAGGACTACCTCATACGAAAGAGAAAACTGGTCAGTACACTATTGTTATTTATACATCAATCTGACTTACAGTTCCCTTATAGAGATGATGAGAGACGATGGCAAATCCTATTATGTAGAAAAGATCCATACTTAAACAATGACCTGCCACGGACTGTTGATGATGATGAATGAACTACTCTGGGTTTCAGTGGTATATATAGGAGTAAATCTTAGTATGGGTCAACTTGAATTTAAAAAAAGAGAACAAAATAAATCTTAACAGAATTATGAAATGAAATGAAAGAGTTTTATTCGGCATACGGCATGAATGCAAGGAACAAAAAAAATATACAATTTGACAAATTAAGTAACAATATAAAAGTTTAACACAAGAGAGACAAAAAAAAGATAAGATGAATTACGTAATCAAGTAATTCTCAAATAAAATGAAAAACAAAATTAAAAATATCGTCATCATATACTTAATTTTGTATTACATTTTTGTTCTATTGATTGTATGTGTATTGAGTAATAAAAGTATAATTAAATGGTATTTGTACCGTTCTATTCAAATAAATAAATAAAATACGATATTATTTGTAAAATTCGTATTTCGAATCTTTCAAATAAGTATGCGTATTTCGAATCTTTCAAATAAGTATGCGTATTTAGAATCTTTTAAACCGTGTTTTAACCAATGAACCATTATTTACAGATAACCATAGTGGGAATAATATGGGCCACACTGGTGATGCTCAGTTTGTACATAGTGAGGATCAACGTCGACAATGTGGACTATCCTACTTGTAAGTTATATTTATTTATATCATCGTTTTAGGCTCATAAATTTCCATACTCATCTAACTCAGGGTACAACCATAATTATGTAGATTAGGGGGACAATTGATTTGTCTCGGAAATGAACCCGCGACACGTTGTCAGGCGTCAAACTGCACAGAGTGAATAACCTCATTAAGACAACATTTAGTCCGTTTAAATGTAAATAAACCAGATTTTAAAATACCTTAAAATTTTTGACAAAATTCTAAACAAAACATTCTAAACAGATAAAACTTTGAACTTTATTAAAAATCGATAAAGTTGAAATTCAAATGTTTTATTGCAGTTATTTCCTTTATTTTTTTTTATTTCACACATAGATGTGAAAAAAGCATATCGATAAAAAAAGGTTAATGAATTTTGACCTTTCAAAAATTTTAATTCAAGCGGAGATCTAGAAAATAAAATTTATTCACATGCGATATTACGCAACAAAATCAGGCAATTCAAAAAGGTTTGCAATATAAAAATATTTCTCGGTATATTAATAAAAAACTGAAATAACATCAACTTAAGGTTCATCATTCAGTGCTATGCACCGTCCTATGATTATTTTTAAGGGATAGGGGGAAGAGGTAGACGAGCATACGGTAAGAAATTAACTAGTAGACGGTAAGCTATCAGCGCCGTCGCCCGTGGATACTCACCACACCAGACGAGGATGCTTTTTTTTATGACGACCTGACGAGGGAGAGTCTTCAAATGGCACCAAGTTTTTTGCGGATAAAAGACTAGGTAGTGTGAGAATTTTACCGCACTACCTAAAACCTAAAAATGGCACTGAGTCCTCTAACAGAGGGTCCTGCCCCGGAGCCCCCACAGTGTAACGACTGCTACGACACTCTCCTAGACGTGTGTCTCCCTTGAGCGTCGTTGTGCACTGCGCCACGTGCCTGTGCCACCGTCTTCCCCAAGGGCATTGAGTGGGCACATAGAGTGAGGCTCTATGCGCCCGTGGCCCCGGGGAGTAAATGCCTAAGACGAGCCTACAACATAGGCTATCGACATAGGATTTTAAGCTTTAATAAGGTCTGCGCTTTCTCGGTAGCGGCCGTTCGGGAACCGGTATGCGTGAAAAGGGCCTAATTATCTACGTTTTAGAATCACCATCATTATCATCACTATCGTCACTCACTGCTGTGCGAGGGTTCTCACTTTTCTCTTCTGTGGAGACATATTATTCTATGTTGTATTGTCCACAGGTACGTACCCTGCGCGTGCGCTGCCCAGCGCTGGCATGCTGCCGTTCCTACAGTCCTTCATGTGCACCATCAACAATGAGTGCTCCCCGCTCGACCTATACGATGAGATACCTTTCTATGAAAAGTCTAAGTAAGGATTATTTTCAAATATTTAAGTAATCAAGTAAAACTGATACGTTGAACGAATGCTCGCAAGCGTGGCTGCTAGGCGAGGTCTCTTTTCCATGTCCAGCCTAGAAAAACCATTAACACCGTTTTTATTTTTAGAAAATTTTCTCTAGGTTATCGAACTTAACTCTAGATTCCATCACGCTATTAGTGAGATTTTTTTCGAAAAACTGAAAAAACCTTACAATACTTTCCCGATTCCCTGAAATATAGTTAAACCATTTTTGTTTGGCCACTCGATCAACGAGGCAGTTGACTAGCATAATTGGTTAGTCTGTTTATGGAATAGGATTGATATGTATTATACTTTAATTTACTCTTTTTTAAACTTTTATTATTTTCACTAGGCTCACACAACTGCAGCGGACGTTAGCTCCAGTACTTAATGACACAGTGCTGGATGTAGCGAGTTCAGTACCTGACGCTATAAAACTACTCGCTACGCTAGCAGATGTAGTGGATGAACCAGCATTTATAGAAATTAGCAGTAAGTTATCAATAATTTATATTACTCACACGAGGAACATTTGGTCCTGTCAGTTAATCGTAGCTAATTTAATTTTATAATAACCTAGGTAAGGTTACGTGATATACCTTTTTTAAGTGCTGTAGAGAATTTCCATTAATTTATAATAATACATAACATATACATTCCTGTAATATGAATTTCTTAATATTAATGATCTGTGAAAATGCAGCGTCAATGAAAAAGCATGCAAATTAAGTCCAAAATTACTTTACATCTATCTATCTACTCTTTGCAGAGAATGGTCTAAAAATAAAAGACTTGTTCGAAAAGCCTTCGAGAGTAAGACGGTACGTGTCAGACAAGCTGCACATAAGTGATGACGTCACACGGAGCATCATGAATGCTGAGCTAAGCTTACAAGGTGTAAGTTTGTGTTTAGCTGGAAATAACTTAATAACCAAACATTTAGAGACTGTAGACGATACTTATGTAACTCTTAACCAAATTGAAGGACTAGTTTTAGTGATGTACCTATAATTAATATCTATTAACAATATAATGTGTTATAATATTGATATGAGTAACTTAATTATTGAACTTTAAAGAAATTACTCAATGACATTCTTAACCCTTTTAATAAAGACTTAAATTAATATGAACGCAAGGTTAATATTAATGTTAATTACCACTTAGTAGATACTAAAATATAGACTAATCTCTATATGGATAATAAAAAAAAATTAATTCAATATCTGATCAAACTGGTCTTGAAACAGATTTTCTTTTAAATGAAGTAAAAGATGTTAATAATGACCCTTCACTTACAGATAATGAAAGGCAACATAGACAGATGTAGCACAGCGTCTCTAGAAGAAACGATTGTAATGGAGAACCACGATCACATGATCATATTGAAAGAAAAATTGTGTTCCATGTCAATGGAGGAACTACAAAAGATGTTCATTGATATCTTGTTCCAAGTAAATTATAGTAAATATGTGACAATGGTAAGTACAGCTACACTTGATGGTGATGATGACGGTGATGATGATGATGATGTTAATAAAGAATATATTTTCCAGTTAGGAGATATGTACTACAAAATGTCTGGAGACAAACGTTTGAACGCTATCGGCAACATGTTGACGGCAGTGCTACGTATGATGAGACTCCAGAACTTCTTACCGCGGGAGCTGGTCTCCATATTCCAAGGTCAAGATTCGGATTTTAGTTACATGAAGCTTACTTTGTAAGTAACATAGTTTTATAGGTACTTATTAAAATAATGAAGCAACTTGTTTGAGCTGTTGCGAATAATGTTCATGTATATTTTCATTTTAGAATATCAAAGCTCATGGATCTATTTAAACCAACATTTGGCGATACTCAGTCTTTTGCAATTATCAACGGGTTTTCCGATGCCATTGTAGTGGGACTGCAGTATATGGATAAAGTTTTTGCCAAACAAAGAAATAGTAGTATAGAGGTAACAAATAATAATGAAACTAAAAACGGTTTACAAGCTATTTCTGATGTATTCCACAATGCTGCAGAAGTGTTTGAAGAAGATATGCAAAAGGATTCATCTATCGACGCATTCAGTGTGTAAGTACAGTATCTTAAACAACAACGGTGTGAATTCAAAACAACCTTAAACTAATTTAAATTGTGCACATTTCAGCTTGACACAAATCATGAACTTCATCACAAAGTTCCTCCCTGCTAACACAAAGCATGATGTTCTATTTTATTCAACTCTTCTTGCCAAGCTGATGGAAAGTGCCCAGAAAGTCGTCGATATAAACATGAATATTGAGCACTTGACCTATAACGTTACCCTGAGGCATCCCGGCGCCGTTGATATTCTTAAAGAATTACCACCAGTAGTCGTTGGCAAAGCCTTTGAAGCTTTAGCTGATGCTGAGAGGACACAGGTATACTAGTTTGTGTTAAAATCTAAAATATTTATGAGTTTGAAATAAAATATTTATGACTTTTGAAGTACTGATTAATTCAGTGCTTTTGAACTAACGCCTTTGAAAAATACATAAAATTTTGTTAATGTTTCAGATTCTGACGTCAAAGATTAACCTTCCAGGGCAAATGTTCTGTGACACTTACAAGCTCCAAACGTTCTTCGTTGTATCAAAAACTGAGGCAGAATCCTTGAAGAAACAACTATGTACAGATGTTTGGAAGAACTATGTGTCGGATCTAGTAAAATCGTTTGGAGTCTTTGAAGTGAAAAATAATGTAAGAACAACTGACATTTTATAGCTGTCTGATACAGTTAACAATTTTTCATAGGCACATTTTAATCATAACATTAATCTTCTACAGATCAATAACATGGCATCCCTTTTAATTCAAGAAACTCTTGGCAAGGACACAAATGACCAGCTGTACACGATTGAGCAAGATTTTAAAATCCTCCAGAATTTCACTCAGGCTCTGGTGAGCATCCAGTCTGAACACCGTCAACCAGTGGACTGGAACTCACTGTTCCACGTCCAGGAAGACTCCGAGGTCATGAAGGCTGTTCGAGCTAAAAGTCATCTTGGGAAACAAATATTGTAAGTAAAACTTTCTCAAGTTTCTGAAGGTTTGACACTTGGATGGAACTTCTGGGTTAAGTCAAAAGACATGTTACATATTTCTTGATTTTTTTAGAATAGTAATTCACGGTGCCATAGCAAAGGAAATCGTGCATCAGAATCCAATCCTCGACTTTAAGATTTCTCCGTATTTGAATGATGTCATCATCCTGGTGTCGGCGATAAACGAACAGCTTGAGAAGAGCTCTGAGAGTCAGGCGAAAGCGTTCAAGGAAGTGTATGCTGATGTAGTTGTGGCACTACTGACAACTGCGCTTAATGAGGAAAAAGTAAGTACTACGTCAAAATAATGATTTTTCAAAGTGCTGATAAAAACACCACGGTTTCTTCACCTTATTTCACTTCTATATTCCAGACTTACAAAGCTCTGTCAAGCAACGGAGTAGATATGTTTTGTAATGGAGTTGAAATAGCTGATGCGTACCTAATACTACCACTAGAAGACGATAAAAAGAAGAAAATCATCACATCTCTGTGTGATGCTACCGTCGCCATTGAGAATGGACTGGAAGCTGACTCTGTTGTCTCTAAAGCCGTAAGTTTGTCCTTTCCTAATTTAGATATATAAATAGCTAACCGTCAAATTATATAGACGTCATATATGTAGGTACACTGTGGTAAACAGGTTCACTTCATATAAATTAACCTTACATGCAATAACATTTTTGCTAAACAATGTCGATTCAAGTAAGGTTTTATTTCCTTCTATGACTTCCAGATCCAAACCATCATGAACTCCGCTCATCCGGTGGTGACACTGAACTGGAACAAATTGATAAACAACTTGAAGAACCTGTACACAAAGCTGGACAGAGACTACCCATACCTGTTCCAATTCCAGACATACAATATAGATAATTCTACTAAGAAACAGGTGAATTCATTATTTGCCGAAGCCAAGGAATATTGGTTTGGAGTGAAGAATATGGAGAGGAGTTTGAGGTTAAGGTAAGGAGATATGAATTTTATGTACTTGATATAAAAACGTCCAACAAGAAAACTGCTTATATTATGACAGTGGACTATGATGAAATAAATGACGAACATAATATGTAGTTGTAATTATGTGATACTTAAAGACTTTAAGAGAAATATAGACTAAAAACTATTTTGATGCCTTTGATTCATTTGACTTGCTTACTTTCGCATAATTTACATCGTTTATCCACTTTATTGAAATTTCAGATCATAATCAATAATATTTTTTTCTATTGCAGCTTCAAATTCGCATTCCGCTTTCTGGACATTTTAGACTATGGCCTGTTCAATATGAACTCCCAGTTCTGGCTGAGGATGAAGTACATCATCACCAGGATCGTTGGACCTATGAAAGTTTTTGATGAAACTGTTAGACTGGTGGCAGGTAAGAGGACAATAAAAATATTCTTTACGTATAAAACAACATCGCGTAAATATAATGAACTTAATATTAAATTAGACTAGTAGAATGCATTTGTGTCTTGGAGTTATAATGCCCACTCTAAGATCTCATTGGCGGTGGCACGTGCATTGGATCGCTCGATTCCGGGCGCTGTCAACTGAGACTGGTCAGCTCCAGACTGCATTATTTATTGTCCTTAGGTTATTTTCTTTTTAGACCTCTTTGATTGGATTTTGGTGTTACATTGTTCTCGCACAATCGAACCAACAAAACTGTAACTGGAGAATTGTATTGTGAACCTGATTGAAAAAGAGTAACCTATGGAGTTTCTTGCTCGTTCTTCTCCATTGGAATCTACAACTTAGAATGAGCAAATAGCTTCACTTTTAATTTTTTTTCTTGACATTCAGAAGTGCTTTCCTTGTCTAATTGAAATAAATTATTTTGACTTTGACTTATAAACATTATTTTAGTTTTTCTATTAAAATGCATATTTTCAGATATTTCATGGTATCATATGAAGATATCTTTTACGAAGTTCTAACATTATCTGTCTTTTAATTGCAGCGTTACTGACAAATGATACCTACACCAGTGACCTACCGCCCGCTACAGTAGCAGCGCTGGAACACATCATACCGAACATACCACAGTTGACCGTCGATGCTGTTAATATTATCAAAAATAATGATACAGATGTAAGTAACCAAGGAAGGAGAAAGAATAAGAAAGAGATATTTAAAAGCAGTTAGACAAAATAAAATGAGGTTATAGAGACAAAACAAAGAGTATAAAAGAACTAAAATAGAAAAATACGCAAAAATTATACACAATTTGAGCCTAATGCTTAGTATTAGGTATACAAGAAGAACTTGAATATATATTGCCAAACATTTCAGGTACAAGCAGTTATATCTCTCCTGAACTCGGATCCACCATGGCCCTGCTCCACATCCAGCTTGGGAAAACTGCTGGCCTTAACCCCCACCTCCATGGAGGCTGTAGTCGGGATGGAGACCATCATGTGTATGAACAAACAGTTTCAAGACGAATGGATTGCGTATCTCGATAGCAAGAACGTGTCTTTGAGTGTAAGTGAAATTGTGAATCGAATAATCACTCCTCCCCTTCCCCCTGCTTTAAGGTGGAGCAATTCAAACAGTTTGATATAGAGCTCAGAATACGTTTGTAAAACCTATAGTATTAAGTGACTGCCTCGTTGGTCGAGTGGTCGCAAGTGCGACTGCCGGGCAAGGGGTCTCGGGTTCGATTCCCGGGTAGGGCAAAGTAATACTGAGTTTTTAAAAAATTCTCAGTAGTAGCGCGGAGTCTGAAATTGTGCCCGGTATATGGCAATAGGCTCACTCATAAATAGTGAAAAGTGGGTGTTACATTGTAGTGGCATAATGTGCACCTTTGCCTACCCCTTCGGGGATAAAAGGCGTTATGTTATGTTATGCTATGTTATTATGTGTCTGTAGGTAGGCAACACAGTCCGTTTAATGCTTGCCAACAAGCGAGCCATAACCTGCCAATATTACGTAGTATTTATAAAATATGGCGATGAACGGTCTCATAACTACTGTTAAAATTTCCAGAACTTTACCACGTGGAACACTACCGACTACCGGCCCCACCTCTTCCTCGAGTTCTCCTCATCGTTCGACTCTTTGATGGAAGATATCGTCATTAGCAGGAAGGCCTTGCAGGATGCCTTCAGTGGCACTGCTAATGGAAGGCTAGGGTTGAAGGACGCTTGGGATTATGCTGTGAAGACACTCAATACTACAGACAGAGATGAAATAATGAGGTTTGTTGAAAAAGATTCTTCTGCGTGTATACCGCATAGTTTTACATCAACGCTCGCTTCTTCAATAGTCGAGTGTTAGAGAATGTCTATTTATTGTCAGACTTTAAATTAAGAAATTGGGTTTACATTCCTAACTTCTACAACTTTTCCATTTTAGGTCTATGTTCACCAAAATCGATACAGTGTTGAATACATTGAACACCTCGTCGATACCAAGCAATGTTTCCATGAACAACCTCTTCGAGAGGTACACCAAGTGTATCATGAACGGCATGGACGATGACTGCAGACTCCTCGGCAGGAAGGCGTGGCAGAACTTCTTCGAATCATTCTCTATTATACTAGAGAATATTGCCACCGATTTGTTGACTTACTTCCGAGAAGCTAATGGTAAATCCGCCATGATTATCTCTTAAAAACAGGATATGTTTTACTTTCTTTTGCTAAATCTTATTTTGTCTTTCACAGAACCCAATTCAAACATATTGCAAATGTTGGGTTTTACACGAAGTACTGGTTTGTATATCTTATACGACAAGATGCCTGAGTTTATGGCAGTTTTACTAAATTCCTATTGGGACTATGGATTCATGAGCCAGGTAATTTTGAAATCGACTATGAATAATTATTTCATTAGAGTTAAGCAAAAAACTTATGATTTTATACTTCTAGGTCCGAAGAGCGACACTTTCCCAATTCTGGGACTGTGATGCTGTACTGTCTTCCATGGTAGCTCCTCCAGGTAGCGTCATAGATTCAACCTTCATGAACAAAGTGAAACCTTTCGTTTGTCCATCATTGCTGCACTGGATTTCTCTGCCAAGGGGAGATAATACATTACTTGATGTGTTTGCTAAACCCGTGAGTAAAAGAAAATTATTACGAAATAAAAAATATCATACATATTTTTACATCAAATTTTTTTTTTATTTCTTCCAGCAATACTTCTTCTTCACATTGCCCGTATCAAACCTGACGAGTAGATTTGAAAAAGCTTACACCAAAGCTACAGAGTTAACCAATTATTTGACTGAAATATCAAAGAAGAATCAAACTTTACTAACAGAAGAAGACGTTAAGATGAACTCAATCGAAGGAAAACTCAAGAAAGTTGTTGATGCAGTTGTTACCTTCAAAATCGATGAAAATAACCCATCATATCGATTGTTTAATGAGATTAATTTGAAACAATTCGCAGCGAACGTATACTTGACGAGAATAGTTAGTATAATTAACAAACTGTCGACAGAACTCACCAATTTAAACATAACAGAAGTAGTCACCGGTACTGATGAAGAAATAAAAGCAGCTGCAGCTGACCTACAATTGATCAAATATTTATTTAGAAGAAAACCTACAGATGCTATAAACATACACTTTGATATAATAACCGATGTTATATGGGCTAATGATGAGAATTATACTCTTGTAGATGCCTTTGACAAAATGTGTAAGAATTTGAACACCAATGCTAGCAAAAGTATATTAGTAAGTGATGATGATAAAGCAAGAGGACAGATCTGTGCCAAGCGTTATAATATTATTTATAGTGCTGTACAAAATATTGCTGTTCCTGACTATAATGATACAAGACAAACTCTGTTACATGTAGTAGACATACTGAAAACTGACAATGAAACAGTAACAGATGTATTTGAATTCCTCAGTCACAGGTAAGCACTTAGAAATTAAACGAAAACCCTAATAGTAAAACTATTATCGTAACAAAAATAACTCTTTATTAAAAATAACACTAATCTTATGTCCACAGAAAACAGCTAATCACATCATTGAAGACATCGACAAAACATGCCTACGACCTTAGCATTCCTATCTACCTGAAGTACTTGCATTCGAACATTCAGAGTTATAACGTCATCCTAGGCTTCTTAACTGGTGAAAACTGGTGGCATCTTCTAACGGACCTGTACAACGGACCATATGCCACCAAGTTCTTTGGTTACTTGGAGAACAGTTTCGAGGTCGCTGAAGATTTGCTTAGTAATTTCGACGATATACATGTAAGTTAAACATGAAATAAGATAACATTAAAAGAAACAAATACTAAACTAAAAATGTCATTCTAAACGAAATTGTTACTAATTTATTCATGTCATTAATTCTTTCTTCAGGTTATCCGTCTTCTTCATGACATTGATGTGAATCAGACAGAATGGGTCTGTCTGCCAAACATCACGCTGTCAGACTACATTCCCGATAAGACGGGATTATGGTCTGATCTGAAGGAACAAATATGTAACGTAGATAAGGCCGAACTATATAAAGAAATACCACCACTTCTGTTTGCGTCGCAAGTAAGAGGAATATATTATCAAATCTTGATCTGCAGTTAAAAAAAATGTGCACTGTGGAAAATTTTCTGTAAAACTAATCTGTGTAAAGCTAGAATGAGAATCCTCATTTCATTTTCAGGGTTACGAGAGTTCCTTAAGATTGCCCAAGAACATTGACAACGATGAAATTGACTCAGACATTTCTGAGATTGAATCAAAGCTGGACATCATCAGAGACGGCCCTAAATCGCCACAGAACCCACCATGGGTGACAGATGAGAAGGTGGAACACTTTAGGAAGGTGGCACTGGGGTTGCTGTCCAAAGAAACTTTGACCAAGATCTCATTTGCTATACTGAGCAATGGGGTTGATGCTGGCACTCTGTTCTTGAATAACAGGTAAGTTAACGTAGTCACTAGTACCATATTAGCAAAAAGTATGAATCGAAAATTGTACAGGTCATTATAAAAAAACATCTCTTCCAGCCAGTGCACAGTGTGCTCTCAGTTCACGACGTGGTTCAAGCAGCTGAACCTGCAGCTCTTTAAAAAGCAGGAGTACGACAATTTGCTATGCCATCTGAACACAATGAGCTTGGAAGATGTGTATCACGCGCTGAAGAACGACTTCCACTGGGACATGGCTATTAAAGAGGTAAGTGGAAGATGATGATGAGTTGCGAATGCATATACTAATCTATAGTCAGCATAATTAATAAACCATTTAAATAAACAGACATCACAATACATCAGCGCCATACGGTGACCACAAAAGCGATACCTCTCATTATAATACAAAAATGTAACAAAATTCGATGACATTCCAGTTAATTTCGACAAGGAACTACACAAAGTACGAGATGAACAAGTCCATGAACGAGTTTTTAGGACAAGTGAAGTTGCACCTGCTGGAGGACATCAGTACAACGAACACAAAGGTGACAGAGTGCCTCGCTAAGAACGTCTCTAGAAATGAATTTGGAAATGCCACAATGTAAGTGCTAATGAATTAGCTAACTTTTTCACCTGTTTATTAATTGTGAAACCATTTTCTTTCATTAACAGATTTTAGGTATCTCCAGTAACGTGCCACCGAGATTATTAAGCTTTCCATGTCCAATGAGTTCGGTTTAGTTAAGTTCAAGGTCACCATTACATCATTTTGAGGAATAAGACAACAAAACCTTTTATTAAATGACTTACATATTAATTTTTCATTCTTCCTTTCTTTCCCAGATTTGCCTCAGTCCTAGCTCAAACCGGCAAATTGCTCAGAGCTGAACTGCCTCACATCCACGAAGTCGACGGCATTAAAAGCCTACCGTATCTGAAAGTGCTCTCATCTGAAGTAGCTCACAATATAGACGTTGTGAAACCTTTAAAGGACTACCTAATGGACAAAAGTGATTTGCACGGAGAACTGATGAAGATTGTAGATGATCACGATATTGTTGCTGATATTGAGAATGCTCAGGTTAATTTGAGAAAAGTGAGTACATAAAAGTCTTTCACAAAGTAAAGTATTCCTGCCTTTTGTTATTCTCAACACGTTTTTGGTTGTAGATCCGCAGTATCTCAGAGCCTGATACAGCAAACATCGTGATCAAACCTGCCAGGAACTGGACTGATCTCTGTGCTCGCTACAACTGCAGCAATATCGCTGCTGCCATCAGAAACAATATCAACAACACTCTCATTGAGAAAGCAGTAAGTACAGATTTTAATAAGTACCGAACACTTATATCGTTTTATTTCACTCGCTCTGCTCGGTGCCTATTAATCGTAGCGTGATATTTTATAGCCTATTGCCTTCCTCGATAAATGGGCTATCCAACACAGAAGAATTTTTCAAATCGGGCCAGTAGGCAACAAACAAACAAAAAAACAAACTCTTCAGCTTTATAATATTATAGTATAGATTTAATTTTCATTGATAAGACTGTATTATTTAACTGATCATAACTGAACCACTTGACGGGTGAATTATGAGATGCAATACGTAAAGTACATTGTGCTTTTTTTATAGCATAAACCGGTAAACGAGCAGACGGATCATCTGATGGTAAGCAATCGGCGCCGCCCATGGACACCTGAAACACCAAGGCGTTACAAGCGCATTACCGGCCTTTTGGGAATTGGGATTTTGAGGATTGTGGAGGACTGGGGGATTTGGGAGACTAGGGAGTGGGGTAATTGGGCCTCCGGTAAACTTACTCACACAACGAAACACAACGCAAGCGTTGTCTCACGTCAGTTTTCTGTGAGGCCGTGGTATCATTCCGGTCGAGCGGGCCCATTCGTGTAGAAGCATGGCTCTTCTCACACTTGTGTCTCACGTGGACCCGTGTTCAAGAACACGATGAGGAAAACCTAGTCGTTCTTACTCGATTTGTATTTAACATACAACTTTATTTATTCTAGCTTCCAAAATACCAAGATGAAGAGTTCTGGCGTTTCAACTTCGTATCGAACATCATCCAGCACCTTGAGGACTTCATGTCTCATAGTGCTCGTCTCTTGGGGCTGGCCAGCAAGGTTAACGTCAAGGGTGTAATGGATGGTAACCTGGAAGCCATGGTCGATGCTCTGCTCTTGGTCATCAGTGATGAGTCCCTCGACAACATCATGTTTAGGTAAATTCATTATCCATTTTTATTAGAGGGTGCCTATCTAAGTTTAGATGACTTTTGACGTGACAACGTCTTATAAATTGGTTTGCCGGGTGACACTTCAAGAAACTGCGTTACGCTCCGCTCACGTTATGCGCTCACAATGAGAGCGAGTGAGAGGCACGCGTCCTTTCCACTCGGGCATGGTTAGCCCGCCTAAGAGCGAGAGAGACAGACATAATATTTTACCACTCAAAATCGTTGTCACGTAAAACTTTTGCCCGTATACCGACTTTACAGGCAACCAATTTTTTATCACTACAGTAACCTAAAAGCATTATCTTTTAGTGCCCGTGAACCCACTAAGTACCATGTCTCTTCATCAACCCTAATTAACTTTACTTTTCCTTATTCCCATTATTGTGTAGTCTCCAAGGAATCCTCGAGCAGTTACATCCCCTCCTGGAGGGAACTCCTCTGGACCAGGATCTAAGTGCACTGGCCTCTGGTCTGCACGTAGTGAGACAGCTCAAGAACTACCTGCTGGAGGACGTTAATCTTAACGGTAAGATTTAGATTATGTCAAGTTTTAAAATAAAAACTTTTGATAAAGAGGGCGATTTTGCGTTCAAATGAATTAAGTACATATTAGACGAAGAAGAAAATTAGTTTATGAAGCGATGAAATGTGTTTTTAAAGTTAATATTAGCAAGTACCTTTTAAAACCATTCTTCTGTTACAGTTGAAGTATCGAAATTGTTTCCTGACGCTGATGATGTGGAGGTCGGACTGAGTGCCCTCGGCATCAACAACACCAACTTCTGGTCTGTCGCCGCGCCCAGGATACATGCTGGTACCATTCAACTGAAGCCGGTACGTTGATAGACAAAATGATGATAATTGCTCAAAAATCTGTGCTATCGAGTAATTTTTATCCATTCAACAGATCGTTGAAGGGCGATGTTATATCGGATCTTAGAGAGATCTCGGAGAAAAAACCAGCACGGGGACCACTCTATTACAAAGCGACAATAATAATATATCTCCACCATATTAGACCACAAAAACATTCTCACCGCCACTTACTTATCAGCAACATTTAAATAGGTCTAAATTATATTTTGCAGCTCTTCTCCTCGAAACCTGATGACAGCCACATAGCGAAATACGTTTGTCAGATGGATCACATGTCCAAAGTGCTATTCCCTGCGAATCTGGACGTGGTGTCTGCAGAAGATGTCTTCGGAGCCACCATCGAGCAGTTCTGTGGTCTACCTGATCACATCGCCAAGCAAGTGCTGCCAGTACTGCTACGGAACTTCAACTACAGCCTACTGCTTGATGAAGTAAGTCTAGCTCAGTACACAAGCTTAGTAGCTTAATTTGCTAAGTAGAAAGTGACTTGGGGCCGATTTTTCCAACGTCAGATAAATTTTAACAGAGGAATAGCTTTGAATATTTGACAATTCTTCCATATTAAAAACTGTCAAATGACAATTTTATCCTACGGTTAAGAATTAACTGATGATTGAAAAATTGTGCCCTTAATAAACTACAATGTAACCATTTCTGGCTGGTTATATTACGGGCTCATTATAGCAGGCAGGCAGCGAGCCATCTGCCAAACCGGACACAGTAGACTCACGTCGTACCTCTTGCTCAGCAGTCCACTTGTACCTCAGCCATACACATCGGTACCAGAAAAAGGTCTTTCCTTGACCCTTTCGCCATTTGACCACCTAACCACAACCCACAGGTAGCCAGTACCCTTCTCACAAAGCTCTACTCCGCATCAAACTTGACCAAAGAAGAAGGATCCAGAGTGCTTGAGAAATTCTCACAAATGGCAGCACTGATACCGGTGATTCAGGAGAAGATGGAAGACGTGACACTGACCCTGGCCAACGAGACACTGTTCCAAAGCTTGAGGGACTTCAGCTCGATTGGGAACCTCTTCTCTTGTGAGTATTGAAAGAGATTGTCGGAAGATAAACATCTTTTAAACATTTTAGCAGCAATTGACAATATTCTTGTTGTGCACAGCTCCTGACTTCATGTCGAGTGCGGGCAAATTGCTGTGTGGCAAGCCGTTCCAGGTGAACACGAACAAGTTCTATAAGTCTATTGCAGCCACTAAGGACTTCTCCACGGAACCTGATCAAGCGCAGCTGAATGTACTGCCCAGTGAGTATTATTACTTTATTTGCCATCACGGCTATGGTCAACCCCATTGACATGGCAACAGTTAAAAGTCCTTCTAAAATTATAATAATAACCTTCAGTATTGTATTAACATGATTATCATTTTTAAGGTATCGTATCACAATATGACACGCTGTATTTATCTACATCATTCTTTTCCTAATTGTAACTTTATCTACAGCGGACTACTGTCGATCATTGTACGTGGACATCATCAACATGGAGGGCGGTAAGATCATGTGGAGCTTCGTGAAGCCACTCATCATGGGCAAGATCCTGTACACCCCGCCCACTCCCACTGTCACCAGGATCATTGAACAGGTGAGAGAACTGTTATTGCAGGCAAGGATTGGACAGAGATACCCTTATTACCTATATCCCTACATGTCATTTATTCATTTATTTCCGATCAGCTATGAAATTACTCTATGAAATATGAAGTTGGTGAAACTGTTGCTGTCGCTGATATCGGTTTAAAACTAACACTGAAACCATATTACAAGCCACACATAGTGAACCCATATCCATTTCATCTGGGTGTGTATGTCAGTCGTATTTCCAAACTCAAATATGACCCCATGTTCCTTTTATGGCATTAAGTATAGTTTAGACAACTACAATTCGATATGGTCTTTAATTCATACTGTTTATCACCAGGCCAATTCCACCTTCGCAACAATGATCAAGATGACGGGCCTGGTGCACTCGTTCTCGGCGTCATTCCCGGCGATAGACAAGCTGTCCTCACACAGAGAGGGCGTGGCAGTGCTCCGCCGCATCATGACCGCGCCACAGTTCAGCTCCATACGGAAGATGCTCATCAAAGGAGACGAGGAGATCTCAGTACCTGATGTCGATATTGATAGCCTGTTTGCAGAATTTGGAGATTTGAACGTAAGTTATTTCGTATAACGTAAGGTAGTTCTTACGAACTACTTAATTGATAAATAACAGATTTCGAAAGACATCTCCAGATCTTCTTAAAGTAATATTGTATAGGTTCTTAGTTGGAGGAAAAGATAGGAGTCTGAATGATAAATCTTAATATAAACACGACCTTACAAAATATCTTAGGTTAAATAAAATACGGATTAATCTCACCTTTCCATCATAAAAATCCAGATACAATGAACTTGTACATATTTCATTTTTATAACCATCCTTTTTGTTTTACTTCGCTTCGTCCAGAGTATCGGCAGTCTACTATCAAAGATGTCGAACCTGCTGCAGTGTATCAACCTGAACAGGTTCCAGCCATCTTCCAATGAGCAGAATATGACCTACGAGGCTGCTCAGCTCAGCATCGTCAACGAATTCTCCGCTGGTAAGCATTTTGAAGAAACTACAAAAATCTATCCCATAATGATATGATAGCGAGCGAGTCCATTCACATCGACAGATTACGTTTTACATCGCGCTAACAAATTTTTGAAGCGAAATAACACAGATAAAACTCCCAACACAATGGGGATGATGACAGGGTATGAAAATTAAAAATATAATTAGTCCGTCAGTTAGGTAATGAAAAAATATTAGACACGTATTTTTTATTTAACAATACTTAGATAAAACGAATCAAAGTTTAGGAGTGGGGGCTAAAACGTCATTTCTTTGTATAAAATGTACTGAGAAGTGACGTCACGCCACATTTCAAATCAATATATCTTTGAAACTATTCGTTTCCGTAAGAAAATAAAAAATACGTGTTAATGTTTTTAAATAATCTACCAGACGGTCGTCTACCCTATTGTTGGGCAGTAGCTTACTAGGCACAATTACTTTGCCTGGTCGAAGGATCCTTCATTTTCCTAACATAGGGAACATCACACCCTGGACCCTGATTATGAAGTTATAGGTTTTCGTTTAGTTTAGTTATACCTACTTCATTTTGTCACCAGGTCTGGTGTTCCTGGACAGTCAGCATTACGACGGAGCTCTGAATAAAGTGGAGTATAAGATCCGCATGGACATCGACAATGCGCCCACCACAGCACGTCTCAAGGATTAGTAAGAATTTCTTTATTACAAAAGTATTTATTTGTTATGGGGATTTTTATCATACACATATTTTTTTAGTATGGTTTGTATTTACGGTATAGTTTGCTTATACTATAGTTAATATACTTATTAATCAAAAATCAGACTTTTTATTGTTTTCGAACCCCCAAAAGCTTAAAAAGCTAAATTATAGTATTTACAAAAAGTCTTGGCCTACTCATACAGACACACGGGCAAAATTACTGTCTTTATTAGTAACATGTTAATTAAACTTTAATTTAACGTATTCTTGTTCCCTAGCTTATGGGTCCCAGGTCCCGAAGCGAACTTCTTGGAGAACATGCGCTACTTCAGAGGCTTCATCCAGATCCAGGACATCGTGGACAAGGCCATCATCAAGCTCTCACACAACTCCACGCATCGCCGCAAGAGAGAGACTCAGCAGGAGATGGATTGGGCGGTATACACGCAACAAATGCCGTACCCCTGCTATAGAAAAGACTTGTGAGTGACTTTCTTTATAATTATTCTTATAAAGAAGATTCTATATGAGATTATTTCCATATCCCATTTTTTCATATTTTTCTTTCTTTAATCATAAAATAACATCACGCCTCTTATTCCCGAAACGATAGGCAGAGGCACACATAATATAGCACTTAATGCCACTGTACAATGTAATACCCACATTTCACTATTTATTTTATGAGTCCCATGTAATAGGGGGTGGACCTATTGCCATATACCGGGCACATTTCCAGTCTCCGTGCTACTAAACTACTACACCACTTTTTTTAAAAACCCAGTAATACTTTGCTTGACCTAGGAATCGAACCCGAAACCCTTTGCCCAGCAGTCGCACTTGCGACCACTCGGCCAACGAGGCAGCCTTTTAATTAACCAGTGGTTTTAAAATGGCTTATGTAAAATTTCTGTTGCATCCTCAGCTATTTCCCAAAAGTCATTAGTTAACTTATTATTATTTATTTCAGCTTCCAGTCATCACTATACGAGTCTCAGTCTATGATTGTGGCTTTCTTCTTCTCGTTGCTGTTCACGGTTGCGTCGGCCGTCCGGTTCATAGTGATCGACAAGGAGACAGGGAACACCATGGTACTATTTTCCTAACAAAATATTAAACATTTGAAAAAAAACTATAGTCAAGGCATTATTAAAGCTTTGAATTTCATTAGAAAACTGTTGAAGGCAAATCCTCGGCTAACGTCCCACCGGTGACCCCCATGGCGTTTAATGTGTTAATAAATCGTTGTAATTTTTTTTTATGGCATATCGAGCAGACGGATCACCTGATGGTAAGCAGTCAGCGTCGCTCATGGACACCTGGAACACCAGAGGCGTTACAAGTGCGTTACCGGCCTTTTGGTGATTAGGAGTTTGAGGATTGATCGTTGGGGATTCAGGAATTGGGAAGATTGCGGAAGGCGAGGATAATTGGGCCTCCGGTAACCTCACTCACACGACTAAAAACACAACGCAAGCGTTGCTTCACGTCGGTTTTCTGTGAGGCCGTGGTATCACTCCGGTCGAGCCGGCCCATTCGTGCCGAAGCACGGCTCTCCCAAAATGGGATGAATGGGATTTATAATAATTGATTGTCGTAATAGATCAGCGTTCTGCTTCTGCAGGGCGTGGTTTTCATTCCTACACAAAAAATAAACTTGTAATCTAGACAACAATAATTTATTTCTTCGGTTAAGGATATTTTGCTTTATCTATATTTGCACAAGAAACCGAAACGTTTATTATTCAAACAGCAGAAAACCTATTAATATTCTTCTTTGCAGCTCATGTCTGTAATGGGTGTGGACCTCCGCTGGCACACGCTGTCGTGGTTCCTCACATCCTTCGTGGAGATGACCGTCACCAACCTCTGCATCACCATGGTGCTACACTTCGGGCAGGTGTTACCTAGAACAGATCCTACGCTGATTTTCACACTGATCTTCATTTTTGGAATAGCTGTGCTTAGTTTTTGGTGAGTAAACAATATATTTGTAGTGAACGATTCAAGAATGTAGGTACGTTCCTGTGGCCTTTAACGTATTTTTTTTTAAACACTGCCCCACACTATGATTATCTCCTGTGTCGTGGGTGCGTTTACAAACATACAAGTTCACATACACATGACACCCAGACCCGAAACAACAATTTGTGGATCACACAAAGTGTTATTCCGTGCGGGAATCGAACCCGCGACACGTTGCACGGCAACCGGGTACCCAGCCACCGCACCAACCGTGCAGTTAAATATAAAAAATACAATTGTTTTTTTTTATTGAGTCGAAAATCTATTGAATTAAAGCCAGCTACCTATGATGATGGAAGCATCAAGAACTAATGAACTCTCTTCATTTCCAGCTACATGCTGTCCAAGATGTTCAAGTCAGCGAGTTTGGCTGCTGTGTTCTCCGCCATCGTCTACTTGATGACCTTCATGCCCATCGTCATAATCCTCTCCCTGGAGACCTTCATAGGCTTCACTCTCAAGTTTTTGGTCGTGAGTAACATCTACAATAAGTGCCGTAGTCTAAATTAAATAATTTATTGCAAAACGCATACGCAAATGGCTTTATCTTTATCTTTAAAAGATGAACATTTAGACATTAAATAATAAGCACATTTCGGTCCAACGCTCGTTCTTTAATGAAGCTATTTCATATTACATTATGATAACTGAACATTAATTTGACTTGACCGTTATTCGAAGCTTATTTAATTGAGATAGGCCTTCTGCTTCCCTCCTTCCGCTTTTTCTATATGTCTATCTCTTTCTACTACGTCACTTCCACTTGGCAGTGGTGGGGAGGCTTGCTAAGAGAGACTCGCTATTTTTATTTCATTGGCGTCTTGTTTCCCGCCTTGAACGGTTGTGCCTTGTGAATCACAAGACAACCATTCACAAGTTGTGAAACTACCTTCCGATTTTATTATTATTTCTTTTATAAAAGTGATAAATGTCCTAACGGCTTTTATTACAATTGTAAAAATTTTAAATTAAATAAAGCTTAGTCTTTCGTTATCTATTATGGAATTCAGGTAATAATTGCGATTATTCATGTTGTTCCTGAACACTTCTTCGTATGGAAGTGTCGACCTAAACGTAAGTTTCGAAAACTAGCAAAACAGGTACGTACCTTTAGCAATAAATTGTATGCACGTGAGTACCATTTTGGACCATGCATTTCTGTCTAGTGTTATTGAAAATTTTTGAGAATATCATTTTGATGTTGATGACTGATAAATTGTATAGAAATTATGTATGTCTATCAAAGTGTGTCTTCGGATAAAACTCGAGAGCTGTGTTCCCAACAGAACTGTTGGTTAATTCGGTACAGTCTTGGACTGTATATTGCATACGTGGAATTGCTGACGCGATACCCTATGCTATAGCTATGCTCAGAAATTCGGGTGGATTTGTACCACTATACGAACAAAGAACGAAGGTTCTGTTCGAATGTTAATAATATTGCACAGTTATTATTTTGTCTGTTGTACCTAATTGTCTTGGGAGATTACTGTGCAAAATATAGAAACCGATGTACGTTCCTATAATATAAAATGTTGCTTTGAGATTAAACTTAATAGTGTACTTGATTAAATATTGTGTGCACTTTAACAAGGGGTTTTTGGGAACCCTTCAAGAACTGCTTACATGTGATATGCTACTTCAAAAGTACCCTTTTTCCACAGGGGATTTTAGTAAGTACCTAGTCTTAAGCTTTATTACAGATGGTTTGTGGACATCGTTCTGAGAATCACCAAATGCTAAGAGGCTTAGCCATTAGATAGACAAAGGACTTCTTGATAAGGCCAATTTGAAGACAATTCCGCCATTATGATATACTAATTATTCAACGCAGAGAGGTTTACTGCCGCTGTAGAATAAGCTGGTGGCGTGAGAAAATGTTTTTGGCCATTGCAAAAGGTAAATATTACATCCACCTCGCAGGTAGATTCAGTTTCAAGTTTCGCAAGTGTCCCAGGGGCCACAGCCTTACATAGCCCTCGCAGGGTTTGTGCTCAAGTTTTCCAACAATTAATACACATTCACAATGTGCTAGCAGTATCTCACCTTCGCAAGGTGGTGACAACAGCAATAAACCCGCCTTTGCAAGGTGATGACAACAGCAATAAACCCGCCTTTGCAAGGTGATGACAACAGCAATAAACCCACCTCCGCAAGGTGGTTGTATCATATTCATGCTGTTTTATATATTTTTCGGTCGCACCGAAAAATTGTAATATCTTTCGGAGTTGGTCAAATCCTCGGCAGAATAAAATTAGCAAAGTCAGGGGCGAAGACGTGTTAGCGCACCGTCATAGACGCTGCAGCATTGACAACAACGACGTAAGTATTAACAATAGAGCAGACAGTCTCCTGCAATTGGTAGACCGATGGGAACTTGTGAACGTCAGATTATGAAATAACAAGGTATCGCATACCTTTTTACAAAAACTGTTCCTTGTTCACCCCAATGTTGTCTGAACGAATTTGTTGAACTGGAACATCTGTTCATCAAACATCTGTTCCAGAATCTCTGTCACTCTGTTCAGAAATGACATCAGTCATGAACAAAATAACAGAACCGGCAATTCCGGACCGAGCTACTGAGCAGCCAAGCTTCCTACCATTGATATTTCTGGTCCAAGGGCGCCCGCATCGTCCATTTGGAAATTCAGAATTTATATATCAGTTGACCGATTCGTTAATACACATACGTGTTAACACACATAGTATTTCTCATTTTCTACAACCTGTTGGTCTATGCAAAATCGACATTTCTGGGGCGTAGTGTCATTTACCTGTGGCCCGTAGCCACGGAAGGTTTCTGCGCCTAAATTATCGCAATGAATTGGTACGAATGACTAGCTTATCACTAGGCATGAGCGCAGCGCCCAATACTTTTGCTACGATTGTCTCAGACACTTGGGCAATGAGGTGTCGGGATTTTTTATTGCCACCAGGACGAAGGCCGACTTCCGACTTCGTATTAAACTGGGGCTCTATGTTCTAGAAAAGTTGGTCAATATCAGGGATCCATAGTCAAATCACAAACATTTTCCCGGGAGTAAAAGTTCTGGGATCATTTTGCCATTTAATGCGGAAGAAATGCAAGTCACGCACAGAACTCCAGAGCCTAGTTATTTTTGCTGCGTCTGCAGTTTCAAGAGAAAGGCTCGACTTTCAAGCTTTTCTGATCCTACAAGAATAAAATCTTAAAGTGCGATCGCAGATTGGTTTTCACTTTATCTCATGTGAACAATCTTGTATGAAGGAGCCAGAATTATCATCCTCTGTCGGTCCTACACATGCACTACTTTCTCATTCCCAGCAGATTGTGCAATGCGTCAGATATTGCTAAGGGAGCTTACCTGGGCAATCTCTTTCTCTTGGGTTTTCTGGTCAGAGCACGCGAAAGATTGTCATAGCAACCAAAAGAGAACGCTAGCTATTCTAAGAATTTTGGAAGATTCTTGTCTATTCCTGAAATAGACTGGTTTGATATATGACGACATCAAGTCTGTCATCGCATATATCCGTTACGAAAGGGGGGCACCAAGTAGCTCCAGTCCTGGATTTAACCCTTATTTTCCCATTATACGTTCATATGCGTTAACATACACGTATTTCATGTACCAGATATGTACAATGCCCAGGCAGATCATCTGTTGAGGTTTTGCGAAACTTTAGAGAGCATCTGTCTGCAGAATGCACGAACAAAACGGTCTCCATATGCTAAGTTCCACCGATCAACTTATTTGCGTCATACCGAGTACATGTAATGACAATTACGTGCCCTTATATCAAAACTACGGACAAGCCCTGTTTTGTGACGCGTTTTCCCACTTGGAAACGTAAAACTCAGCGGGGGTGTTCTTTCCAGCTTTTTTGATTTCTTAGGTCCTGGATTCTCTCAATCAGGCACAGAGAACGTGCCTACTAGTAATTCCTAAATGAGAGAGAGTTTTTTGACGTGTCTCGCTTGCCGTAGGTAGTACCCCGTTTCTTTACGCTTTATCACCTAGACAAAGTCCTAATTAAGAACAAGGCGGCCACCACCGAGCGTCTACGACATGACCTTGGAAGTGTGGAAACGTGAGCCGTCTGGAATACTATTAAAATGATACTCTACACAATTAAAATTTCTTAAGAAGTCATGGCGTCCGTCAATACGTTAAATCTATAGTGCAGTCCTCAAAAGGTTGCACCGCACCGGAGGGGGGGGGAACCCCTCGGCTCCTATAGCAAGATTTTTGATTACATTTTTATCTATATCTGATCTCTATTGAATCAATAATTTGTCGTACACTTAAATTTTGTACAATCAAAATCTGTGGTTACTGTCCTTTGTTAACCAGAACCATATGTCCTTTAGCATTTATTGCTAAAAACTATACAATCAGTAACATTAATCTAACTTATGAACTAACACATCAGTTAGTCAGTTAATCTCAAATGTAAGTAGATATGTAAAACGTATAGTAAATGGTGATTGACCATGTCAATCCCCCTGTTTGGGTCATAAACGATCTAGCTAGATTCCAGGCTGTAAACTTAGTCTTTCAAGTGCAGAAACAAACAGCTGTTCTATTTCTCCTATACCCCAGGAGATGATTTCATGACTTAATTTTGCTCGATATAGATTCTAATAATTACAGTAATCATAATGACGTACTAGTTTTTCGGTCGGTTTTAGATCAAAAACTAATTCTGTTGATTAATTGGATAATAATAAACTAGCTTTCACCCGCGACTTTGCCCATGCATTTCTACCAAGGGAGCACTTAATCGGGATAAAAAGCATCCTATCACCTAAGTCGGCCCATACCCTGCCTGTATACCAAATTTCTAAAGCTTAGATCCAGTCCCCGGTACTAAGCAGACCATAAGAGGCATAACTTAATGGCGTAAGCTGTAATGTTATGTGTCAAATTTGAAAATAATGCAAATTGTTAAAGTTTTGTTTTATTACACGTGAACTTAAACCGGTATAGAAAACTCTAATTGCGGTCAGGATCAAGTTTCTTTTGGCGGTAACCGATATTAAGGTATCAGTAATCCCCCAAGACATCCTGAGGGTTTCAGATCAGCTGTGACCTGAAAAAATTGAGTGGATAGTTATCCTTTTGAAGCGATCCTTTCTAAGTAATGATGATGATGATGATGATGAGTGTATCTTTGCCTTTTTATTCAATCAAGTCGATCAGAAAATTAGAAACAAGGTAATAAAATACCTCAGAGATATATTACATCTGTTTTTGTTCAGATCAAATACAATGTCATAAAGAATAGGTTTTTCTACAATTCCTTTCTTCAAAACATGTATGTTTTAGATACTTACTATTTTACTTAGTTTTTCTATTCCGTGATTTTACCACATCATACCTCGACCGCAGTCATACTACCTCACATTGGCGTCTGTCACTTCCACCAGGCGATAACAAACACGTCTCAATTAAATAAGCTTCGAATAACGGTCAAGTCAAATTAATGGAAGCGTTTTACCTACCAATAAAACGCATATTAATTTACTTACCTTATTCGAAGCTTATAGTCAAGCTCTGCCTGGTAATGAGACTCAATGAAATAAAAATAGCGAGTCTCTCTTAGCAAGCCTCCCCACCACTGCCAAGTGGAAGTGACGTAGTAGAAAGAGATAGACATATAGAAAAAGCGGAAGGAGGGAAGCAGAAGGCCTATCTCAATTAAATAAGCTTCGAATAAGGTAAGTAAATTAATATGCGTTTTATTGGTAGGTAAAACGCTTCCATTAAAATCTTTAAATAGTATCGACATAGGACAAAAATTACCCATATTTGTCGTTTAGTTTTTTAAGATTCTCAATTTACACCAGTATTGATAATAACATATTAATATATGCTTTATTGTACACCACACCATCGTACTACAGGACATTATTAACAAAAATAGTCTACAATGGGCTGTCTTATCGCACAAGGCGAATTCTTACAGACAATCTTTGGATGGAGCCGCATTAGGAGTCTGATATGGGTCGTCAAGTATACAATAATTAATAACTGTATAAAATACTACCTATACATACTATACAAAAATACTAATATCACTCAAAAATAAATAATACATAACATACAATATGATACATAAATTACTTAATGGTGTGTGTTTGTGTATGTGTGTGTGTGTATGTGTGTGGTTAAAATAGGAAATAAAATTTGTTAATAGGAGTATAAACTTCAAAATTATAAAGGCTCTTTTCCTTCCCAGTGCCTCTTCATGTCCTCATCTCTGAGCTACTCGTTCCTGTACATCGCGAGGTTTGAGGCTCGTGGCTCCGGTGCCTCCTGGGCGGACGTCTGGGGCTCACCCAGTGGTCCCGACGACACCAACATTGCATTCACCGCTGGAATGATGGTCCTGGATGCTATCCTCTATTTCATCATTGGATGGCTCGTTGATAGATATTGTGGTAAGATTTGACATTATTATGGTGTAACCAAAGCATGTGTCAATCAAATATCTTTAATAGATTTTCAACTTTATTACAAGGGATTTAGGTTAAAAATCTATCTACAATGTTAGGAAAATATGATATGTACGTCTATAAAATGAATGCTTCAGAAAACAGTAGCTCTTTTATCTTTGTGGTTGTAATTCTACCAATAGCAAAATCGTTCTTATACTCACGTCACTGAACTCAATCTTCAGCACTTCTTGTCCAATTCTTCTCATACAATAATTTCCCAGGTATAAAAACCCTGACGACGAACATCACCCACTGCACCACCACGGACGAGAAGGCTGGCGTCAGTATCGTGAATATCACCAAGGTATATGAAGAAGGCTCCAGAAGGGCTAAGGTCGCCCTCGACAACGTCTCCATAGAACTACATAAGGGACAGATCACTACGCTGCTGGGTCATAATGGTGCCGGGAAGACTACCCTAATGTAAGTTGTTAGTTTATTTTACCAGTCATTATAATTTGGTATTTTATAGTTTGGTACGTTGGGCATGATTTGAGCATGCCCACATGCTTAAACTGATACTACTACATATGCGATTTCTACAGTTACTCCTTCTGTGGTTGTTTACTGATCTACGACACTATTCTAAACAGAACTCGACTTTTTTTATGGGGGCAAATGAGCGGACGGATCACCCGATGGTAACTAATCAGTGACTGCCCATCGACACTCGCAACACCAATGTACCAAATGCCAATTATCCCTTATTTTGGGGATAGCATGATAAAGTTTCGTAAGTGATCAGCATCTCCCTTGGACACCCGCTACACCAGAGGACTCCCAGCCACACAGCGTGAAATAACGCAATCGTTATAAAAACTAAATCCCTCAGTATGTACCAAATCATATAAAATATAATTTTGGTCCCAGTAACATCCTGATGGGCATGCTGAAACCGAGTCGTGGGCACGTGGTGGTGCGCGGGGCGCGCGCGGGCACGCGGCTGGGCGTGTGCCCGCAGCACGACGTGCTGGTGGACGGGCTCACCGCGCGCGAGCACGTGCAGCTCTACGCGCAGCTCAAGAGCGGACGCTCGGCTGATGAAGTGCGCGACGAAGTTGACAAGTACGTATAATGTATTTTTTAAGTAAGTATTACTAGTAAACAAAGTTTTGTCCCTGTTTAAAATAAAAACTATTGGTAAAAATTAAAAAACCTCGTTTAAAAAAGCCGACGTCAAAAACTAAAGACAAACAAAAAGTAAAAACTAAAAAGGAAAAAATAACCATTATTGGTCATACGTACTTATAGCTTACACACCTACTGATAGGTTAGAAGTCGGATCGTATATACGGTCGAATTGAGAACCTCCTCCTTTTTTTGAAGTCGGTAAAAAAGATTATGACAAAGTAGTTAGGAGATCAACTCCTGAGTTCCATTCCTACAGCGAAACATTCTGTATGTACTCCACAAGATGTTGTTTCGTATCTGGCTGTATTGTGTTTGCACATTTATCAATTTCTAATGATTTAAAAGATTAATTATTATGATGAAATACTTACTACTTCAGACTGTAATAATTATTTGTATTATAACTTTCGTGAGACATACTAAATTAATTATTATATTTTTGGCTTACTCACGTAATAATTTGACGAGGAACTCGACTAGTTTCCAGCCATGCTAGAGGCTCATATTCATGAGCAGCATTAGCAGTAGCAGCGCGACAGTAGCCGCGTCGCGGGTCGCGAAATCCTGCTCATGATTAATTATTTTATGTAATAATTATTTATCAGATGTAGAACCGAAATGATATTCATCTTTAGAAGGCATATTTGTAATCATCACCACCTCCCCCTCTTGCAGGATGCTGGAAGTCCTGTCACTAGGCCCAGTATGTGACGAGCCAGTGCACCGACTGTCAGGTGGCACCCGGCGTCGCCTGTGTGTAGCGCTGGCCTTCGTGGGGCAGCCACATCTAGTCTCACTCGATGAACCTACTTCTGGAGTCGATCCTGCTGCCAGAAGGTAAGAAGGGAGGCTTAGTCGTTACTATCACACAGCTTTGCCTAGTAAAATAATTCTATTCTAACACAATACACATTACATCACGCCTTTTATCCCCGAAGGGGTAGGGCAAACGTCCCATTACGGCACTTAATGCCACTGTACAATGTAACACCCACTTTTCACTATTTATGTTATGAGTCCCATGCAATAAGGGTTGAGCCTATTGCCATGTGTATTCTTACTTCCAATGTGTTCTATTTAGTCAATAAGAAGTCTAAAAATAAGGTAGACTTGTCTCATCTGTTAAAATGGCTAGACAAGTACACGCTCACATCTTTTTCATAGGTTTTTCATGTCTATTGGCTTTCCTTAGCACATACGTATAAACAGTAGCAGAACAAACATATTACTAGGCAAATTTAAGATCTTAGATTCTGTTTTTGTGTTAAAGATTATCTTTGTATGATTATTCAGTCTTTGTTTTCAAAGTAATCTTCCTTCGACTATAGAACACACCAAAATCATAGATTATTTATCATAATCAACTCTCCTTCACGAACCTGATTAGTTCATTCTCGCCACATTTGGTTAAGCAACATCCACTTCCAGGGACATCTGGTCAATGATAGTGAAGCTAAAGGAGGACCGCACCATCCTGCTGACCACGCACCACCTCGACGAGGCAGAACTCCTCAGCGACCAGATCGTCATCATGCATAAGGTACAACCAACAATACCTAACTAATAGGTAGCCTAGTGGCGACATACATCAACAGTCTATAAGTGGCCACTACTGACCAAAGGCCTCTTCTCACACGGAGAAGGTTTGAGCATTAATCACCATGCTTGCTCAATTTGCGCTTGCTTGGCGATTTCAAACGTATAATTAGAAATTGTAAGCCTACGTTTCCTAACGATTTTCCTTCACCATTTGTCAGTAGTGTCTAAAATAAACAATCTTAGAAAATACATAAAACTCGGAGAAAGTCACATTGGTACTCGCCGTTGGTAGGTTTCGAAACGGCAACCTCATGCGTGAGAAGCGGGCGTCTTAACCTTCGGCCACCATGACTCTTTAAATGACTCGAATGGTTAAGTAACCATTACTTTATTCAGTGAACGAATCAGAAAACTTAAAACTAAGTTTTTAATTATCTAAATCCTCAGTAGTATATTAGTTTGGAGTTTGAAATTGTGTACCAATTGCAGGAACTGCGTAGCATTTGCTACAGCGTAGCGTAGCGCTTACTACAGAGGTTATGCGCTTTCCATAGCGTAGCGCTTACTAAAGCGTAGCGTAGCGCTTGCTACAGCGTAGCGGCCGCTACGTTGCCTACATCGTAGTCTTCGTAGTTTAGCTACGGTATCCTAATTTTTGGTGCTATCTATCCACATTTTGGTTACTAAACTACATTTGAACACTTTAATCTCTCTATAACAAGCATAAAACTATAATATCAACACATAACATAACATCACGCCTTTTTATCCCCGAAGGGGTAGGCAGAGGTGCACATTTCGGCACTTAATGCCACTGTATAATGTAACACCCACTTTTCACTATTTATGTTATGAGTCCCATGTAATAGGGGGTGAGCCTATTGCCATATACCGGGCACATTTTTCCATACTCCGTGCTACTACTGAGATTTTTAAAAACCCAGTAATACTTTGCCCGACTCGGGAATCGAACCCGAGACCCCTTGCCCGGCAGTCGCACTTGCGACCACTCGGCCAATGAGGCAGTCAATCTGTCTATAATATCAAGTGGGTAACAAACTGACGTTCGCAAAAAGATTTCTTTAACCAAATATTATCTTAAATATTCCCAATTACGATATCATTTAATCTTCATCCGGTGCACAGAGGATGTATGAATGTAAAAATATAGTTTTGTATGCAAACAACACGGAGTGACTGATCAATAAAGGGGCGTGTCTTAAGTTACAACCTAGGGGTGAAAATAACAACAGACCAATCAAATCGCTTGAAAACACTTACATAATACCATTCCTTTCACACTCACAGCAAACACGTTTAACATTTTTCGAACACAAAATCTTCGAAAAACAATAAAAATACGATTTGTTATTTAAAAAAAGTACTTGTATTAAATTCGTAATTAAATACTTAACCCATGATGATAACAAGATTCAATATTAGAATATCAGTCTATGCGTAAATGTGTAAAGTCCTACATCGCGCTAGTGAAGTTTTCGTAGCGTTTCTTATGAAGGAAAATTTCGTTATGTTTCCTCGGAGGTCCGTGGCTACTCCGGGAGCCGGTCTGGTGGGAGCCGGTCTAAGTCCTCGCCTACCAAACTCATGCGAATATTTAAAGCAAATAAGTAACGGTAATAGTTCATGTTAATGAAATGTCAAGATAATGATGAATAGAGGCCTCGGTCTCAACTACACGGTAGCAGCCGATATGACCTCCTTTTGTGGTTTTTTTAAAGGTATAAAAAACTAAAATTGTGTCAGGAAAATAAATATTTATGATTTTTTAAACATTTCTGTCTAAATTGATTGCCAGAAGCTTTAATATTTAGGTACTAGCTTCTGCCTGCGACTTCGTACACGCAATCCTGTTTTTACCCGTTCTTGTTCGTGATTTTTAGTAAAAAGTAAAAAAAAAGTATTAGATAAAAAGTATCCTATGTCCATATCCTGGTTTTAAGCTCTCCACCGATTTTTATCTAAAACAATTTAGCCGTCACGACTTTGTATTATATTATATAGATTACTCTGGTTAATAACGATTGACTTATATTTTATTACCATGACACTTTATAATTCCCGATGGGGTAGGCACTGTTAATCAAAAATTATTATTTTTTATCCAGGGCCAGATTCACACGACAGGATCTCCAATAGAAATTAAACGGACGCTAGGTAATGGGTACAAGTTGACAGTGATGTATCCTGTCCCTGACATTGATCATGAGGAAACGTGGGAGGACACCAGCCAGGAGGAGAAGACCAAACAGCTGCTGACCGTGGTTCGAGATGTCGTGAAGAATGCTAACGTTGTAGATGTCAGTGGAAATGAAGTCGAAATTGCATTACCATTCTTCGATAGCAACGGTTTAAATAATAAGTAAGTTTAGTTCCAATTAAATTTCATTTTGTTATAACGCCATCTATGTTGCTGGTAAGAAATTAGCGATTTATTAATTTCATCGTTTGGCCACATAGCGCGCAGTGGCGCCACAAAAAGTTCGTTTCGTTTTTGGTGCAATAATTTCCTACAGCTTCCAATACAGGACAGGGTCGTAAATTATGACTAACTTAGTGTTGCAATTAGAATAATGATATGCGACTCAACCCATGGCTTCAGGAAATAAAAATCGTCGTATTTTGTAGTTTTGATTATAAAAGATGATTGAATTCTAATTAACTTTAAAACTCTATTCTATTTATGTTTATTCTTGTATCTTTCTCTCAGTTTCCTGCAACTGTGCACGGTGCTGGAAGCGACACAGTCTGCACTAGGCTTCAAGACCTACACCTTGGACTGCAGCAGTCTGGAACAGGTATTCTTCAACATCTGCCAACAAGCAGACTCTCCACAGAACGGAATCGAGTATGGTGAGTGTTGAGAAGAAGCTTTTTTATACTATAGCCGGTAAACGAGTAGACCGATCACCTGATGGTAAGCATCGGCGTCGCCCATGGACACCTGGAACACCAGAGGCGTTACAAGTGCGTTACCGGCCTTTTTGGATTAGGAATTTGAGGATGGTGAAGATTCGGGGTTTGGGGAATGGGCAGGGGTAATTGGGTCTCCGGTAAACTCACTCACACGAAGAAACACAACGCAAGCGTTATTTCACGTCGGTCTTCTGCTCGGCCGTAGTATCACTCCGGTCGAGCCGCCCCATTCGTTCTGCAGCGAACCATTGCTCTCCCACCCTTGAAATATAATAATTTGTATAATAAATTGAATAAGTATATTTTACAAGAATTTTTAATGAAGTAACTATGGATAAACCTTCATTTAACACTCTCATATAATTGTAACGCCATTTAAACTGGAATTTCCAATCCGTTTCAAACATGGAGATTATAGTACCTAAACTTATGTACAGAGGGTCTATAGCCTATAGTCAATAGTGGACTACCACGCTGGTGGTAAAGATGCCAACTACGTATTGTAACTACAAAGATATTTGCGTTAGATTTTGTTTATTCCCATTTCTATATGCTAAACAGTGATTGACGGCTGCCCATCGAAGAGTGCGTCCAGCTCCAGCATCCGCACGGACCGAGCTCAGCAGGACCTGGTGCCACCTGATGGTCCACTGAAGGGCACCACCTGGCAACAGTTCAAAGCGCTCATGTATGCCAGATACATGCATCATATCAGGAACTGGTACGTAGCTTATAAGTCGGTTCACAAGCAAACCATTATAGAGAGAGTATGTTAATGATGTTTGACAAGGTAACTCAACTATTTTCTAGCCACGCTAGGGGCTTATAATTATGAACAGCAGTGCATAACGGGCAAGACGGTTAGCGTTACGCAGTCAACTGTCTGCCAGTTACGCGAGAAAGTCAAATAACACGATTAATGTAATGTCTTACAAGAGCCACAACACACAAAGAACAGACTTTACCCATGTCCGAACCCTAGCACAACAAGCTACCCCTTAATACATTTTCAATCTTACTTTCTAGCATTAAAGTTGTAAATCGATTAAACAACTATAATAATATTATGTAGATGGTTGAGCCGGCGAGTTTGTTGTGTAAGCTTCAAGACTTGTTCAATAATTGACGTCTTCCTGGTCAGGTGGCTGATGTTCCTCCTGATGGTGCTGCCGACGGTGTTCGTGTCAGTGGCCATGGCGTTCTCCATGCTGCGCCCACCTGCAGACAACGAGATTGCGCTCAAACTGGATGATCACCTCTATAAGGACTCTACCGAGTTCTTAGTGTGAGTAGAGGCTATATATTTATTTATTTTTCAGGTAAAATCTTGTAGAATTGTACATTTCTTTTCATTGAATTTTCGACTTTATATCAAAACTATAAAGTGGAAACCCTAATAAAGATATTTGACAGAATGAAATAAGTTCATCAGCTGGCTATTACGTTAATGCCATAGGCTTTATTTATCAGTCAGTATTCAAACTATACACCAACAAAATAATAAACAATCACACTATTCTCAATATATAGTCGAAGTGTCAAGATAAATTGATCCCTCTGTATAATACTATAAAGTACTATTTGTCTACAGACCACCACCTGTACCCTCACAATACGTGGACCCGAAGTTCGTGGATAGCATCGTACATTACCTGATGATGGACAAACAAACCAAGAATTGGACCAGAGCGGTAAGTTTCAACTTATTTACATCTTTGTCTGATGGGATTCGACGCTCTGATTGGCCGGCTCTAATGAACCAACCAATCAGTGCCGAACGCGGTCTCATTAAACGTTAAGAAACTCATAATTACGCTCTCAGTTCTATTATTCGTTCCTGTCGTTAGTAATCTTTGAAACAAGCTATCTTCAATAAAAACTTAGTTACTGTATTGCAACCATATTTTTCTATAAGTATACCTAGTATTTAGACTGTCAAAAGTAACTTATTTTAGTCTGATTGAAATAAACGCTTTGAATCATCGTGCAAGAAGTTTTTTTAAGTGTGGGAGAGCCATGCTTCGGACGAATGGACCAGCTCGACCGGAGTAATACCACGGCCTCGCAGAAAACCGACGTGAAACAACGCTTGCGTTGTGTTCCGTCGTGTGAGTGAGGTTACCGGAGTCCCAATTACCCCCCTCCCTAGTCCCCGTCTCCCGAATCCCCGAATCCACCACAATCCTCAAATTCCCAATTCTCAAAAGGCCAGTAACGCCTTGGTGTTTCGAGTGTACATTGGCGGCGCCGATTGCTTACCATCAGGTGATCCGTCTGCTCGTTTTCCGGCTAAGGGTATAAAAAAAAAGTTTTGAATCCCAATCTAGTATTCTTTGAAATAGTGCGTACAGAAGACTGAAACATTACTTTCAAAATTCCATTCTTTGCAGGACAATCCCCGGTGTGAGTGCAGGGAGACGAGACAGCACTGCAACATCACGGAGGCGCAGTCCACGACACCGCCGGAGCTGATGCTGCTTCCAGACTCCATAGCACTCAACAAGTGGCTGGTGGGCACACAGGAGATATACATCGAGAAGAGGTATGTATCAAAGTTATAATTAATGCTACTTTTGACAAGATAGTTCACGTTGTAAGGCTTATAAGGTTAAGGATAAGAGATCTTTAACCATATAATCTTTCATGATCATTTTCGAGATATTCAACGTCCAGCCATCTCTGGTTGAGAGGTATATCATAAAATTATATAAACTGACTTTTCTTTTAAATGGTTTTTACGATTTTCTGATCTCTTTTAATGATAACCATCATACTTACTAGTTAGTGTATACTTTGGTTACCTTTGATTGATTGATATTTGTTTAAATCTAATGTACTTTCAGACCTTATTTATGTATTTATTTTACTTTTTACTAAAAAATAGTAGACGTAGTAATAGGAGAGATAAAAATAGTAGACATTCGTAGCAATGAAAAAAGAAAAATGAAACATTTACTCACATTAAAATCGACCTTCTTTCCTTCAGATACGGAGGCTTTTCAATGACCCTAAAGAACAACATGACGAACATGATCTCCTGGTACAACAACAAGGGTCACCACGCCATGCCTGCCTACCTGAACACAGCTAACAACGCCATTCTTCGAGCTGTGTCTGGCAAGCCCACCGCCAACATCACCACTTACACGCACCCACTCAAGATCTCCAACGAACCTATCAGTAAAGCTACTGTGTAAGTACAAATTGTTCATTACATTTACCTACATACTTAAAAATGATTATTACTGTATTCACCATCCCTAAACCATTTCTGAACTAAGAGTCACTTAGCTTGAAGGAGCACCTAAACTAACCGCTTCCTTGTATGGTTAAGTTGTACTTAAAGGTTTGTGGAACGCAAAATGTCGTTAAAAATCATCTATTTTTAGGTAAGGAGTTTCTTAAAATTTAGGAGGACAAATGTTTTAACACATTAATCGCCGTGGGGGTCACGGTGACCGACATTAGCAGAGGATTTGCCTTCAACATTTTTCTTTTGGCAGTTAAAACCTTAACCATTAATTATATTAAAGATAACTGATATAAAGAAACATAGGTATAAGATGAGGAGTCAATTCTGTTGAAGAAATGTATGTATGTACTGCGAGTCGAAGAAACTGCCGGGCAAGGGGTTTCGTGTTCGATTCCTGGGTCGGGCAACGTACTACTGGGTTTTAAAAAAAATCCTCAGTAGTAGCACGGAGTCTGGAATCGTGCCCGTTACATGGGCCTCATAACATTAATAGTGAAAAGTGGTTACATTGTACAGTGACATAATGCACCTATACACCTCCGCCTACCCCTTCGAGGATAAAAAGCATGATGTTATGTTATGTCAAAGAAACTGGTCTTGCACACTCTGTTGACCAGTACATAGTCTACATAGACCTTATAAATATCTTAACTTCAACTAAGTAAATGTTCTATTATTTTAGTTGAATTTTAATATTAAATTAACTAAAATCACGGGAATATACTGAGTAGAGAGAGAGCAAAAGCTCTACTAGTTTCGAACCACAGAGGGGTTCTTCCTCATGAGCAGCGTGCGCGGTCGTGGCGACGTCACTGTTCTCAGTATATTCACGTGACTAACCCGCGATTTTAGTTAATTTAGTATGTCTCGCGATAATTTTAATATTCTTTAAACTACTGAAATATCCTAAACTTTTATTTCAAATTGTCCTGTTTCCTATAAATTCAGGTACCAACACATCGCAGACGCGGGTATCTCAGGGCTGGTGCTGGTGGCGTACTGCCTGGTGTCGGCGGGCGCCGCCATCTACCTGGTGGGCGCGCGCCGCTCGCAGGAGAAGCGCCTGCAGCTGCTCTGTGGAGTCAGTCCGCTGCTGTACTGGACCACGGCTCTCGTCTGGGACATGATGGTATGTCGGAGTAAGAAACGTATGTAAAGGGTCCAAATATAGGGTCTATCTGTAAAAAGAGTAACGAATGGAGTTTCTTGCTCGTTCTTCTCCATTCGAATCTACATTTTGGAATGTGCACCTAGCTTCACCTAGCTTAAGTGACGGACTGACTGACAGACTATTATTTATTTTGTACTAGCTTTTACCCGCGGCTTCGCTCGCGTCACAAAACGGTAAAAGTAGCCTATGTGACATATACCAATATATACATCGCCATCTATACCAATACTTTTGTTTTCCCTCGGGAATATCAATTTTTTCGGGATAAAAAGTACTCTATTATTTAATGCAGACTACTAACTTTACGCCTGCAAAAATTCAATGCAATCGGTTTAGTAGTTACGGCGTGAAGTCGGAACAAACAAACTCACTTTCCGATTTATAATATTAGTAAGGATTTGTTGATGTTTCAAAAGTACCAAATTATGGTTTAATTGAAATAAATGCTTTGACTTTGTCTGAAGATTGACCTGCCACTGCATAGCAAGCATCAACAGGATGACACAATATTTCCTGCACAGAACTATTAAGGAACTATAAAATTAACAGCCACATAGTAGGCTTCTGATAAACCTCTACCTCCAACCCGACTACCAAGCGTAGAGGATATCTCAAACTTTATTTATTTTACACAAGTGCCGGCACGAATGGGCCGGCTCGACCGGAGTAATACCACGGCCTCACAGAAAACCGACGTGAAGCAACGCTTGCGTTGTGTTTCGTCATGTGAGTGAAGTTACCGGAGGCCCAATTACCCTTCCCAATCTCCCCAATTCCTGAATCCACAACGATCCTCAAACTCCTAATCCCCAAAAGCCGATAACGCACTTGTAATGCCTCTGGTGTTCCAGGTGTCCATGGGCGACGCCGATTGCTTACCATCAGGTGATCCGTCCGTTCGTTTACAGGCTTATGCAAAAAAAAAGTGGTATTTGAGATAGAGGGATCTCAAACCCCACTTGTGTAAAGTAGACCCAATGTCTGTCACGGACTGTTGATGTGATGTCAATTATTGTGTTGTAGATAATGGCCATTAATGTCGGTGTGACGGCAATCGTGATGACGGCATTCGGATTCCCCGTGTTCGTGGCGCGGAACAACCTGCCTGCTATCTGCATACTGCTCATGTTATACGGGTACGTCTGTGTTATAAAGGATTTTTTTACAAACAGTCACAAGTAGGTATACATGTATAATATAGTAAGTCAAAATAAGCCAATGGTTTTAGGGGATGTTAATTTTATTCCCTAAAATAAGACATGTTTTTTGTATAATTTTGACTGCAAACATCTGACTTTTTACCATGTCTGGTCGTACGGCCTTGGTATCTGTCTGTGAAAAGTTATAACGTATTTTTCTGCTTCTAGGATATGAAATCCTTCTACACAGCTTCTTCATTAACTTGTTCTATTATATCCTGACAGGTTTGCATGCGGCTCCATGGTGCATTTGTTCGAGAAGATATTCTCGGAACCGAGCATGGCCAACATGGTGCTGTTCTGTGGGAACGCCTTCATCGGGCTCACCTTCATCGCCATACTACTCATCTTTGACATCATCTCCGAGTCTGAGGTAAGCATTAAAAGTAAAGGCATATTAATGAGTTTTTTCAAAACAAAAACCCGTTGAAAATCATCCCCTAAATTTGTTCATACAAAAGTAGTCTCTAAACATTGGTAATAAGGTCTATAATGTAGGTACCCCAAACGGTTACTGGTGACCGTGATATTTGGGTATCAATATTACTATACGACTTCAAGTTAACTATTCAAGGAAACATATGTTTCACGTGCTCGTAAATAAGTAAGAGTCCCGGTATCACTTAAAACTAGTAGAGCTTTTTTCAGTGATAGTTTACGCGTCCTGTACAATGTATCAGAAGACACGGGGTAAATCTTAATAACAAAGTTCTATTTCTCTAATGCAAATTTTCACAAACACCTTTTAAAATTTAAGGAACCTTTAAGTTAAGATAGGTGACACTTAACGAGATTTATATAAGTACAATCTTTTATATATATAATTCTTCTGTGAGTGTGTATGTCACTGAACTTTTCTCAAACGATTGGACCGATTTTGATGAAATTTTTTGTGTGTGTTCAAGAGGATCTGGGAATGGTTTAGATTCACAAATCAGCCCAGCAGATAGCGCTGCAGATGTTAAGGTTAATTATGCGAAACAGCTGAACTAATTTGAATGAATTTTTGTTTATACATTTAAGTGGATATGCAGGACAACGTCTGTTGGGTCCGCTAGTGTAATATATAAGTGACTCTTAACAGTACAGGTAAGGGGTTCTTTTAGCTAAGTAAATCTTAGTTAAGAGATGGTTTACGGGTGGTGTAACCGGCCATTAGAATAATAATTAATCTAATTAAACTTGTCCAGTTTTCAACACATATTCCCTTATTGCACTCGACAGGAGACAGACTATGCTCGCTACGTGCTCCACAAGTTCTTCATGTTGGCGCCACAGTTCGCGCTCGGAGACGGACTGCTCGAGATCGCCAAGAACACTATACAGGCTGAAGTGAGTCACATATATGTCCAACTTGCTAGCAAAAATATAATTCTAACACAGGAATGTAGAACTGAACACATTTTGTTAATAACCTTGCTTCTTCCCGCGGATGTTGAATGAATAAATGTTAGAAGAATGAATTAATGTTAAATGAATAAATAAATAAATGTTAGAAGAGCCGACTAAGTCCACATTTAACGACTGGGCAGTAGATAGTGCTCTCTGTTAAACCAGAAAATTGAAAACTACAACCTCCAACCTGCTTGCGGTGCGTGGAGATTATGGCAAAGTCCTCAATGTACGCTCATGGTCTAGCTGTTGAATGTCACAGACTTTAATGACTATCATTAAACTGCCTCGTTGGCCGAGTGATTGCAAGTGCGACTGTCCGACAAGAGGTATCGGGTTCGATTCCCGGGTCAGACAAATTAGCACAGGGTCTGGAATTGTGCCCGGTGTATGGCAATAGTCTCACCCCCTATTACATAGGACTCATAAGATAAATATTGAAAAATGGGTGTTACATTGTACAGTGGCATTAATTGCCGTAATGTGCACCTCTGCCTACCCTGATATTACATTACTCATATAAAGAAACGCCATTCTCATCCTACATTTTGTTTGTACAAAAACAAACCTACACAACTCCTCAATAAGGTACACATTTCTTCATCAGGTGCTTAACCGGTTCGGTATGGACACGTACAAGGACCCGTTCTCCAGCACTCTGGTCGCGTACCACTGCGTGTACCTGCTCGTGGTGGGGACAGTACTGCAGCTCCTCAACCTCGCTGTGGAATACAACTGCTTCGATACTCTGCTGGCCAGGTCTGTATTACTATAAGTATTATTGCGACACATGGCTACGATAAACCAGTTTCAACTTGTTGAATATTCGGAAAAATCTTTCCTAGTTCTCATTTTATCATGTTGTTGTGTTGTCCAGGTTGAGGTCGGAGCGAGTCCCCGCGGCGGCGGGCGGCGAGCTGGAGGCGCGCGAGGTGAGCGACGAGCGCCGCCGCGTGCTCGCCGCCCGGCGACACGCGCACTCCGCGCCGCTCAGGGTCAACACCATCGGGAATATTAACAGAGGTAGCTGGAATAGAATAGGGTGCCATCTTGATACATTGTCTACATCTACAATGAGTGATCACATTTTTGAAATAAATAAATAAATCATTCTCGTGTGCATGGCATGGCCTAAACTTGGTCTGCAACGCACTTGTGTTTTTGTTATGCCTTGGGTACCGTACACGTACACTTTAGGCTATGGCGTCCCCTTTCCATGGGCTTGCGGTCCATGTTATGTCATGTGTAGTGAAGAGAGGCCTGGTACAAGGTCAACTGCTTTAAGTGCCTTATCAAGCATGAAGGTGATAAATATCGCCAAAGCCTTAGAAGTATTTTTGGCATTAAGGTAAAAAGATAAGTATAACTTGAATTTTAGCTTCAAGTTTGTAATATTATAGTAACCATCCACAGGCTACATCCACACGGAAGGCAAGAAGGGCTCCCTGCAGCGCGTAGTAGCGCCATCTAGTGACGCGGCGCAGTGCGTGGAGCTGTCTAAGTGTTACCCTGCCTTCCGCGGGTACAATGTCGCGCTACGGAACCTTACACTCGGCATACCGCCTGGACAGGTTCGTACTACATTCTCTATTTAAGAAGCTGAAGTTTTTCATAATTGGAGGATGTGGTTGATGTTCAAGAAACGAACAGGTCAAAGTCAAAGTCAAAGCATTTATTTCAATTAAACCATAGTTTGGTACTTTTGAAACGTCAATAAATACAAAATAAATAATCGTCTGTCAGTCAGTCCGTCAGTGAAACTAGGTGAAGCTAGGTGCTCATTCCAAAAAGTAGATTCGATGGATCATCCCTATCTATTAAATAACCAATGACCGTAACTAACAATGGTCTGAAACTGACATCATCACCTGTTGAAAATGATGACAGTATTTTTGAGATTCAGAACAGATTCAGAAACACGTACAACGTAAAAATCTTCATGAGCATTAAACTAGAAGTGTATTACAAATACGTTGTATCCTTACAGTGCACAGCTCTCCTGGGTCAGAACGGCGCAGGCAAGTCCACCACGTTCTCCATGCTGACGGGCGAGGTGCGGCCCACCTCGGGACAACTCTACCTCAACAACAAACTCGTCAACTCCACGCAGCTCTGTAGGAATGGACTCATCAGTAAGTACAAAGAGATCTTCCATAAATATTCTTTTATTCCCCGAAAAATAAGCCTGAGGCGTACAGTTCTCCAAATGTTGAAGTGTGAGAGAGCCATGCTTCGGCACGAATGGGCCGGCTCGACCGGAGTGATACCACGGCCGAACAGAAAACCGATGTGAAACAACGCTTGCGTTGTGTTTCGTCGTGCGAGTGAGGTTACAGGAGGCCCAATTACGCCCCTCCCTAGTCCCCGTCTCCCGAATTCCCGAATCCTCCACAATCCTCAAATTCCCAATTCCCAAAAGGCCGGTAACGCACTTGTAACGCCTTGGCGTTTCGAGTGTCCATGGGCGGCGCCGATTGCTTATCATCAGGTGATCCGTCTGCTCGTTTACAGGCTTATACTATCAAAAAAAAAAATGTTAATCCCATATTCCACTGGGTACGATTGCCAGACTAAGCATAAGCTGGCTAATTTTATCACAAGCACTACGAAACATCAGATCATAGTAAGTACAACAATGACTAATGGCAACGTACTTACTTCCAGGTTACTGCCCTCAGAGTGACGCGATAGATCGTCTGCTGACTGTCAGTGAGACGCTGCGGTTCTACTGCAAGCTGCGAGGCATCGACGATCAGGAGGAGGTGAGGAAATATTGCTTTACAGTTTATGTTACGAGGCGACAGGTATAAACTTTGATTCTTCTGATGTCTTCTGATGATCTGATGATGATGATGAAAAAAACATTCATCATCATCGACAGCTTATAAATGCCCACTGCTGAGCAAAGACTCTTCTCACATGGAGAAAGTTAGAGCATTCATATATATTATAGAACATTGTTTCATATTAATTAACTTTAACTATTTGAAGTCTTGAACCAAATCTTTCTTTCAGTTTTGAAACGTGGCTTCCACAGTAAGATTTTCTTATGTTATGACCGGTTTTATAAGAGGGTTTTGATGTCATTTTTTGGTCGAATGGAAACCACAGGAGTAACAGGTTGCGCTGCTATTAGTCGATCAATCACTGCACCAACCAGCGTACAAATGACTAGTAGACTGTTCTTCGGACCAAATTAAGTTATTCCATTTTTCCATTCCTTAATATTTTGCAGGTGATAAAGCGTACAATGGAAGTGTTCGACCTGACGAAGTACTCCGAGGTGCTGAACGGTACCCTCAGCGGAGGCAACAAGCGCAAGCTGTGCACCGCCATCGCGTTCATGGCCAGAACACCGCTAGTACTGCTGGATGAACCTACCAGGTATGTGACGAGGAACTGCTACTAACATAATATTGCCGATTTTTTTACTATTTTTAGTTTTATACTCCTCAAAAGAGAAAAATATTGGAAAACATGTCTGTACTCTCCATATTATGTATCTGTACTACTGAAAATTTGCCGATATTTGCAACTTACAAAACGATTTTAAACCATTGGACTCTTTATTCGACACGGTCAAAATATTTCAATTCTGTGATATTTTTTTATATCTGATAGGCCGATGTTTGACCACTATCTTGCCCGGTGGTTAGCGATGATGCGGCCTACGATGGAACACGTCGTCCCATAAGCAACCTATTCACTCGGCCCTTGAAGACACCCAGGTTATAGGAAATATAGACTCTGGCAAATAATTCCACTCCTTAGCAGTACGCACAAGGAAGTTGAATTTGAAATGAACGTGGCCATGTTTTAGTTTCAGTATTATTTCTTAGGTACTTATGTTTTACACGATCTACCTGTGACTACATGGCACATTATTATTTGTATTAAGTGTGTGGTCCTATAGTGACCTGATTTGCATGAAAGTAAAGTAAATACCGTACCGTGTTCCGTGGGACAGTGGCATGGACCCGGTGTCCCGCGGCTGCGTGTCGCGCGGCGTGCGCGCGGCGTGCGGGCGGGCGCGCGGCGTGCTGCTGGCCACGCACGCGCTGCACGACGCGCGCCGCCTCGCCGCGCGCGTCGCGCTACTGCGCCACGGGCACCTCGTCGCGCTCGCACCGCTCGAAGACTGTCTCAACAGGTAACTAGAACTTAAATACCCGTTTTCAATAGTTTAAGAAACCCCTGACTTAAGATAGGTGCCATTCAACAGCATTTTGGTCCTCACTAATCTATAAGAAACGTGACACTTAACAGTACATATGAAGGGTTAGTTAAGTTTAAACAATTTGTGCACACTCTTAATGAATGCCCATTGTGGATATCCAGCGAAAGGCTATAATTGGTACAATGATGTAGTAAAAAAATACCATGTCTTCCCCAGGTTCGGCGGTGGGTACGTGGTGCAGTGCCGCGTGGGGCGGGGCGGCGCGAGCACGCCGCGCTCGGCGTGGCGGGGCGTGACGTCACGCGCGCCGCACGCCCAGCTCCGCGTGCTGCACCAACACACGCTGCACTTCCTCGTGCCCACGCACTGCACTGGTGACTATACTACTACATTTTGTTTTTATACTTTATAAAGGTCGTATTAGCTTACACAAAACGCCCCTCGATCAAAGAACTTCATGATTTGGACAAATTATTATTGGGCGTTGATATACTCTGTTTCGATTTCCTCATAGACACATGAAGTGTGCCCTTTAATAAGGAATCTGTGACTGAACTTATCTAGCGAAAAATAATAATTTAGGCTCTCCAGAAAACGATTACTTATATTTTTGAATATAATTTCTTATAATAACGCTAATCATCAACATTACTATAAATATAATATGATAAACTTTCGCGTTGCAGTTGATCAGAAAGAGGTGACGACTCGTCTGAGCGACATCTTCCGGCTGATGGCGGAACTACAAAGCACCTGTGATATTGAAGACTTCACCGTCAACCAAAGTTCATTGGAACAGGTATGAACCACAACCACCAACATGAATTTGTTCGTTTAATGGGATACGGGGACTAACAAGCAGACGGATCACCTGGTGGTAGGCAATTAGCGCTGCCCTTGGACACTCTCATCTCCAGAAGAATTATAAATTTTTGGGGAACGTTTGGTAACTTAGAGTCATGGTAGCCTGCAGGTTTAACTCTTTCAGTCTTAGTGGTCATTGTAGCTAACCACCTTTTCTTAGAAATTCAATTTTTGAAGTATGCTTCTTTGTTTGCATTGGTTTTTAAGCATTTCAGTATAATTCAATAAAATAAATTCGTAACTAGTTAAAAGTGTGACTGAAGGAGTTAAAACGCCTGCTTCTCATACATGAGGTGAGGTTGCAGGCTCGAAACCTACCAACAGCAAGTGCCAATGCGAGTTTTTCCGAGTTATATGTACTTTCTAAGATTATTCAGACACCAATGACAAACGGTGAAGGAAAACATGGTGAGGAAACCTAGGCTTATAATTTCTAATCATAAGTTTGAAATCGCCAACCCGAAATAAGCAAACGTGGTGATTAATGCTCAAACCTTTTCTGTGTGAGAAGAGGTCTTTGGTCAACAGTGGCCACTTACAGGCTGTTGATGTTGATGTGTGTACTTTACTTCTTGAGACTCCGGACGCAAGAGGACAAAATATACTTGTCGAAGGCGGTAACGCTCATCCCTCTTCTGATGTCGGAGGAGTCATGATTAAGTTCCGGTTGCTCAGACATAATGTGAGCGAATATAAGTATAGCGTAAATAGGAAAAGCGTTTAGAATTAATCACCGAGTTTCTTATAATCACAAGGTACAGTAACTAGGCACTAAGCGACAGTTCCGTAACAACGTCTTCAAATAGTGTCGACTCGAACTGAAGTGACCTCCGAGTCTCATGACCAGTTGCTATATATATATATATATAAAAGAAAGTCGTGTTAGTTACACCACTTATAACTCAAGAACGGCAGAATAGATTTGGCTGAAAATTGGTAGGGAGATAGCCTATAGCCAGGAGACCGACATAAGATGCTTTTTAAACAATTTTTTTTTACTTTTTTCCGAAAATCACGAACGGGTACGGGAAAAAATGGGATGGTACGCGTACGAAGTCGCGGGCAGAAACTAGTTTTTAATAAACTGATATTGTATTAGTGGGTTCTCAGGGCGTGAAATGAAGTTCGACACACGATTGACTGTAAACTGTATATATTGGATAGAAACTTTAGATTAAACATAAACAAAGTTGCACAATAAAACAAAACTCAAAATATTCGCGCGGCACAAATCTGGGGCGTGTGCGTCGCGGCTCCGGCGCGGGACTCGTTGTTCTGTCGCGTCCACGCAAGCGTCGAGCGGTCAGTGGCGGGGAAACGGGGGAAGGGAAATAGTGAGGTGGCGTGTTGCCACTAGAGTAGCGCGCGCGCGTCCGACACAAACCGAAATCGGTTTACCGTATTACATACTTTTTTACTATTAAGTACTTAACATAACATAACATCACGCCTTTTACCCCCGAAGGGGTAGGCAGAGGTGCACGTTATGCCACTGTACAATGCAACACCCACTTTTCACTATTTATGTTATGAGTCCCATGTAATAGGGGGTGAGCCTATTGCCATATACCGAGCACAGTTCCAGACTCCGTGCTACTACTGAGATTTTTTTTAAAACCCAGTAATACTTTGCCCGACCCGGGAATCGAACCCGAGACCCCTTGCCCGGCAGTCGCACTTGCGACCACTCGGCCAACGAAGCAGTCATATTAAGTACTTATTATTTAAAAATATGATTTTCTCTTCAGATGTTCCTAAGCTTCACGGATAAGTCAGAGATCGAGTCAGACATAGTAGAAGTGGAACAGCTTCCTTCACCAGACACCATCATGACGACCGAGGAACTGGACACTGTCACTGCTCTCTAAGTAATAGCAACGAGTTTTTTGTTCACTAGATGGCGCCAAAGTAGCGTAAGGTTGCACAAATTGTTGTTCCAGGTCTGAGTGTGATGTGTCGAATGTGTATGTTTGTAATAGCACCCACGGCACAGGAAACAATGCGATATTGTTTTGACATAAAGTCGAAAATCAAATGAAAAATATAGCAGGGATAGCTTGAACTCCTGGCCTTATGACCTTGTTAGCTCTCTGATTTTGAAAATATATCTCAATTTTTATATAACTTATATCTACAGTCTCCTGATTAACATGACCCTTATAATGATTGGTATTAAGTTCGTTTTTGTTTGTACCTCCAATTTATAATGTATCCTTACTGTTTATTTCGAAAAGTTTTAAGATTATTGGTCACAAATGCGACTGTTGAACAAAATTTCGGGTTCGATTCCCGAGCCGAAATTTTTTTTATGATTGCAAAAATGCCATAAATTCTGAAGTTGTGACCTGTGCATGGCATTAGACAAATAATAATATGTAATTGATATATTCCCAATATTCTGCCTACATCTTTAGGTATCACCAACGCACCGTGATGTTATGTAGTTTTAGAAATCCACAAATTATAGATAATTTGACTATTTTAGTTATTTTTTTAAATTGATAATTATATTTATACTTATTGTCGAATTGTAAAAAGACTTATGAATTATTTTTTATACGATTTGTTTTATAATTTACCATTGATTTCACGTTCTGTAACCAACTTTATCCAGTTAGAAAAACTAACGACTAGCCTTAATACCCGTTTTGTCGGTAGATTTGTCTACAAAATACACATTTTGATGAAGTTAATGTCAAAATTCATTGTTTTGTAGAAAAATAATCTACCCGGCAGCTGTAGCCAAATGCCATTTAGCGCTTGTCTACATGTAGAATAGAAAACCAAATTATATGGAATTGACGTAAATTTTGACACTTGTCAGTGTCATCCCCATACATTTTGATTTCTACTCTCTCTGTAGACAAGCGCTAAAGTGGCGTTTGGCTAAAGGCTAAAGGCACAGATTGGTTACTGAGACCGGCCATCAGTTGAGTCAGGTGTCAGATCAATGTATCAGGACGTTCAGTGTGAAACTGTTTAGGTTCAATATTAGACCATTTTAAAAGAATATTGGTACGACTTTTAAGTAGTTTTATATTGTTTTTAAACGTAATAGCTCAAAGTTATTGTTAGGTAAAGCAATCTCTAGGTTAAATTAGTTAAAAGCACAAATTATTATAAATTATTTTATTTTTGTAATTATGTTTGGGAATTTCCGAAACTAAATCACTACGGGAATTTCTATTTGACCTGGAAATCCCTTGGTTATGTAAATTCTTGGCGCCAAAATTTAAGGCCCACGTGAACTAGGGAATCTCCAAATTAGGTGTACAGCCAGCAACATAAATAAATTAAATCTTTGAAAATTATGCCATAATTATTTGTTTCTTTTTTGCTGACTGTACATTTACAGATTTCATTTTAAATAGTAATGTTTTAACAAATGTATGTAATTAATTTAATGTTATTAGTACGGACAGCAGCGAGATGTTGTGTTGCTGTCCGTACATTGTCCTTAAATAACAAATATGCAATCTCTGTGATATGTAATTTTCTAGAATTTTGAATAAATAAAATATGGTTTTTGGATGTTTTGGTTTTATTTTATCGTCAATAATCCTACGTATGTACATTTCATGATCCTCTTTATATTTACATGAAATCAATCAGTTAAGTTTGACATAGCAGAAATGGGCCCACTTCTGCCAAGGTCATCCTGTCTTTGTCCCTCAATCGGCAAATATGGGTAAACCAGAGTGTTTAAGCCTAGAATTTCGATATTTTTTAGCAAGAACCTCTAGATTTTTAACCGCTTATCTGCCGGCGTATGAGACACAATAGAAAAGACATTGTGTTTCGCGTATATCTACGTTCCGGCATACCAGGGGTTAAAGGAACTAATCCATCATGAGTACCCTCACAGAATTAATAGTAGCAACTACATATTTTGACTGAGGGAAAAAAATAAAACATTGTTTAGAAAGAAATAGTTTTTATTTAAATACCATAATTTTGTTAATAACAGAAAAATCTACTAATAATGTGGTAAAAACAGTATACAGTAAAAATATAAAGAATAAGTTAAATAACATTTTTAAACACAAACAAATACGACGACTTATAATAATTTAAAACAAAAATTTTAACGAAATTCTGATAATAGTTTAACCAATAAAGATTTTGGATTCAGACCAGATTATTAATTATTTAATCTCTACAATATATGAATATTATATAGTCATGGAATGTCTCTTAAATACTGCTCACAATATAACATTCAATAAAATCACCATTATTTAATTTCAACATTGAAACATCAGATCTATAAAGAAGGACTAGAAAACTTAAAATTATATATTATTTATTCACTTTCTTACACATATTATATTAGATCTGTACCTGTGAATTTTATAAATATACCGAAATGATTATAGCAAAAATATTCTTATTACGTATTTTTATGGAATGCGGCTTTTTTGTGTGGTCAAAACACAACTCAAGCGTTTTTAGACGTCGGTTTTCTGCGAAGCCGCGGTATCGCTTCGGTCGAGCCTGTATAGCTCTCCCGTAATTGAATTTGGATGTCAAATGTTAATAAGTGCGTTTTTTCGAAGGCGAAAATCATCCAATGACTCCTCCCGCCTTGGGCGAGAGAGAGTGTCAGACGCTTACTGACGAATACAGTTTCTACTCCAGCTTACAGCCGAGCCACGGTAACCAGATAGGCCGTCCGCAGCTCCGGGTCGGGAAAACAGTAATAAGTACTCAGGTAAATAAAGCAGGGGTGGCAGGTACCAACTACAACAACATCATCTTGTGTCATTTTTCAATATATTTTATAATTATGTACTAAACACTGTGGTGTATCATTTTTTATAAAAGGAACAAGCCCGCCACAACCTCCCAAAACCGCTGCAACTCCAGTAAGCCAGGATCTACAGTAGATACAACCATGAAAACACCGGAACACTGAAGTCCGGCGCGTCCCAGGGACATGAGTAACTGTCTTGGTTCCCGCAACGAAGTGAATCAGAAGATATTATAAGAGGAGGAAAAAAACTGATGTATCATTTAAGATTTTAAGAAGTATGTAAGTGGTAGGTCGCATTGGGTTTCATTTCGTTAGTCAAATGTAGGTTTTATGTCTGATCAATTTGGCCACCCCTGTCATAAAGGTACAGAATGATGATACGGGTAGAACGGTACCTCATAAAAGAAAATTTCCATAGAATTTGCTCCAAAAACTAATTGCTATCAAACGAAGGGATCCTAAGTCCGGCCGACTTCTTGAAGTTTCCGGCGAAAAGGTCCAAGACTCTGAAGATGACGTCCATGTTGACTTCCTTGTGCGTAAAGCTGGTCACAACTAGTCTGATGGCCTGGGACAGTGTCTCTTCTCCAAACACGTATAGTAGAGCTGTAAGAAACAATACATTTCATCAACATCATCTCTGTGGTCTTATCACTACAGTCAAAACCGCTTACAACGACATCGTTTATGACGACGGATCGAGTACAACAACGAAATTTCGAGGTCCAGTCTATTGTCTTATAAAGCATAAAGATATTGGTTATAGCGACTATTGGTTATAACGATCATAATTATTATTAATCGGTCCCTTCGATGTATAATCGATCCATAATTAATCCTTATAAACGGCTTTGACCATGTAAAACAAAGTCGCTATCCGCCGTCTGTCTGTCCTTATATATGCTTAGATTTTTAAAACTACGCAACAGATTTTGATGCGGTTTTTTTAATAAATAAAGTAATTCTTATGGAAGGTTTATGTTTAATACATGGATATTGCACCCGTGCGAAGCCGGGGCGGGTCGCTAGTTAGCAATAATAGAACACTTTATGTCAATTGGGGATTAGATTACTTCTTTTCTCAGGATTTGAAACAAATGGAGAGATAGAAAACCACAAAGTTTAGTAGAAATAAATATGATAGTAATATTACACAAAATTGTCTCTTTCTAAAAGTAGACGGGCAATATTTATCGCCGGATACAGGTGTAGGTGTAAACCTAATGTGATTATGTTCACCTGTATCCAGCAGTACGAGATTACACCTGTTAAGATTATAGATGATAAATACTGAGTAAATGTTAGGTATTTATTTGGGGTTTTAATTAATAAAAATACTTAAATAAAAATAAAAATATTCAGAATTTACTCCGTATTTATACATTTTGACTATTGAACCGAAAAGTCGTCCATCATTGTGTTGATTAATAATACACTTTGGTACAAACCTGGTGTATTCTCCAACAATGCAGTACATGTCTCGTCTACATCGAGTTCCCTGGGCGAGGTGTCCTGGAAGAAGTCATCGTCACTCTCCGACAGTTGCTCAAAGATCACGAACACCTGCCTCCGGAGCCAGGTCGCCAGGTCCGCCAGCCATGCGTCCAGCAGAGACTCTGCTAAATCTTTAACAGGTACATGGTTTACTCAGTGTTACCAAACATGAGAACTGGGGAAAAATTAGTTTTCTAAAATTTTAGTTTTTTCGCGAAGCGCTGAGGAATGGAATTCATTGTCAGAATCTTTTTTATGGAATAAGCTGGTAAACGAGCAGACGGATCACCTGATGATAAGCAATCGGCGTTGCCTATTGACGCCTGGAACACTAGAGGCGTTGTAAGTGCGTTACCGGCCTTTTGGAATTAGGAATTTGAGGATTGTTGGGGATTCAGAGAATGGGGTAATTGGGCCTCCGGTAACCTCTCATCCACATGACGAAACACGTTGTTTCACGTCAGTTTTCTGCTCGGCCGTATCACTCCGGTCAAGCCGGCCCATTCGTGCTGAACCATAGTTCTCCCACATTTAAAGGTTTCTGAGTCTAAGTTTTTGAAGGGTGTCTTAGTCGTAAGTTTTGAGTGAATAAGTTTCTTGTTAGACGTGTTCCATCGTAGGCTGTATCATTGCTTACCATCAGGTGATATAGTGGACAACCACCTATTAAATATGAATAATATAGCAGTAGTTACCAGCCAGTAGCAGCGTGGCGAGTTTGTGCGCGACATGCGCGTGCGCCAGGCCGGCCGCCGCCGCCACCGCGCATGCGCACGACCAGCTCCCGCCGCACGCCGCGCACCACTCGTCTGTAAGGCAGGCAGGCAGTCAGTCGGTCGCTTGCTACCCCGCCGGGAGAGTCGCGGAGAACCTAACGGGTAACCGGGGCTCAGGCTCGACGTGCAGGAGAAGGAACGGGGTGGTTTTTAGTCAGTAAGAGTTTGACACTCCCTCCCGCCTCACCCGGGCGGGAGCAGTTATTCGATGATTTTCCCCCTTAAAAAAAATAATAATTCCGGCGGGAGCCGCGGGTGGTACTGACCGAAGTCGTCTGGCGAGTGCGGGCGGCGCGCGGTGCGCGGGGCGAGGTCCGCCAGCGAGTCCAGCGCCGCGTCCACGTGCCAGCCGCCGCGCCGCGCGCACACCAGGCGACACACCGCGCCACACACCTGCACACCACACATAAATTTCCACGCTTGGGTTGAAGATCGTAGTTTAAAAGATTCAGGTGTATTATATCTAATACACCTGAATCTTTTAAACTACGATCGTGTACACCGGTGTAAAGAACCACGCAATTTAAAGACTTATAGCACTGACGTTAAGGTCTACAGCGGTGCAGACGTAGGTCCATTCCCGGGGCGCGCGTGGCGCGGGCTGGTCGTCCTCAGCGCCCACGGCCGTCTTTATAGAGTTGAACACTCCCGTCACTGTGCGCTGGAACAATCTGCGACAGAATATACAATCTTACTGTAGGGCTTGTAGGTCCCTTTTTTATAGGATAAGCCGGTAAACGCCCATGGACACCCGAAACACCAAGGCGTTACAAGTGCGTTACCGGCCTTTTGGGAATTGGGATTTTGAGGATTGTGGAGGATTCAGGTAATTAATTGGGCCTCCGGTAACCTCACTCACACAACGCAACACAACGTTGCTTCACGTAGGTTTTCTGTGAGGTCGTGGTATCACTCCGGTCGAGCCGGCCCGTTCGTGCCGAAGCATGGCTCTCCCACACTTTAATATTGTTTGTTAGTTTATGTTTTTTTTAACGTTTTATGTTGAAATGTTGAATGTTGTTGTTTAATGACGACCAATCTTTTAGACAGTTTTACTGCTACCGAATTGAATTAATTAATAAGATTACAAGGGGATGAAGCCCATCCACATCCCCCCACTCAAGAAGTTGAATCAAATAAGGTTCCAGCAATGAGGAATAACTAATTTAAATCCTTACTAATATTATAAATCTGAAAGTGAGTTTGTTTGTTTGTTTGTTTGTTCCACCTTCACGCCGTAACTACTAAACCGATTGCTTTGAAATTTTGCAGACGTAAAGTTAGAAGTCCAGATTAAATAATAGGGTACTTTTTATCCCGGAAAAATGTGATATTCCCGAGTGAAAACAAAAATATTAGTATAGATGGCGCTGTGTGTATTCCTGTAGATGGCGCTTTGTGCCATCTAAAACAATTCAACGAATTACCTACTAATTGGAAATTTCACGCTTTAATCTATAGCGCTTATTTGGTGTTCTACACTTATTCAGTGCGCTTTTCGACTCATTTATTTTGCTATTTTTTATGTAAAAATACTTAAAAAACACAACGTGGTAACGTTGTGTAGTAGTTACGCTACTTGGCGATAGATGGCGCTGAGTGTTTATAAAACGGGGTAGCGTTGTGCTATTAAAGTACTTTTATCGCTTTTAAATTTTGGTTCCTACCATTTTACATTGAATTGTGTATTTTATAGATTTTAGGTTGTTAAAGTTACATGAAATTGGTGTCTATGTAGTAGTTACGCTATTTTTTAAGTATTTTTCGCTTTTAAATTTTGGTTCTAACCATTTTACATTAAATTGCGTATTTTATAGATTTTAGGTTGTTAAAGGTACACAAAATTGGTGACTATGTAGTAGTTACGCTACTTGGCGATAGATGGCGCTGAGTGTTTATTATTATATATTCAACGGGGTAACGTTGTTTATTAAGTACTAGCTTTTACCCGCGGCTTCGCTCGCGTCACAAAAAGATAAAATTTAAAAGCGAAGAATACTTAAAAAACAACGCTATTCCGTTTTATAAACACTCGGCGCCATCTATCGCCAAGTAGCGTAACTACCACATAGACACCAATTTCGTGTACCTTTAACAACCTAAAATCTATAAAATACCCAATTCAATGTAAAATGGTAGGAATCAAAATTTAAAACCGATAAAAATACTTAATAAACAACGTTACCCCGTTGAATATATAATAATAAACACTCAGCGCCATCTATCGCCAAGTAGCGTAACTACTACATAGTCACCAATTTTGTGTACCTTTAACAACCTAAAATCTATAAAATACGCAATTTAATGTAAAATGGTTAGAACCAAAATTTAAAAGCGAAAAATACTTAAAAAATAGCGTAACTACTACATAGACACCAATTTCATGTAACTTTAACAACCTAAAATCTATAAAATACACAATTCAATGTAAAATGGTAGGAACCAAAATTTAAAAGCGATAAAAGTACTTTAATAGCACAACGCTACCCCGTTTTATAAACACTCAGCGCCATCTATCGCCAAGTAGCGTAACTACTACACAACGTTACCACGTTGTGTTTTTTAAGTATTTTTACATAAAAAATAGCAAATAAATGAGTCGAAAAGCGCACTGAATAAGTGTAGATTAACACCAAATAAGCGCTATAGATTAAAGCGTGAAATTTCCAATTAGTAGGTAATTCGTTGAATTGTTTTAGATGGCACAAAGCGCCATCTACAGGAATACACACAGCGCCATCTATACTAATATTTTTGTTTTCACTCGGGAATATCACATTTTTCCGGGATAAAAAGTACCCTATTATTTAATCTGGACTTCTAACTTTACGTCTGCAAAATTTCAAAGCAATCGGTTTAGTAGTTACGGCGTGAAGGTGGAACAAACAAACAAACAAACAAACTCACTTTCAGATTTATAATATTAGTAAGGATTTTTATCGGTTTTAAATTTTGATTCCTACCATTTTACATTGAATTGGGTATTTTATAGATTTTAGGTTGTTAAAGGTACACGAAATTGGTGTCTATGTGGTAGTTACGCTACTTGGCGATAGATGGCGCTGAGTGTTTATAAAACGGAATAGCGTTGTTTTTTAAGTATTCTTCGCTTTTAAATTTTATCTTTTTGTGACGCGAGCGAAGCCGCGGGTAAAAGCTAGTATGTAAATATACAAAAGTTTCGTATCAGAAATAACCTTTCGAGATTAGAAATAGAATATGATGATGAGACAAGAGAAAAATAACGTATTTTTTTAAATGGAAAAAAACGGAAACAAAACTACGGTTAGAAGAACATGTTTGATGTGTGTTTTGAATAGGTAATCCCGTATAGCTATTATAGCACCTCTATTAGCTCAAATTTTTAATAATTGTATCGACCGTGGTGTGTTTCCTGATCTTATGAAAAATAGTAAAATAACACCGTTATTTAAATCAGGTAGTACTTCTGACCCCACTAACTTTAGACCTATTTCAGTACTACCTTCATTTAGTAAAATTTTTGAAAAAATTATTCTAAATCAAATGCAAAGATTTTTTAATAGAAATAAATTGTTACATGCTAACCAGTTTGGTTTTACCAGGGGTCGTTCAACAACTGATGCCGGTGTTGAACTTCTTAATCACATATATGACGCTTGGGAGGACTCAAGCGATGCTTTGGGCATTTTTTGTGACTTATCCAAGGCGTTCGATTGTGTCCTTCATGATACATTGATCAGGAAGCTATCCCATTATGGAATAAGAGGTAAATCTCTGGATCTTCTTACCTCATACTTGAGTAACAGGATTCAGAGAGTCGAGATAAACGGAAAAGTCTCCGCCGGGTCTGTTGTCAGGATGGGGGTTCCGCAGGGGTCAATTCTCGGCCTTTTTTTGTTTCTTATATATATAAATGACTTACCTTACCTCGTACGGGATAAACACGGGATAGTACTGTTTGCGGATGATACTTCGTTATTATTTAAACTTAAACGTAGACAATTAGTCGTTGATAATGTGAACAATGCTCTCTCGGAAATAGTACGCTGGTTTAGTGCCAACAACCTATTACTAAATGGAACTAAAACTAAATGCATTAAATTTACAACACCAAATGTTGGACATGTTAAAACCAGCGTGCTCATTAAGGGTGAGGAGTTGAGCCCTGTAGATTCTACTGTCTTTTTAGGTATAACCCTAGACGCTAAGCTCCAGTGGGCTCCACATATAGATAAGTTATCGAAAAGGCTCAGTTCTGCAGCATATGCCGTTAAAAAAATTAGAAAGTTAACCGATGTAGATACAGCGCGATTATTATACTTTAGTTATTTTCATAGTGTCATGTCATATGGTATTCTCCTATGGGGGAATGCTGCTGACATTCAATCTATCTTTGTTCTGCAGAAGAGGGCCATTCGATCAATTTATAATCTTAGTCCGAGGTACTCTCTCAGGGAACTATTTAAAGAAATTAATATAATGACTGTTGCCTCTCAATACATTTATGAAAATGTAGTATATGCTCATAAAAACAAAAATTTATTTAAAAAGTATAGTGATATACATAATATCAACACGAGAAATAAAGACAAATATGTTGTTCCCACTACTAGACTAAAGAAAATAAGTGGTTCGTTTAGATGTCAGAGTATACGCTTTTACAATAAAATTCCCAGCCATATCCAAAATTTGAGTGTAAATAAATTTAAAAATGTCATTAAAGATAAATTTTATAGTAAAGCTTTTTATAAAATTAAAGACTACCTAGATGATAGTCTGGCTTGGGAATAGGCTGCTGTAACGTCCACACAGGTCATGTTGACATGTTTGTAACATATAGTTACATTTCTTGACATTGTTTTTCATATATTGTTCTAACTTGACATTTGCTTTTTCCTTTACAATTGTTAGTGCTAGGACCGTGCGAGACTTTGCCTCACCATTTCTTTTCTAATTACCCATATTCTGACAGTTTGAGTATTTGTGCGACCCACGCAAATGTTCTTTAGGTTGGTATTGTTCGTCGAATCAGTCAGCCTCACCTGTTAATTGAGCCGACTGTAAACCGACACATGCGTACTGCCTTCAGAACGGGTCCGCTCAAACTGTTGTGGTTCTTTCCTCAAAAGGCCACTACAGAAAGAACTTGCACGGTTCTCACACATAATCTATTATACATATTGTCTGGACTTTAAAAGAGACAGACCTCTGAGTTTGTTTCGGCATTTCTTCTCAGAGTAGTCAGTTAGGAAATGTCGACCTCATCGTTCGCTTGATAAAATTGACGTGTAAAAGTGCTGCCTTGTAGCCTATTTGCAGAAATAAATTCACTTGTTTCACTTGTTTCACTTGTATTTTTGCTCACCAAATGGTACAAATATAGGAAAACTGAAAAAGTTTTTTTATCCAATCGCGTCCAATGGCGTTACACTAGCTAATTCCCTATTGGACGAAGAACGAAAGGATTATACTAGTGCCATCTAGTGAGGAAAATACGGTAGGTGTATGTATCTTACTTGTCAAGTCGCTGCATGTTGTTGGACGTCTGTCCCGGCGACGAGTTGCGCTCCATATTCATATCGTACTCATCTGAAATAACACAACCATTATACATATTGCGGAAATGATGGTAATGATAATGGTGACGGTGGTGATGATAGTGAAAGTGGAAATGGTGATGATAGTGAAAGTGGAAATGGTGATGATAGTGAAAGTGGAAATGGTGATAATAGTGAATGTGGAGATAGCCACTCTGACGTCCGTGGATAGTACGGTATCCAAGAAAAAAGTAGCGTCATACGCCCATGGATACTATAGTATCCAAAGCGACGAGTTGTGTTTAATGCCCTCTAGTTTAAAATACGGTCTTGCTTGGTGAGTTTTGACAGATTATCTATACAGTTGAATAAATAGTTCGACGAAAAAAATAGAGATGGCAGTGTAATAAGCTTTGACAAACAAAATGTAATTTTTTAAGTTCAGTTGACTCGTTTGACGCGCGTGTTGTGAAGTGTTTTTGTGAGTGCCAACAATTATGTCGTACGTACTACAGTTTTGTTTTATTTATCTTGCAAGTGTTATACATCAAAATAAACTAGAAGATTTGTGCTTTACGATGATGTATAAATATCACAGTTTTAGCTGATAAATCTAGTCTACTTTTAACTTCAAACGATTGTTGTTTTGAAAAAAATGGCCGGTCGTATGGTGTCGGCCACTTTTAGTTTTGTTTATACATATTTTACATACTTTGCATTACAATAGTATATAAAATATCGAAATACATTTCGTAATAAGCAAAATAATACATTTTTCAAAGAGAAATATACTAAATTCACTGAAGATTCCATAATAATGTCAATGTGTTCCTCAGGTTTTTTGATGTGGACTGTTTGGTATCCACGGACGTTACATGAAACGTGATAAATAAGGTTCGCTATACACGGCAAAATATGTTTGCATTATTTTTGTTTTGCTAGTGGTGGTATAATATTTTGCTTGAGATGATACTAATATTTAATATAAAATGCACTTTTGGGTTTTGTACATATATTCATCATTTATTTTTCGCTTGGTTTCCGTTGGATATGTATAATGTTCTAATGGTTTTTTTTTGTTTTGAAACATTAATTACATGTTTGTTCGTGTTGATTAATTTCCGCTAAATGTAAAAAAATGCACTTGTGGATTTGACTACCTTTCTTTTTTACTGTTGCCCTTGCACGTGTTGCATGGTCGCATATATTTTAATGCTTCGCCAAATTTTATTTTATTCTTTTAACAATACTAATGTTTTAAATTATTCATGCAGATCACCAAATGAAAGCTTTTATGTTGAGGGAAATGGGGGAACTAGGGGGCGTGGGGGAAACAGGGGACGTGGGGGAAACAGGGAACGTGGGGGAAACAGGGAACGTGGGGGTCGCGGTGACCGTGGCAGTCGTGGAAGTGGTGAGACACGCGGGAGCCGTGGTGGCCCTGGCAGCCGGGGAGGCCGTGGCAGCCGGGGAGGCCGTGGCAGCCGGGGAGGCCGCAGGGGGCGCGGACACGATAGGACCATATGGAAGTGTCTACAATGCGACGTCAATCTCTGCATTGAAAATTGTTTTATGGCTTACCATATATGCTATATATCTGCATAAATGTGTGGAAGGAATAAATTATTAAATGTATATTGATTTTTTTATTTGCTTTTTATTTAAATAACCAACTAGAACAAATAAACAACTTCAAAAATACAATTATTGCATAAAACTAATTCATAAAATTATTTAAAATATTTTATTAAAATTACATCGTGTGTGGGAAACCTTAGACGGGCGGCCATATTGCTATTATTTCGCCTTCTCGGACGAGTCAAGGGCGCTCGGGACATCGCGGTAAAATTACGAGGAGTAGTGTTTTGTTTTGATTGAATTAAAATACTTAGAGTTAACCGAATGTAATCGTATATACATCAGAAGAAAGGGTAATAAGTCTAGTTTGTTGTAAAAATATTTTATTGATAAAATATGCAATAGTTGTGCCTTGTATTCTAAAAAGGTAGAAATAATTGTGTATTTTTTTTCTGAATTACATGTTTAACCCGGTTTTTTGTATTAAAGATTATAACTTACGATTTAAAAAAATCGTTAAGATTGATCAGTATTCTTCAATCTTTTTTTTGGTATTTTTTTCTTTATTCTAGCCATTACGGTTCAGTAGCTATATAGGTTTTTTGTTACGACGAACTAGCGAGTCGCGCGCGGTTCGGACGCCGCGCGCAGCTGGACGTTAGAGAGATAAACGGTCGCGCGGCCCGGACGTTAGAGTGGATAGTAATGATAGTGAAAGTGGAAATGGTGATGAAAGTGTATGTGGAGATGGTCATTTGGATGACCAAATGACACTTTCATCACCATTTCCACTTTCACAATCATGAGATTGTGAATGAAAGTGGAAATGCGATGAAAGTGTATGTGGAGATGGCCATGATAGTGAATATGGAGATGGTAGTGTAATGATGTTGAAACGATCTAGAAAGTGTACGTGTCCAGTAGAACAGACCGGCGAGCGTGGCAGTGTCGACGTGCGCTCCGTGCGCGGGGGGGGCGCGCTGCGTGCGGCCGCGGGTCTCCGCCGCACTCTCCCACCACACCTCCTCCGCCCTAGGGGATCAACCTCTTAACTAAGAATTACTTAACTTGACGGAGTACCTTAACTAACTCCATACTTGTACTTTTACCTGTCACTTAAAGGTTGGCGAAAGCCAAAACGTCGTTAAGTGTCACAAATCTTAACTTAGGGGTTAATTCAATTGTAAGAAAAGATGGTGAAAACGTATTCTTTACGAAGACCCATGTTTAAAATAGAACACAGTTGTAACTCCTCTAGTGTTGCAGGTGTCCATGGGCGACGCCGATTGCTTACCATCAGGTGGTGCATCTGCTCGTTTGCCGGCAAATACCATAAAAAATAGCGTTTTTTTTCCTGAAAGTTCTCAGGCAGGCTTCAAAAATCCATATCCGCCTACTTGGGGCTGGTTTCAGCTCGTTGCTGCAGCAGACAGCGCAGCTTGGCGATGCTGGTGGAGAGATCGGCCGCCTCCTCGTACTCCGGCTCGGGGGAGTCGGGGACCGGCGCCAGGGGGAGCTCCGGTAACGGAACCGGACGGGGCTGCGACGGCTGCGGGGACGTGACGTTCATATATAGATTCTGTTAGTTAGTATTGGAACACAAGAGTAAGAAACGTCACTTTTACATAGAAATTGTATGGAGTATTATCGACACCATAGAAATTTTAAGTGTGGGAGAGCCATGCTTCGGCACGAATGGGCCGGCTCGATCGGAGTGATACCACGGCCGAGCAGAAAACCGACGTGAAACAACGCTTGCGTTGTGTTTCGTCGTGTGAGTGAGGTTACCGGAGGCCCAAAACTCCCCTCCCTAGTCTCCCGAATCCCCGAATGCTTCACAATCCTCAAATTACCAATTCCCAAAAGGCCAGTAACGTACTTGTAACGCTTTGGTGTTTCGGGTGTCCATGGGCGGCACCGATTGCTTACCATCAGATGATCCATCGTTTACCGGGTTATGCTATAAAAAAACCAGCAAATGAAATGAATAATGATATCACTGACCACGCTGTCCTGGGAAGTGACTCGGTGCTGCTTCACCAAAGGAGGCACGTTGTTCTCATCTGGAAACATTTTTTTTTTTACAGTTCGTACCACAAGGCAAACGGTTCTTCTATGCGTAAAGCTTTCCAATGTTTGTCATATGTAACCTACTGTTTTATATTATTTTATTTTAATACACTTTTATCTTTATCGTTTTGTAATAAAGTTGATAAAACAATGCAGTAGATTGCTACTTTTTGTACTTCAGTAGTAATATGGTACAGTGCGTAAGTGTTACCTCGCTGTCCATTGCCATGGTCCTTATGTTCTACAACATGTTTGCTGCGTGACTCCGGAGGGGAAGCCTTGTCGCCAGGACGCTCGCGATGATGGGAGGGCGACTTATCCTGTAATATTATTACTAAATTTTATACAGTAAATCGGTTTAGTTGAGCTCTGACAATCTCCCCTTCAGCAAATAAAATTTCTGGCTAATGAACTATTAAACAAGAGATACCAAACTTAAAACTACTGAATTCAAAACACTAACCGAATCGTCGCTGAGGCCAGTGAAACGCAGTCCCTTCTTCAGACCAGCTATACCGAAGTCCAGGAGACCTTCCATCATGCCGGCTGCCTCATCCTATATCAGGGCATATCGATATGAGTATTAAAATATAAGTATGTACCCAAATTCTGACAAATAACAACATTATCACTTTACACCAGTATCCTTTTAGAATAGTAGGTACATGTAGATAATATTAAAATATAGTACATAGAAACTTAAGAGGCATTCTCGAATTAATAAATATTATCCAGAAGAATTATCTCAAAATGTCAGGACAATTTATTAAAATGGTTTAGCAATCCGAGAAAACCAGAGCTAGAGAACTAGAAAGTTTGATAGAAAATCGTTTTCACCATCCTCCCCTTTAAAGAACCCCTAAGCTAAGATAGGTTGAGGCAGCGAAGCGCTACCTTCTCACAACCCAATGCCGCGACACTCCGGGCGTCGGGGCATCGCGGGACGATCTTCGGACATCGTAAGCGCGGGCCTGCGGACGGCGAACATGGGTAGCTCACCGCCCGACCAGATACAGAGCCGAGCGACGGCGCTAAGCGTTCCACGCGCGCCTCAAAGAGCTATCAGACCACCAAGGATAGGGCTCAAAATGGCTAATGCCGATACGGAACCGTGGAAAAAGTTACCGGGGCTTCGGCTCGAAGTGTGTGAAGTAGGAACGGGGTGGTTTTTAGTCAGTAATGGTCTGACACTCCCTCCTGCCACACCCGGGCGAGAGAAGTCATTCAATGATTTTACCCCCTTAAAGAAAAAGCTAAGATAAGCGACATTTAACGACATTTTGGTTTCACCAAACTAAAGTAGTACCTAACAAGTAAGGGGTTAGTTTAGGTGCTACGTCAGACTAAGTACCTAACTTTTAGTTAAGGGATGGTTGGTGAAAACGACCATCAGAGCTATAGACGTCACACGACTTCTCTCGGAATGCTACACCTTATAGTACGACAGTACAGACACACCCACACAACAATTTTATTGGGAATCAAATAAAGGCAGAAATACATTAGTGTGTCGTGCGTGGCGTATCGGAGAGCTGACTACTTTGGCGACCCACACGACATGATACAACGTACAAGTGTGTATCTAGTGTGCATAACCATAGTAAATGTATGGAACCAGGGCCGTATTATCTCTAAGGCAAACTAGTGCGAGGCGAGTGCCTAGGGCGCCAGATATAGGGGGTGCCGCGAAACGCTTGTACATGTGGCGACGGCGTCAAAAAAATAGGAGCGCTTATGTAGTGCTCACTGAGGACGCTCTCTATGTTTGCACCGCCTCTGTATGAAACCGATTTCCTTCTGGCCAGTCCTGGCGCCCACCGACACGCCACGGTAATGTATTTCTGTTTAAACACGTATCTACTAAAGTCCCCGTGCAATGACTTACATGCTCATCACTTCACATGCATAACCAAACTCGATTTGAGTGCCCAATGCGGCTTTGTTTTAAGTTCATGCGATCTAACCGTCACCGCGTTCAGTCCTCTGATTGGTTGGTTAACTTATAGCAGCCAATCAGAGCGCTGAACGTCATTAACGTGGCGATCGCGTTAACGTAAAAGAAACTCGAACTAAGAACTCTTATAGTCCATCTGTTTAGGTAATTAACTAAAGGTAAACAAAGAAAACCACGTGACACAGAGATACTTAACCTACTATTACTTCAAATATTTCTCGTGTTTTAATTTTAACTAAATTCACTTTAAACTCGTTCATTTGTCATACACACATATACAACTACAAATGCCTAAATCGTACAAGAGCCTTGCCTATGGGTCTATTTCATTATCATGTTTAAATAGAAACTATTCTGAATCTGGATGTACGGATTTCTTTCTTGTACGGATATGTGTCTTTGGGCCAAGTTTCTTCAATATATTTGAACACATTAATTACAAACGATGAATAACCTAAACTTGAATAACTTAATAACAAAAACAAAACAAAGAAACAAGATAAATTCAACAAAATAGGAACGCGAGCGCAAACGACGAGAGAGCTGTCAATGGCGCCTGATTAACCGACTAAACGTAATACACGCTACTTTCATTGTCGCGCTACATCTTAGTTGTACTCTTTAATTTGACAACATTATTTTGCTTCGTTCTTAAAGAAAAGTTTTAGATACCTGGGATTTTAGGCTCTTTATGGTGTCTATTGTAATGAAATGTTATACTATTTAATAAATGTTATTAAATTAATATCCTCAAGCAGATATATATAATATTTACTAAGAAATAAGTGAAAAGGAACAGAAACATAACATTTAATAGAGAAAACTATCGTAAAAAGGGAAACAATTTTATTTTCTTATGAAGTATTTTGAATCATGGAAATGTCAACTATAAAGAACTCTTTTTATGGTTTGTTTACAAATAGTTAACTACCTAAACAGACGGAGTATAGTATCAATAACCGAATTCAATTGAAAATCTATGAATTAAAATAGATTTTTGATATCAGCCTTACTTATGGAATTTACGTCAAAAACGTAGATTGATCCAGAGATTTTGAATTTACATCGGTTATTAATTTCGGCCGAACATAAAGACGAAAAACAGGGTGATTGCAAATATATTACATTCTTATCCTAGTATGGGAGTTAAGTTGAACATTTGGAGCGAATCAAAGCGAGGAACACTCCTTGGTTACTTTTGAGTTATCCAACTAAGAGCCGATTTTTCAATCACCAGTGAATTCTTATGCTACATATAAACTCTCGCGCGAGTCGAGACGAGGCCGAGATACATTGACGTTATTATAGATGAGTTGTAGTCCTTCTCGCATTATAAGACTGTAATGTACCTCAACCTCGTGTCCGCTCGCGCGAGAGTGTGAATGTAGCATTAACTGTAGAATAAAATTGACAGTTGACAGTTTTTAGTATGGAAGAATTGTCAAATATTCAAAGTTATTCCATAGTTAAATTTTATCTGAGCATTGAAAAATTGGCCCTAAGAATTCTTACGAACAACCGCTGGTTTTAAAATAAAATAATATATGTGCTACTTTAAACCCATACCAGAAACGTGTTATTTTCAGTCACCCTGTGTTTCAACCAACACCAATTTTAAGAACAAATAACATTATATTGAAGAACACAATCTAAACCAAAATTATTCCATCGCTAGACAGAGATACCGTTATTTTTGTAATGTTGTCTCTTTCACTAGAACAATTCTAGCTCTAAACACTTTCACACACACCAGTTATCGGAAAATAGACCTTATTCTTAAGAGGTAACATTGAAAGTCAAGTGTCACAGACATGCGGTAGGTTGGGAGACAGTTAGGGCAGTCAAAGCGTATGTAACCTGAGCTTATGTGGCGCTCGATCCAAAGGTCGCACCTGTCTATAAATTTTGCACAAAATTTTAATACTTTTTGTCATAAACACTCAAAAATTTTTGCACTTACATATGAATATAAAAAAATTGAAAATATTTTATATGATAAAAAGTAGCATAAAGAGAATCGGAGTAATTATTTATCATAAAAAACCCTTTAAAAATTAAACCAAAAGCCATTACGGTGTGATGCGTTTACCAGAAAAAAATTCATCGGATCAGTGCGCACAGAAAAATCAAAAACATTCTTTTATCATCATGTTTTTTTTATAATGCTCCCAGCGGCCCAAATACCGAAGCAATAAGCAGAAAGATCGTGCAAACAACATACACTGGAGTTTTGCTTGCAGGGCAGATCTAAGCCAACTTTGTGCTCCACCTGTAGATCCCCTATCTTGGTCTTGGCTTCCCTCACGGTAGACTGCAGGTCCTTCAGTAAGGCATCTGCTGGCTTCGGGCTCTGCTCCTTCTTGCTTTCTTTAAACGAGTTCGAGTCTAAAGGGTCTACTTCTATTGTTTCTTCTTCACCTAAAATATAGGTTTTAATTAATAAAAGAAAATAAAAGAAAAAATGTATATTAGTATCAATCACATCAAAATACTTATTTTAACATTCATAAACACATTTGACAATAGTTCAAAAGGCGGCCTTAATGGCATATGGTATTCTGCTACCTGCCAACACCAGGGTCAAATATGTAGACCCATATAATTTTCCATTAATTTTATGGGTATCAATATTACCTGAGTATTTTTAAGTCCCGAGTGAACTACATCATTGCTTACCACCGGGCGATAAAAATGGCAATTTACATACTATGCTATGCTCTAAACTCTTACCAAACCAGAGTGGTTGTGGCGACTTGCTCCGTGGTGGGTTGGGGCTGCCCTCCGTGTCGGCGTCCTGTCCCCAGAGCCGGCTTAACGTGATCTCCCCGTCCAGACTCGCCAATAGGTCCTGTCCGAGGCTGATACACTGCAGGTCTATGTCCGTCTCCCAGGTTTTTACACTACCTGCATGATATTATGAGAATTAGTCACATACTTTTTATATCCTAAGTTCTTATTACTCTGGTAAAGTGGTCGCTAGAAATGTCGCACAATAAATTTCAGTTAAACTTTCGTGAGACATACTAAATCAATTATTATGTTTTTCCTACAATGCTGCTCATGAATATGAGCCTCTAACATAGCTTGAAACTAGTCGGGATCGTCGTCAAACAGTTAAATGAGTAAGCCGAAAACATTAATGAGTTTCTGGTTCAATTTTAGGTTGGTAAAGCACATTGCTTTTCGAAATGTCCAAATAACCTGGAGTCCACAAATAAGCTCTATTATATTAATATGCATAACAAATGAACCTTCAATAATTCTATCGTAGATCTTGACTTCATTCCTGCCTTGCCTGCCTCTCCGCTGTCTCATAATTGGTGAAGCCTTTATATCAACAGGTTCGGAACTGGTCACCGGTACCTCTTCAACTATGTTCTCTATCTTTTCCACCTCCATCTTCTCCTTCACAATATCAGGGATACACTGGGGCACTGTTACGGTAGCCTTCGTAGCCACTACTGGTATTTCTTTCTCTCCACTTATTGGTTCTTTTTTTGTTTCAATAACACTTGGTTCTGGTATAACTGCTTCTTTTTTCTCTTCGGTTACTACGGATTTCTGTTTTCCTTTCAAAACTGTCAGTAGTTTCTCGTTCAACCAAGCAGGATCTGCTAATGTAGTGTCGATGAAAGTGTGAAGTTTCTTTGATAGGATGCGGACTAGTAATTCGGAATGCGGAGTGTCCCACAGTTCCCATGGCACTAATTCTTTGAAAATAACACGAAGGAGGTTCGTGCAATGGTCAGCAGGTTGGACTTTGTTGTTCACATCAAAAATTTTATGAGTTTTCTTGTATAGAGCCTCTACAGTACTATTTGGTGTTTTTTCCTTACGTTTCAAAGCTTTCTGATATTCTTTCAAGTGGCTTGACAATACAGTTGTTATATCTACAAATACATCTTTGGTTTCTATCTTGTTGCATATCTGTAAATTTTTATTTGTTTGATAAATAACATTTTAAAATACGTTAAAAAAATTTATTACTTTTAATTTCAGCACGGAAAGGGAAAACGTCTATCATCAAATTATTAAATAAACAATAATGCATCAAAACCACACACCTGAAAGGTCTTGCCAATCATCTGATCTAACATTTGTTTGCAAGCGAATGGGAAGCCAATCTCTTGCGAGATATATGGCACGTACCATGACGACACCAGCTTCCTCTCCAGCACTGTCGAGATGACGCTCAACTCATTCGTATCGTACTCATGAATCTCAGACACCGCTTTCCTTGGCCGAGGTAGCAGTTTCGATAACGACGACAAATAAGGATAATCCGCCACAATACCATCAAGATCATATTTTATCGGCTTGTTCAAACGCAACAACCACTGAATAAACTTAAAACTTACGCATAATGATACTATAAATAATGTTATAATGTAAAGAGGAAACCATATTCCTGTTATTGGTGAAATATTCGTAATGTAGTTCAGTAGGACACAGATAAATGTTCCCGCGCACGATACAATTGTTGTGCATTCCAGTAAGTTTCTCTTTAGTAACATTTTTGTTTACTATTTTCTAATTAATAAATAAAATTACAACATTATTTTTAATCGATCCACCAGTGTTTTGCAACTTCTAAGTTTCGTTGACGGATTGACAGCTTGATGACATTGATTAGTTTCGAAAACATGTCAAACTGCAAGAACAGCTGAGCTTATTTTATATTGGAAAATAATCGAGATAATTCTTATTTATTGAAAATAATATATAAGTAATTATGTGAAATAATAGTTTTAATTAAAGAATTTTCCATCTACTGTTCAAATGACACTATTATTTTACTGAAATCCCTTCAGGAATGTATCCGAATTTCGTATGTAAATGATTGATTGACATTTAAAAACGTGTATACGTCAAAGGTAAACGTCACATTTATTTCGTGTGTTGCTCGAAGTTGCGAAAATATTGAGAATATTTTTTTCTAAACTACAGTTGATAATTCTAGAATAATGTAAGTGCAAAATATATTCATCCTTTGTCCATTTTACATATGGTAAAACATTGCAAGTGTTTAACTCAAATATTATTTGTTTCTTCAGGTCGAAAGTAACTTTCAAGATTACTCTAACTTCTGACCCAAAACTGCCGTTTAAAGTGTAAGTTCAAGTTTTATTACAACTAATATCAACTCCTGTAACTTCAACGTAGACCATGTCTGTCAAATTAGTCCACCTCCATGTTTAACTTCTAGTCAACTGTAGTTTATTAATTTCAACAGATGCTGAATGGTCCAGGGTACTGCGTTGAAGTTACAGGGGTTTAAAATGGACACTGCTGTAGTAGAACAGTTCCTCAACTTCTTTCAAGACTACATTGGCCTGTGTCAATGTGAGAACTGGCCTGACAATGACACAACAGAGACTGAAATAAGGAATGCCTTTCTCATAGCACAACATGTTGAGAAAAGTCTGGATAGACTGCAAAAGAAAACAGTAATTAGTGAATTCTTATCTGTGTTGAATAGTCACAATGAGGCTTCAAGCAATCTCATAAAAAACTGCTTAAATGACCCACCGAAGTACATTTTAAATAAGATAATTAATTCTAACACTAGGATAACTCAAATGGACACTGGCTTTAGAATATTTCTGAGTTGTTTTCTGAGGAAAAGTTAGAAAATTGTTTAACTGAGTTGATGCTTGAGGCAGCTTCTAAAGAAACTTTACTGAGAAATGTCACAAATAGACTACCTCGGGATAAAATAATAGAATTTAAAAGCAAAGTATTGTTGTCACAACTTAAATCAAGTGAGAATGATGTTGTAGAATTATTGATGAACTGCTCCCAAGACTTGGTAGATGTGTTAGTAGTGAGTTTGTTGAATAATGAGTTGCAGTATGGTCAGGCGGTACAATTGATAGCCAATGGGATCCATGAGATTGTGCTACGTAAGGACAGTGCTTCTAAAACATTTTGGAAATTCCTCTTTAAAGTTGAAGACAGATATTTTACTGAGATGTGTATTGAAAATTCTGACATATTTATTTACATAGTACAAGCTTTGACAGACTGCAGTAAATTGTTGAGAGAAGGCATGTCCGCTGAGTCGTTTTACATAGAATTAAGTCATTCCGAGTTAGTTGGTGTTGTACAAAAAATATGTAGTAAAGAATGTTTAAAATCACTATTTCTTGATACCATAAAGAATTATGATAATGATTTAAATTACTGGGAGGCAATGTTGTGAATTGAATATAATTATTACTATTTTAAATAATTGTTGTTTTTTTGTTGTTCGCTTTTGCATATTAGAATAAAATTAATCTAGCAATTTGTAGATTACTGGTCATAGTTGAAATTTACTTATAATAAGAAGATTTTACGAAAAGCAGTTACCCTTTCTAAAATCCTTTCATCTTATTGGAATCCTCCGGACTTCATTGTGTCCATAAGAAACAGAGAGACCAACACATCAGCATAGCTAAGCCAACCTGTAATATAATTTTATAAAATAGATTTTAGAATTTAATCCATAACCAAAAATATTAGATTTGGTATGGTAGGTTGCCTGCAGAGAACAGAACATAACATTTTTTCATTATCTAACTGATGGCTAATTAGATTTTTATTTTTCATACCCTACTTTTTAACTACCTTATTAAGCAGCTAATCAATTAAGAATATACTTAATTGATTTGCTACTTACCTTACCAGGGTAACGACTTACCTACAAACTTACCTGTACGTTGACAACTTTAGCATCTACTATCTTTGTATACTTGTAATAGATTGAGCGTGCCCGAAGCGACTCCATTCACGGCGGTGCTGAAGTTCGCGGCTGAAGAGTTCCGCGTGGAGCCAGCCACCAGCGCCATCATCACTGACGATGGTATCGGCATCAACCCTCAGCAGACCGCAGGTATTTTGATTTATTACTCATAATGTTGGACCAAGCGAAGGTTTTCGCTAAAAATTCATTTATTCTCTTCATCATCACAAACTTTAGCATTTATAATATTTAGTGTAAACATAATGCATATTTAAAAAAAAGTAGATTTTCAACATCGATAATGTCACATGTTAATCGTCATGGTAGATGGAGGTTTACAAATTCAATATCCCTAACTCATACTTACTTACTACATTTAGTTTACTAGTCCCATGTGAATAGAAGTTAGCCTAATACTATTATATACAATTCTCAGTTGCCATTCAAGAAGAAAAAAATGAAGTTCCTATAATAATTAATTAATTGTTTTGATAAAATATTTAAAGTTAACAGTATTGTAACACTGTTGTCATTTCCAAATAAGTATTGAATTTGGCTATAATAGGACTAAAGAGGTGGCGTGTGCCCAGCCATGGATGTCTTCGTGCTGTGGATGATGATGATGATGATAATTGAACCAAAAGAAAATCTCTGGCAAGTTGTACAAATTGATTGTGTCCATCTTGTTTCAGGCAATGTGTTCCTGAAGCACGGCTCAGAGCTCCGACTGATCCCCAGGGACCGAGTGGGGCAGACTGCTACATAGACGACATTCCACTGTTAATTTAAGTTACAACTTATATACATAATATATTAAATATATTCGCTTTATGTTAAATGTGATTAAAATTAAATGATTTTTTACGTGTATTTGCTGTGTTATAATGATGATACCCCATTCTCGTGACAAGGATTAATTTTCACTTGTATCGATTTCGACTACATTATAAGATCTGTACAAAATATATCAGAATACTAATAATAGCTATATCTCTAGAATTAATTCAATCATGAATAGATTATTGTCAACCTTGTTGTTTCGTAATGAAATTGAATATTTATAAAAGCATTTTGGTAAATTTACATGTCGGTAATTTCTCGTTTTTACTGGAGGTCAGCATAATCTTTATTCTATTATAAGTTATAACATTAAACCCCTACCAAATAATATTAAATCACTTTTTTATAAAAGGTAAAGATGATTGGGAGAAGGGTAGGGAGGTCTTTGCCCTGCAGTGGAATGACCATGGCCAAAAATAAATAAATAAAATCAATTGATCTTTTCCTATCTGTGGTGGTCTTCCTTTCTATGCCTTTTCAAATAATACAAGGAGATAAAACTTTGGGTCAATTTTATTATGCTTAGAACTAATGGAAAGTAATATACAAAAGAAGGAAAGCGCTTATACAACTAATCTAGTCTTAGTAGTGGTTCCGCAGCTCGCAGGAATGATTTCTCGAATTCTTTCTCAGAGAATCTGTCCACTGATGCTCTGAAACAAAATGATTATTTTTATTTGTAGGCAAATCAAACATTCAGTTCGGTTCCCTAACGACTCAGATAGGCCAGTTGTGATTGTGACATGACCTCATCAAAAATATCCTATTTTAAAATCCAACTTTGTAATTGACTGTTCAAAAGACCAAAAAGGACAGAATAGTCGATATCACATTTGAAATTTTTAATCTCACATCACATCAACAGATTATAAATGCCCACTGCTGAGCAAAGCCTCTTCTCACACGGAGAAGGTTTGAGCATTAATCACCACGCTTGCTCAATGTGGGTTGGCGATTACAAACTTATAATTAGAAATTATAAGCCCAGGTTTCCTCACGATGTTTTCCTTCACTGTTTGTCAGTGGTGTCTGAATAATTTTATTTTTTTATAATTTTTTATCTCTAATTATTATACTAGAGCTACAGAATCGATTACAAGTAGGAAAAAGTTACCTAGCAGCCTCTACAATAGCCTTCTTCTCATGCGCCGGCAGTGCGATGACCTCTAGTATGGCGCGCGCGTACTCATCGGGCTCGGCCGCCAGGAACCCCGTGCGGGAACCTGATGAAGTCTCTATTATGTCCGCCAGGGGACCGCCGGACCGGTGAGCTATTGTGATTAATCCCGCTGCCAGACATTCCACTACACCTGGAAAGATAATTGTTATGAATGATTGTAAGAGTTACTGGTACTTTCACTGATGAAATGGATAAGAATTGTAATATTCTGTTTGTCTGAAAGAAAGTAATTTTTTGGTAAGTTTAAGTTCAACATTATTACATAAAAATAACCTTTACTACTTGCAATCCTATGTCGTAGCAATCCTTGCATCAAAATCCATACATTTTTAGGTTGGAGTTTTCTCTAAGCTAGGTTAAAAGTTAAAGAAGATAGCAAGAAGGTTAAAAAACCAATGCAAACTATACTAACTGATTCCAAAATGCTCATTCCACATGGCATGTATCGCCAGGCTGCAGGTCTGGTATAGCTGTAACAGCCTGGCGTAGGGCGCGTTCACCACAAACTGGACAGACTCCTCCAAAGACAGGTGCTTCGCCAGATCCTTCAAGTTCTGGACACGCTCCTCATCTTCAGCGTTGCGGCACGATCCTACTAGTACTAGTTTTATCTGGAAAGTATATTATTTAAGATTAATATTTTTTATGAGGTAGGCCGGCAAATGAATCTACGGATCACCTGATGGTAAGCAATCGGCGCCGCTTATAGACACCGGCAAAACCAGCAGGAGTTAAAAGAGCATTGTCTCTCTGACTGGATTTAGGTGTTGCATTGTTCTCACACAATCAAACCAACAAAACTATGTAACTAGAGAATTGTATTGTGTTGTGAACCTGATTGAAAAAGAAATAGATAGAAATCTACATCTTGGAATGAGCAAATAGCTTCACTTCTAAATTTGGCTGTTGACGTTCAAAAGTGCCTTCCTGGTCTAATTGAAATAAATGATTTTGACTTTGTTGTCGGTCTTTTGGGGGTAAGGAATAAGAAGATTGCGAGACTTCGGGCGGGGTTGAGGATAAGGGGGGAAGAGGATCGAGCCTCCGCAAATTATAAAACTAAAGAAGTTGTTTCTATGAATGGGGTAACAGGAACTACTGGTTAAAATACTAACATGAAAAGATATTACTAAAGCCAATTTACCAAAAATCATTATCATTTTATGTCATGTAACTCATTTATAGAAACTTAATTTGCTAATACTAAAAATTCTCTATCAACAATTCCATAGTTACCTTATTCCAAAGCATTTCGTTCTTGACAAGCAAGTTCCTTAGTTCGTACATGGCTTGCAACATCAGCGGGTGATCCTTCTCTGGCCGGAATTGGGCCACGGATAGGATGCGAATAGGATCCGTGTCTTTTACTAAAGACCTTAGCTGTTTTAGCTCTGATACCTATAAATAAGAAAAAACGTAATTTATATTAGAACTAGCTGTGCCTACGACTTCATCCGCGTGGAATACTGATTCACAGCTCCTCCCCCGTAGGTGATAGCGTGATATGTAGCCTATATGTTGCCCCGACCTGTTAGTAATACTCATGCAAAATTTGAAGTAAATCTATACGTACTGTATAGATTTTTGAGTTTAGCCCGGACGTACATAATATGTACAGACAAACAGACAAAAAATTCTAAAAACCATATTTTTAGCTTCGGTATCGCTTGTAGATCATGCACCAAGCATTCTTTAAAAAAATACTCAATGTACAGTTTTCACTCTTTTACGATTTTATTACATGTATAGGTTTTTTTTTTCTGACAAAGTCCTATATCTTATACTATTGTATAAAGCTGAAGAGTATGTTTGTTTGAACGCGCTAATCTCAGGAACTACTAATCTAATTTGAATAATTATTTTTGTGTTGGACAGTCCATTTACCGAGGAACGTTATAGGCTATAAAACATCATGCTACGACCAATAGCAGCCGAGTAGAACGGGTGGAACCGCACGTGAGTAGCCATAAAATATAAAGGGGTCCATTTTCAAAGCTAAGGTAGTTCACCGCTAGATTATGGGCCCTTGACATTAGGGAGTTTGCAGTAATCTCCGCGCTTGGTAGATAGCTTTAGGTTCAGGTTCATCAGGAAGAGCTGCTCCTCGGTTTGTTAAATATGTTATCCCTTATCCCTTATAACGCTCTTACGACAAACAAAGGGGTTAGTTAAAAAAAGAAGATTATTCTGTATTAGCTGTTGCCCGCTATTTCGTCTGCGTAGATTATGATTCCTATTTTATCCCATTAGGAACATTAAATCGGGATAAAAATATCCTATCACCAAAGTCAGCCCAAACCCTGTATACCAAATTTCTTCAAAATCCGTTCAGTAGTTTCAGCGTGTTTGACGAACAAACACCCAAAGAATCTTTCACATTTATAATAGGTATTAATAATGTGATATTTTGTTAATCTACCTACATTTTGTAATAATAAGTGAACCGGGTAAATACAGCGGTACTTTTACCTCATAACTCAAAAGCAAATAGTTGTAGTTATCGTACATTAAGTACGTTTCCTTATAAATGTGTTGAACACCGATTAATATCAATCAGATAAGATATCGATGATTTACTCACACGGATATGAGCAACCGATATTGATCAAATTAAAGTGACAAGAACTCCTAACTGACATTTTTGCGATTTTAATTTATTTACGTAGATAGACTTTAAATAATTGTTTGCGTGAGCAGGCAATAGTTTTTTTCGTTTCCTGTAAAATCATGTTCTGGTAGATAGAGGTTCTTGTTACTTCATCGTCGATTTAAAGTCTATCTACGTAAAAAAGTAAAATCGCAAAAATGTCAGTTAGGAGTTCTTATCACTTCATCGTCGATATTAAAGTTTTGAGCACTTAGCTCAAAACAAGAATTTCATATACCCAACAGTCCCAACACTACCTTCTCTTCCCATGGGTTTTGTGAGTCGATAAAGGAACTATATAGGTACATATTTAACAGAGCCAGGTCTACAGTATTCTTTGATAAAAACTTGATCCTTTTAGACTACAATCCCTAATCCGTCGATGCCGTCTTTACTGGTTAATTTGTGTGTTATTGTACTTTGCGACGGTGTGCAAATAAACTTTTTTTTATGGCATAAGCTGGTAAACGAGCAGACGGATCACCTGATGGTAAACAATCGGCGTCGCCCATGGACACCTGGAACACCAGAGGCGTTACAAGTGCGTCACCAGCTTTTTGGGGATTAGCAGTTTGAGGATCGTTGGGGATTCAGGGATTGGGGAAGGGGAAGATATTTGGGCCTCCGGTAACCTCACTTACACGACGAAACACAACGCAAGAGTTGCTTCACTTCGGTTTTCAGTGAGGCCGTGGTATCACTCCGGTCGAGCCGGCCCATTCGTGCCGAAACATGGCTCTCCCACATTTTCTTTCTTTCTTTTAATCTGCCTTGAGCACGCATGGTCATAAATGCTCATTGCCTCTCCGAGTTAGAAGGGCTGATATTGATGAAGTTAGGAAGTAATAAGTACCTCACAGGGCGGGTAGACCCTGAAGGTGCTGAGCGGCATGTTCCATAGTTCGTTGATGTGGTCCTCCGTCCACGTGCCGTTGGCCATCACCACGTCCGCGCACCGACCCATCACGCCGTACAACTGGAACCAACAAACGCCATGTAATTTAAAGTATTGAACATTTATATGATACATCATGATTAAACTGCCTAGTTGGCCGAGTGGTCACAAGTGCGACTGCCGGGCAAGGGGTCCGGCAAAGTAGTACTGGGTTTTCTCAGCGGTAGCACGGAGCCTGGAACTGTGCCCGGTATATGGCAATAGGCTCACCCCCTATTACATGGGACTCATAACATAAATAGTGAAAAGTGGGTGTTACATTGTGCGGTGGCATTAAGTGCCGTAATGTGGACCTCTGCCTACCCTTTCGCGAATAAAAGGCGGGATGTTATGTTATCATCATTAAAATCAAACTCATTATTGATCACAATTCTATTGTAAAGTTGATTGAAAGAGTAAGTAGTTATAGTTTCTTGCGCATACTTCGTCATAAGAATGTTCACTTTGTAACGAGCAAATAGTTTCACTAGAGGACTGACCGACAGACTGACTTTAATACCTATTTTATTTCAATTGCAAAAGTGCCTTATATTTTTTATAGAAAAGGACTGAAGGCAAAGGTCGATGGAGCGCCCGATGGGAAGTACACGCCACGTATCCCATGGACACACGCAACACTAGCAAACTCAGAGACACGTTGCCGGTCTTTCAAACGACATTTTTTTATGTCTTGGCCTCATCATATTAGCCACAGGACGTTCACTGCTGAACATAGGCCTCCCCCAATGAACATAGGCCTCCCCCAATGGACATAGGCTTCCCCCAATGGACATAGGCCTCCCACAATGGACATGGGCTTCCCCCAATGAACATAGGCCTCTTGGTCTTGTCTTGACCTTATTGAAGCAAATGATCACTATGTAAGTCTGTACATACCCATCCAAAAATCTTATAATACACCAACTTGATCCATGTGAAGAGTGGGTTGCGAGCAATGAGACTGTTGTTGTTGTAGGCCACGATGCGATGTTTGACGCGCCGCATCATGGCCGCCGTGATGGTCGGGTAGTGCACGTAGCAGCCCACGGGGCACGCCGCCAGGTACCGGAATATTGGGAACGTGAACGCGAAGCCTGTCGTGTCTATGTACACATCTGGAACAGTAGAATAGATTATGGAGTTCGTTAAGTGGTTAGGATATGGAATTAAATGAGCATGATTTAGTCAGTACTAGGTGTACTCTTAATAAAGCCAGATATATTTTTAGGAAAGAATTTTCTTTTGTTTTTAAAGACTTCATGCACACACTAGTTTCAAGGTAGGCTTAATGCCATAAGCATTCCTTTCCAGCCAAATTTTTTGGTGATGGAGAGACAAAACCAATGGTTGATGCAAGAAGCACATTCAAATTGTTTCAAATTGTTAATTATCTTAAGAATTACAATATCTGTCTAACATTGAGGCAGTCCCAGTTTGTTATTATACAATACTTGTGTTGGGCCTGACTCGCTCCTTTCTTTATATATTTAACAGTTTTAAGAATAATAGCTTTCAGATCTGTAAATGACCTAATTAAAGGGAGACAACAAAAAGTAAAGTAGATATATAAAAAAAAAAAAAGCTATGGCTGTAAATTGAAGAGGATTTTTATACTTTTTATGTAACTTCATATTTCAATGAAGCATGTTCTTCTGTATTGTGGTGTGTGCGCAAAGCTGTTTGAGGTATTTTTGTGTATAATGATGTGACAAATAAAATACAAACCAGGATTAAGCTTCATAAATGCTTCCAGCCCAAGAATCATTGAGCCCAAGCTTTGCAGCAACAGAGTGAAGTACGGATAGGACTTGGCTTCGATGACTCTTCTCATGCTCAGTCGTACAAAGTTGATCCTGCCTGGTTCCACTCTCACATTAAACTGGTTCTGTGCCCGGTCCAGTATTGTTTGTGGTTCTGCTGTCTCCACTGTGTATATGTGAATGTTCGAGTCTGGGTACCTGGGTACAGAATTTTTTTATAGTGTCTGGTTTAAAACCAAATATGGCTTAAATAAATCTTGATTGTACCTAAATAAAATGTTTTAATGCATATATCCCCAAGCGGTCACCGGTGACCGCTCTCCACTAACTACATTAAAGACCTTATTTTCAATGTTTAGAGACTACTTTTATAAAATTACAGAAAAATCTATACTCATTCTAAAATAAGAATCTTGGATATCAAATATTTAACAACAAAAGAAGGTAGCTAGTAGTAACTTTTGGATCCCTTCATCTAATTGAATAAAAATAAAGAATGAAATATAGTTCAACATTACTAGGATAGAAGAATGATAAGAACTTCCAACCAGATGGTTTTTAATTACCTAATTAATTCCATTATGGTAACAATGGACAAGACCTGAATAAATAAATAAATGTTTATGCTAATATAGTACTTATAGTTAGTACAGTAAGATATCATTTGACTTAAGTATACAGTATTTCCATTCATCATTCACTGTGCCAAACGTGTAGAAAGAATACAAATGTCACAACATTTTTATTTCTACAAAACTTTTTATAGAAAATGAGATTCAAGTTTATTTAAGAATTTCATGTTTATCACGCAAGCTGTATCTTTTTCATATTCTTTATTGTTATTCTATAAACTTGTTTTTTTTTAAATATTGATACATGATGATATCATACCTGGCTAGTACAGCCCTGATAGCGACCCACAGCACCCTCTCCCCACCACCCCCAGCATTGCAGTACGGGTGGAAGAACGCCACATTAGCACCATCTCTCTTTCGTCTCTCCAACTTGCGTTCCTTGATCCTCATATACCATGATGCGAAGATAAATGCGCATGGTATCAGTATGAAAGTGATAAATAGCAAGAATACTATGAATATCAGCGGCAACAACACCAGTAATCTAGAAAAAAGGAATATTATAATTATTGCATCATTTAGTTATTTCAACAGGAAAGTATATATAAGGTATTTTGCTAAAACTTCCTTGTCATGTTATTAAAATACGATGCAGTGAGCATGCATAGTGCAAAGACTGTGGGCTGCGGCCCAGCGGCTGCGGGAGATTATGGCGCGCTTGTCTCATAAAAAATAGCGTCAGTCCCAAAGCGTCATAAAAAAATTGTCAACAATTATATTCGCAACACAGTTTTATATTTTATTACAGTATAGGAATATATCGCCAATTTATTATCTCATCTACATCCGTAATAACTTGTAGTACATTGAGTAATCATTTTACAAGTATAATCAACGCTACTTTTTTTTATAACGTTTACGATATCGTGTAATTGCCCACTAGAAAACACTATTTTTGTGTGACTATCAAAGAGAAAGTACCTCAAAATGAACTGTATCTATTAAAAAATTATTAAAACTGTATAAAATCGGTATTCAGCAAGTAAATGTTAATAAATTAATAAACAAAGACAACTTACATGAACCACTGCAAAAACATTGTTAAACCAAATGTTCTACTGGTCTTACTTCACAGACAACACAACTACGGCATTAATTATAGTTAATGGACTTTGTGTTACGCAAACACATCTGGTTATTGTTTAACAAAGAAATTATTAAATATCATAATAATAGATATTCGATATAACCTCGCAACGTAAACATTCCCGTTGGCAAGTCAACTGTAGACAAGAGACCGGACGTGTCAGCTGTCACACGGCACCACAGGCAAGTGTATAGTCTATAGTCTATACGACACACAATATCACGCGATAGAAAACTCTATGCTATTTTAAAAAGCGGAATTACAGCATCATCAATTTTTTCATTTTTAAACAATATTTTTATTGTAATTCTAAATAAAATGGCGTTATAATTTTTATGTATATTAGAAAATGGAAAATGTTATTAAAAACTACATCGCCGAACGCCTAGCGGACTAAGACTTACTCCGTAAGCAAGAGGGTTTGATGCCTTTGCGGAAAGTATTATTATTGCTAGTCGCACCCGAGATTTTGCGCAGACAATCCGTTGTGTCTACGTCGGAATCGGCGCTTGAACGCCTTCATGTTTGTTTTCGAATTCAATCCGTGCTGTTATGGTGGAAATAAACTCCCATATGTATGAGCGTAAATAAATCTGGACCCAGTAAACGCCTAAATTGAATAAAAACTTTTCAGACTATCATTGTTATCATCAGCAATAGGCCCTGGCCCACGGCCTTTAACAGTCCTCTACTAGCGTATAGGTCTCCTCTGCATTAGGTCTGACACTTCATTAAACAATCGCTTAATTTGACTACTTTTTATATTGGTTGACTGGTAACTCGACGTATTCCTTCTCCGGGTGGTGATACAACTAATGTCTAACAAAATTAGCCCTACCTTAGTCTGAAAGTGGCTAGTTTCTGAGATGTTTTTATAAATATCGTGAGACTTACTGCATACTCTACTACAGCATACTCAGTAGGCTGCGGGAGTCCCGCAGCGGGACGTCGCCGCGACCGTGCACGCTGATTATGAGGAAGAACCCCTCTGTGGTTCGAAACTAGTAGAGCTTTTCTCAGTATATTCAAGTGAGTAACCTGCGCTTTTTAGTTAGTTTCTGAGATTCAACATTTTTAGTTTTGGTCAAAAAATTCCGAACTAACTACAAAACCATCAATAAATAAATAACTACTGGTTTGATTTCAGTGGTCGATAATAGAAGTAGAACTCGATAAGACATCATAGAATAAATGAAAAGACAAATAAAAATAAAATGTACTATATTTTATATTATAATGTAACATGCCGTTTAACAATATTGTCCTTATATATTTATCCATAATGAAATATTAACAAATGTTGTTAGTACTACATTAGCAAATAACACAGCATTTAACAATACCATAATAGTGATCATTCTATTTAAGTTATAGGATAATGTATCTTATTGTTCGTCTACTTTAGGGTGATTATAAGTTGTATTAAAATTTCTTAAAATTGTTTGACCTAAGTCAATACGAAGTAATTCACTTAATAATATCTTACACTTTACAAATTGAATCTTACGCCGATGACAATAAAGTTGTTAATACCTTATCTTACAGTAAAATTTTAAAAAAATAATGCGTAATAAAGTATCACAAAATTATACTTATTGCTAGATCAAATAAATAATATACAATTTGGACCGTATACACATTACATAAGGCTCAGTTTCCTTTGCATCTAAAATCATAGGTAAATGGCATTCACAGATAGTATTACAGAATTATAAAACTTAATCTCATTTAATAAGGTTCAGTTTTCCATGATGTATCAAAATGTCATTAAAATCTATGGCTAAAACTTTATACAACACAATATGAATCTTATGACCAAGGGGAGTGGAGTTTATTTTGCGGCATAAGCATCATACAAGAATAAACTCTATACATATAGCAATTAAGTCCATAACTGAATTTTGAGTTATTATTTGTCACACATTAAAACGTAGTTCATTGCATAATGAACCTCATATATATGATTATAAAGTCGATAATAGAGTTAGCACATAAGTAAAACTTACTTAAAATCAATAATTTAAAAATGAACCTTATGCCTAAGGCAATAAATTTGAGAATTCAATTTAGTTTGATGACAATACAATTTTTTATTCAAAGGAACGAAATCTGGTTCGAAGTTAATACATAAATAAATATCACTCAATAAAACGTTCATTACAAAATGAACTTAATGACTAAGGTAATAAAATAGACAACTCTCTGACTGACGAAGTCAAAAACTCATCTGAATTTAAAATTTTAAGATTAATGTCAATTTTATAAAGAAATCAATGTGAAGATCACAAAATTCAAAGATTTCATCCATTATGACATACATTATGATTAAACCATTATATATTACAAAATGAACTTTATGCGTATAGCAATAAGGTTGGTTTCTACGTGGGTTCCTCACTAGCCTGGTCTGGTTCGTCAGTGACCTCTGCAGCTAAGTCTGCGAACTTGGCGACGTAGTCCACGCTGGACTCCGCCATTAGAGATTGTAAGTGGGAGTCCACCTGTGGGAGTTGATATACATGTACTTCTTATATACTTTTTATAATAACAGCTATCGTGAGACATACTAAATTAATTAAAATCGAGGGTTACTCATGTGAATATACCAGTGAGCTGCGCGACATCGCCGCGACCGCACACGCTGCTTATAGTGCTCATGAGGAAGAACCCCTCTGTGGTTCGAAACTAGTAGAGCTTTTCTCAGTATATTCATATGAGTAACTAGCGATTTTAGTTAATCTTATATGCTTTTTTTTAAGGGGAGAAAATCATCGAATGACTGCTCCCGCCTGGGTGCGGCGATAGGCAGTGTCAGACTCTTACTGACTAAAAACCACCCCGTTCCTTCTCCTGCACGTCGAGCCGGAGCCCCGACAGCCCGTTAAGTTCTCCGCGGCTCCAGTCCTTATATACTAACCCATAACAATTAAGGTTGCGTATTGAATTGTCCTTATATGCTAAGCCATAAGGTTGATTGATCTATTAAGCAGTATTATTATTATTAAACGGTATTATTTAGTTTGCCCCGTTTGTTTTTTTGGGTCAAAATTTAGTAATTGTAATTTCACCTCCTTCCTGACAACAGATCGATCTGACATTTGGTACATACTTGTAATCTTGACTAGCTTTTGCTTGCGGCTTCACATGCGTTTAATTGGAGTTATTATCCACGCTGTCTGTTTAATAAATCCTTTAAAAATCTGTTGCGTACTTTTAAAGATCTAAGCAAACAGATACACAGGCGAAAGTTACTTTATATTGTATTATGTAGTGACGACCGTACAGTATAATGTATTGTTTTATACAACTACACATTTAACATACCAAATATTTTTCGACTGCACGGTTGGTGCGGTGGCTGGGGAACCGGCTGCCGTGCGACGTGTCGCATGTTCGATTCCCGCACGGAACAACACTTTGTGTGATCCACAAATTGTTGTTTCGGGTCTGTGTGTCATGTGTATGTGAACTTGTATGTTTGTAAACGCACACACGACACAGGAGATAATCCTAATATGGGGCAACGTCTAAAAAAACATACAGATCTCTGCTCAGAGAACAGTATACATACGTTGGGTCTCCCCTCGAGGTGTCCGAGGAAGCTGGTGAGTGAGAAGTCGTGGTCGGCGGCGTCCAGCCAGCCCTCCGCGTCGTGCAGCAGGCGGGACGGGGACAGGGACATCGACTCGGACGACAGGAACTCCGCTGGAACCACATACAATCATATTTATTGCTACAGACTACGAAATATCACTTCTACATTATAACATTCTAAAACTGATAAAATAAACTTAAATAGATTTACACACATAACATAACATAAAATCACACCTTTTATCCCCGAAGGGATAGGCAGAGATGCAAATTTCGGCATTTAGTGCCACTATACAATGTAACACCCTCTTTTTACTATTTATGTTATGAGTCCCATGTAATAGGGGGTGAGCCTATTGCTATATACTGGGCACATTTCTAGACTCCGTGCTACTACTGAGATTGTTAAAAACCCAGTAATACTTTGCCCGACCCGGGATTCGAACCCGAGACTCGCCCGGCAGTCGCACTTGCGACCACTCGGCCAACGAGGCAGTCAGAGGCAGTAAATAGATTTAAACGTGGGAAAACCATGCTTTGGCACGAATGACCCGGCGTGATTGGAATGGTACCACGGCCAAGCAGAAATCCAATGTATAACAATGTTCCGCCGTGTGAGTGAGGTTTGTGGAGGCCCAATTCCGCCGCTCCCGCATACATTCCCCTATCCGGTATTTCCAAACCCTCAAATCTCCATTCCTCAAAGATCGACAAGGTACTTGTAACCCCCCTAGTGCTGCGGGTATAAATGTGTGGTGCCGATTGCTTACCATCAGATGATCCGTCTGCTCTAGTAGATGTACTAGTAGATGTGAAGTAAGTAGGGTGTTCCTTGTCTATGGTCCACAGATAATATTAGATATTAAGTATTCTATGATTTCAGTAAAATAATAAGTCTGTGGACCATGGACAAGACTTCATTTTTAATTTTTTAGCTTTTATTTTATTTTATTTTTATTTTCTAATTATGTTATGTGTGTTCTGCGCAGAAATAAATGGTTTTTCTTTTTTTCTTTCTTTCTTTCTCTATCATATAAATAGTATAGTATAATGCACTCACGTGGTACAGTAGTGCCGCCAGGGTGTTCCTGTTTGTTCCCCTCCCCCTTGTCCCCCTCGTCCCCTCCCTCCGGACTGAGGCCTGGCTCCTGCACTCCGTTGCCATTCGTCTTCAAGTCTTCCGATGGACATTCTTTTTCTGTTGGAGAATGTTTCGTATAAGAAATTAATGGTCATTTTCACCAACCATCTCTTAACTAAGAGTTACTTAGCTGCAGGGTTCAAAATTAGTTTAGGTGCTGTGTCACGCCATTGGACAGTTGCTGTGATTAGGTAAAAACGCCTCGTACATTTGTAGGTAGGCCTGTTCGGCTCATACTACACCCCCAGAAGAAGGGGTGGTGAATGTATTTGTCACGGTGCCCCAGCTCTCGAAACAATCATCAAACTACTCCTTACAACCATTCAAAATCAGATAACTAGGGTTTTAATAAAATCATTGAGTCTGTATCCAACCTAGTTGAGTAAAGACTACTATAAAGATGTATTAGCAATATACGTACTGATGAGGATAGGTTGGTGCAGTGGTTTCTCCGGCACGATGGGTATGCGTCGGTTGCCGTCGTGGAAGAAGTACTGGCCGTTAGACTCGCTCACCACGTACACTATCGTCGACACGCTATTACTGAAATAATAATAATATACATACAATTATTTATTTTTGTTAAATAGCACCTTTTAGACTTAATATTTCATATTGGCTGCTGGTGGTGCCGCGGGCGCGCACCAACCTGCTGGAGCGCGCGCCGCTCACTCGTGCCTTGCGCACTCTTAACACGGTGGCTGATGTCGTAGACATATTTAACTGTACACTGAGCGAGTTCACAAGGACCACTTATTCTATAGTGTGTAAGGAAATATAGTTTATAGTTAAATATAGTTAATAGTTTAGGAAACGTATTTTAAGTTACTATGTCGAATTAGGTTAAGTTATCTGTAATGGGAAAGTAATTGTATTAAATAAATAAATAAATATTTAACTAGTATTCTGAGCTGCGGAGGGCCTAGTAGCAGTACGAACGAGGTAGTTTTTAGTCAGTAAGAGTCTGACACACCCAAGGCGTGAGAAGTCATTGGATTATTTTCTGCCCTAAAAAAACCTGCTTTTTTTTAAGGGGGGAAAATCATCGAATGACTGCTCCCGCCCTCGTGGGGCGGGAGGAGAGAGTGTCAGACTCTTACTGACTAAAAACCACTCCGGTCTTTCTCCTGCACGTCGAGCCGGAGAGATCTATTACACATAATCCCATAATAACCGTACCCATAGTTCTGGAGAATAATCGTCTTTATACATTAAGTAAATAGAAACGTCATTAATAGAATAGCTTTAAGCATTATGTATTGTACTTACTCTTGCGTGAGTAGCGGTGGTTTAGGCAGGAGTCGCGGCGGCGGCGGCGGGGACGACGGGGCCGACACCTTCTTCACTGGACCCACCGCCGGACTGTCTGGGGCGGAATACTCTGGGTATAGTCACGGTAATATTATCATACAGTAGTGTAACTCGGCCGCATCACAGAGTTAAATACCTACAGCTGCGCGGTACGTAAACGCGCGTCAGGGCTGCCCGTCTCCAGTATTCTAGTTACATTTGCCTACTTTCTGTTTCTATTTATTTGTCCTTTTTTTACACAAACAAATAAAATACTTCGTATATGGAATAGGAAGTGTTCAATAAAAATGCGTGAAGCTTTTTGATTGGTCGACTTAATTTTAAAAAACATGTTATTGTTTGAAAATCAAATCGGCCTTATAAATTTGCGACCGAAAATATTTGCAAAAAAATACAACCAAAAACAGCACAATATATCCTACTCGCCATATTAAATATGTACTTGAATATTAAAAAAACAACACACAGCCCGTTGGTCACCGCGGCACAGTCGCGACTGTTATCATGGCGAATGCATGCCACGGTCGCGGCGCGTAGGTACAGCTTGCGTTTCGTCCGTTTGTATGAAGTTGGAATACTGTATGATAATATTACCGTGGCATAGTCGTCCTACTCATTTGGTATGCACGCCAGAATATAAAGTTAGATTCACTACAGACAGTTATAGAGGGACAATGAAAATATTAATACGTATGTTTTGTTTTCTTAAAATAAGATATTTAGGTATAATGAATAAAAGTTCACGTCTACATCATTGTTGAGCATAAAATGTAGTCAAACGTGACGTTACATGATATTTCAAATCAATTTGGCTATTAAATGTTTTGATTCTGTACAAAAATAAACATAACATCACGCTTTTTATCCCCGAAGAGGTAGGCAGAGGTGCAAATTATACCACTGTACAATGTAACACCCACTTTTCACTATTTATGTTATAGTGAGCCTATTGCCATATACCGGGCACAACTCCAGAGTCTGTGTAACTACTGAGAATTTTTTAAAACCCATTAATACTTGCACCAGGAATTGCACCCGAGACCCCTTGCCCGGCAGTCGCACTTGCGACCACTCGGCCAACGAGGCAGTTTATTTTACTACTACTACTAATAATTCCAGTGAATATATCTGCAATTTCTCATCATTGAACAAATCCTATAAAGGAATGAGTAGTGTATGTATAGTTACCATTGGCCGGCAGTTTGGGCAGTAGCGGCAGTAGCCTCTGTACGACGACGCGGCGGTCGGCCAGGCGAGGCCGGCCGCGCCGCCAGCGGGGCAGGCCTTCCCACTGGATCTCGGACTGGGCCAACTACAACAAAATAATTATTATACTCTTAAAAACATTGTATGACAAGGGCACCGGCCAAGAGACTGTGGAGAATTAACATTTAACAGTGAAAAAATACTAATTATAACTTATCTACTAATATTTCTTAAGTTAACATAACACCACTTTCCAACTTCGATAAGGAATATATCTGATATTATAAGGTGAAACGTTTTTAGAACAATGAATAATAATAATTCTTCCATAGTCCATACAGGGGTAGTCACCGGTTTGAGTCTCCGCCTGCCATTTTTACGTGTAATAATTACATTGTTTCGGCAGGTGCCAAAGTCATCCATAGTTCCCAATTTTCCAGTCCACAGCAACCCATCCATAGCCCTACCTCCATTATTCACAATAGTTCTATACTAACCGGAGACTGTCCTTGAGTGCATTTCCATAGTGCATACAGGGATAGTCGCCGGTTTGTGTGTCCAAAACATTTAGATTAAAGTTGTCTAAAGGGCCTCTGCGCAGTTGGCTTCGGCCCCTCGTACACCTCCCAAATGACCGGGATACTGTGGTCCCGAGAATGGTAAAGACACATAATAATTCATTTGATAATTTGTTTTATGTGTTAAAATTATACATTTCCTTGCTGTGCCCGATAGGGTCCACCATGATCTGTATTATCCTCTGTAACCACTTAAGTCAAACATTGTGGAATGCAATAAAGTGTTTGAATTTGAAAAACATAATTATAGCATTGAAAAAGTCATTATAGAAACAGGGGAATTATAAGATCGATAAAAATATATTTTTTTTATCGATCTTATAATTATTTTATGTGAAAGGGTATTCAAAATTATGGTGCGCCATAATTTTGAATAGTTAATAATAGTTCCACCATATGTAGATTACCTCTGCTCCAGGCCGCGGTGCGATGGGTATGGGCTGCCGGAACACTGCGCCCGCCATGTCCGCCGCGGGGGACGTCGACTGCTGCGGTTTCTATAAATATACAATTTGTACATTCAGTTATATCTACACACAGCTCGTACAGCACACCACGTGGACCTATGGACGGATGATCTACTAGTTTCTAACGCGTGCTGCCTTCGATCAACAATAGCAACTAGATAAAGGGTTACGTACAAAATCAAGCTCCAGTTCTGTCCGTGTGAATAATAATAGTAAAAAAATAACAAACTGAGAAAAATGTTTTAAAATTGTTTTAAGTTCAACCTAATAACAACCATGGCACCTAATAATAAAGTCATAAATCGTCAAAATATGATCTAATACTTACGACCATTCGTCACATAAGACAAGAAAAGCATTTTCTTACTCCTGTCATGTAGAAATTAAAAGACATAAGTTATACAATATCTAGTTTGAATTCAACCTTAAGCTAGAACAAATAAAGATAATTTTTCCGTTATTGCCTTGTGATCTATATCGTTTTGTTTTGTTTCGGTATGCTTCTTCGAATTTTGAATTTCGCTACAGGAGGTATGTATGGAGTCGCATTGAACACTAAAATAATTTTATTTTCGGGATTTTAGTATACATCACTTATTTTTATTAGCGGTACGTTTTTGTGTATCATATGTTTATTTACTTTGTCATTAAAAGTCTAAATCAAAATCATTTATTTCAGTTAGACCAAGAAGGCACTTTAGAACGTCAACAATATAAATTTAAAAGTGAAGCTATTTGCTCATTCCAAGGCGTAGATTCCTATGGAGAAGAACGAGCAACAAACTCCATAGGTTAGGTACTCTTTTCCAATCAGGTTACAACACAAATTTGTTTCACAATACAAATCGACTCCATGCATCCACTGTTCTGTTTAAACAAATGTTTGTGCGCGTGTTGGTGAGGCTTGGCCAAGGAATCGCCAACACACGCACAAACATTGGTGGCGATGGTTTATAATTGGTAATTTTGTCTAATTTGATATTATTTACTAATTTAAAAGCTTAAAATATAACTTATACTTTATGTACTTATCGAAAGTAAGACACTCCGGCCGTTATACTACTTTTTCGGTTATTATTTTTGCAACTTGCAATTACACACTGCAGCGTCGTGAGACGTGATTACGTTGGCCGTGTTTGGAGCATACTAAACAAAATAAGAGCTCACTTCTCAACTGAGCTCTTATTTGTCGAGACGATTTTCTTGCGCCGACCCGATATCTAGTTGTTATTGTTGATCGAAGCGTGCTGCTTATAAATATAAACCCCAGTATGGCTTATAACTATTCGAATTACCTTCTCAAACAGTTCTAGGTATAAATAAATAAAATAAATAAATAAAACTTTATTCATAATAACAAAAATGCAAAATTCGAAAATATATCTAAATTACGTACAATTGACCTCAAATAGTTAGATGCCTGCACTAGGACAATCCTGTATCGCAGGCAAGAGGAGGTCTAAATATAATTTTTACAATAGCACATCTTATTTCTATAAACACAAATATTTATCAGTATACAATAGAAAACAATATATAATGACTATTTTAATATACATACATTCAAACATACTTACATACAAAAACATAACCTCATACCCTACATTCTCAGAAAAGATAGGCAGAGGTGCATAACTAATCGTAATATAATATTGTAATATATCTAATAAATATACATACGTAAAAAAAGATAATTATGTAAACCATACAACATGTTTCTTGTAAATAAGAACCTTTTTCCATATTATTTCAACCTTTTTAGCATACCTACCTAAAACATAACATATATCAGTTATCTTTTATAGCAACGCCATCCTATTAAGTAATAATAATAATTATTATTTGAAATCACAGTTTGCCGAAGACATTTAAGTGGAGGAGCCAACAGAGCCAATAGACCTTCTCAAAAGGCCGACAACGTATTTGTAACTTAGTGTTGTGGGTATCCAGGGGTGGCGATGATCGCTTACCATCAGGTGATCTGTTTGTTCGTTTGTTCCTTGTAATCTAAAGTATATAGTTACCAGTAGCGGCAGGGCCAGCGTGTGTTGGTGTGTCCGCCGCGGGCAGGTGGCCGGGCAGCGACAGCGCGCCCCCGCCGCGCCCCCCGCCGCCGCCCCCGCGCCCCCCACGTGGGGGTTGCCGACTAGACACAGTAGCCGACGTAACCTGCACGGTGAGTAAATAATAATTTAAAACGGTTACAAAAACACAGCTCAAAACGTAAGAGAACCACACTAGCCCCGCAACCCGTTAGGCCTTCCGCGGCTCCGTAATGGAAATGGGTGATCTTAAAACTTGTGTAAACTTGGAAAGCGTGACGGTAAAATTTACGTAATCACATAAATTAAATTGTGCCAATATTTCTGCAACTACTTCAGTAAAAAACATAACATAACATCACGCTTTTTATCCCCGAAGGGGTAGGCAGAGCTGCACATTATGCCATTATACAATGTAACACCCACTTTTCACTATTTATGTTACGAGTCTCATGTAATAGAGGGTGAGCGTATTGCCATACAACGGGCACAATTTCAGACTCCGTGCTATTACTGAGAATATTTAAAAACGCAGTAATACTTTGCCCGAATTTGGGAATGGAATCCGAGACCCCTTGCCCGGCAGTCGCACTTACGACCACTCGGCCAACGAGGCAGTCAAGATTAGTAAAACAAGATTATTTTAATTTAACTCTGTAAAAATATCACAGAAACACAGTTCACATTAATACATTATACTAAAAAAATATCACTTTTCTTGACTCACCTGTCACTCATGACAGCGAATCCGGTCTGTTGTGTTTGTGGTGCCTGTGGCCTGTTGATGAGTTTGCTGACCAGCTTCAGGGCGCCGCCGCCTGACGACGACTTGTGGTCCGGGGAGGCCAACTGCTCACCTAATACCAAACACCAGCCATGTATCCACACACCCATTTAAATCCAATTTAAAATACATTCCTTTAAAACGTTCAGATTTGTACAGGCCCGGATTTTGCGTAGGTGTACTAAAATGGTTTGCTTAGAATCCGGCCCTGTGTTTCATCGTCAAGCTTCGTGCAACTTTGGTTGAAATGTGGTTATCATCATGATGTTATGTTAAAATTAGATATTCATAATTATGTAGACACATAAAGCTATACAATTTATTATGGTCCCGTTTTGTATGATCTTGTCGCACTTTTAACGGCCAATTTATACTGGTTTAGCATAGCTTGATGTGTGCACATTTGTACATAGATAGATACTAGCTCTTCTCTTTGTTATTATTTTAGTAGATTTAAACAATAATGAATTAAGGTAGTCTACAGACTCCTCTGCTTAAAATGGCATAACACTATAACACTATTAATTTTATTTTAAAAAGTGATAAACAAAATTGTTTGTATTCCATTAGAATTCGTAATTATAAGGACCAACAAAATGCTTAAAAAGTCCTTATTTATTTATTTAAGTACTGAATTATAATTATAAAAATCTTCATTTGAAGGTAGCAAATTATGAATGATAGGTTAAAAACTATAATGCAGTACAGCAGTACTTACACTTTCTCTCGTCTCCCGACATTCCATCGTTACTGTCCTGGCTGTACGTGTTCTTCGGAGAAAGAATATCATTGTCACTCTCTCTAGCTCTCTCTTTCTCATCTTCTACTGAACTGTCGGCTCCTTTGTCAGACATCTTATCGGATTTCTCCGACTTGTCGCGTTTATCCGTCAGTAAGGTCGGTACGGGTATGGATGACTTTTGTGGCTGCGGTAAAGGTGGTGTCGGTTCCGCCCACCAGTAATCTAATTCTAGCTTAGATCGTGAACCGAACTGCAATATTGTTTGAGATTAAATTAATTTGGTGATACGGCTTATTCTCGTAAACATTCGAGGTTGCCCGACTGGTTTCGAGACGTGATGGGGACTCATGGTCATGACTAGTGAGCGCGACCACTGACATGGTGATGAATTTAATCTTGCCGCCAAATATTGTAAAGTTTGCAACTTTTTACACCTTTCAGAATTAAAAAGTTTTTATAAATGACTTTTGTTATTATATCAGTAAATATTGCTACACTTAAGTATTTTCTTACGTGTCATAGATCACAAACCCCATACATGGCAACAAACAACTATTAATAGATCACTCAAGGTAAGGCCCAATTACCCTCCCCTTCCCCAATCTCTCCAATCCCTGAATCCCTAACGATCCTCAAACTTCTAATCCCCAAAAAGCCGGTAACGTACTTGTAACGCCTCTGGTGTTCCAGGTGTCCATGGGCGACGCCGATTGCTTCCCATCAGGTGATCCGTCTGCTCGTTTAACGGCTTATGCCATAAAAAAAATCAAATAATTATTTCCGTCTAGGTATCGAACTAGCGGTACATTTCGCTATAACTATTGCTCTAACCGTGCAGATACATTTTACTAAATGAAACAATTAGAAAAGAAAGAAAGAACGCAAAAAAAACCTATTAAACTGTCAAACACCAAGCGGTCACCGGTGACCGCGACCTATTGTTCTTTAATTGTGTCTATAAAACCGGTACTCGACGAGTTAATGTCTGTACACCCACCATAAGATACAAGTCGCCAATAGTAAGGTCTCCTGCATCAGACGCACTCCATCCCTTCCTGATCTGTCGTAGAGCGAGGTCTACATCAATATCTGGCTTGACCTCCTCCTCCTTACTCGGCTCCTCCGTCTTCGTCTCCTCGACCTTTGACTCCTCGACCTTCGACTCCTCGATCTTAGGTTCCTCTGCATCCTTATCCATGACTAGAGTATAGATACTGCCGCCACGCTTCTTTGGACGAATACGGAATTTTACCTGGGGATTTAGATTTGTTGCTGTGAATTGATTCATGATCATCAATGACCTGAGATGCTGAACGAATCATAAACAAACTTTTATTGTATAATGCTGAAGAGTTTTTTTGTTTGTTTACCATAACATAACACGACGCCTTTTATCCCCGAAAGGGTAGGCAGAGGTGCACATTACGGCACGTAATGCCACTGTATAATGCAACACCCACTTTTTACTATTTATTTTATGAAGGGGGTCAGCCATATACCGGGCACATTTCTAAAACCCAGTAATACTTAGCCCGACCCGGGAATCGAAACCGAGGCCCCTTGCCCGGCAGTCACAATTGGGACCATTCGGCCAATGAGGCAGTCTAGTCTTTTATTTGTTTAGAAGCGCAAATTTTCGGATTTACCGATCTAATTTAAATAATTAAAGTGTTGGATAATCCTCTTTTCGAGGAAGCTTATAGGCTATAAAACATCACGCTACAACCAATAGGAGCCGAGCAGCGGGTGAAACTGCGCCGGAGGATCTAGTTAATAATAAAAATGAACCAAAGTACCACGACATAAGTGCAAGTGGAGTTACCTTTAAATTCTTGAACTGAGTATCCTTCCCGTTTTTATCTTTCCCGTGATCACTTTCATTGTCCGTGTCGCTCTTATTATACTTCTCATCATCCTCCATTTCTGAAAAACTATCTTTTTCTCTCTCTGACATATCCTTGTCTCTCTCTGGCAGGTACCCAGCGTCATCTTCTGCGATTTCTCGGTCTTTCTCGTCTTCTGTGCTTGGTTTCTCTTCATCTTCTTGTAATATTTTATAGTTGGCCATAAGTTCTATACCGTCAATGGCAGTTTCTTCTATATTGATAAGTTTGTCGGAGTCATCCATTTTGAACTTCTTCTGTTCTTCTTTATCCTTGTCTGTGGAGCTGTCTTTTCGCTGACGTTTCGGTGTACGTATTTTTGCTGTAATGTTATAAGGTTTAATGATTTTTTATTTACTCATAAAGAACATGGTTCTCTTACAATGAGCTTAAATGACTAATTATAGTTAGGTATACAGAGTAATGACCAAACGGTATTAATAAATATTTTCAGATACATATTTTCTTAACCTATTTTTAAACATGGCCATCGACTGACATTCCTTAATATTATTTGGCAAATTATCTCATATGTTATACATCTTTTACAGTAATTTGTTTTGTGCCTTTGTAGTTTAATCTTGTTTGTATTTCTCAAGGAATGATAAAATGGTTTCAAAGTAAACTTGAGCTCAGATTGTATTTGACCCGTTAGTATTTTTCTCACCAGCAAGCACACATTGTAAGTGTAGTAAAACAAGTGTCGCAAAACGTGTCAAAGCAGCTAATATTTACCGACCTACAGCACTAACCATACAGTTACAAAAATAATTTTTGACGTTAAAAAGAAATTGTAAGCTTTTCTTGAGAACACGTCTATAGATGTTTCCTTACCGCCGCCATCCTTGTCCCTTTGCGATCCCATTCGTTCAAGATATGAGGAGAAACATATTTTCTGGCTGGAGAGCTGTTCACTAGGACTGATCACTGGAAGGTGGATGTCGGCCCCCGGCCTGGGGCCCACGTGGAGGGCCAGCTTCTTTGGGGCCTTTTGTTCTGGAAGTAATATGCAAGAGCTGGTTTACAAGAAAACATGTCACTTAAACTGGAGTTACTTTAGTGTTGAGATTGTCCATGGGCAGCGCCGATAGCTTACCATGAGGTGACAGTCTGGTCGTCTGCCGTCCATTTCCATAAAAACCAATCAACTTGAATACCTACGTGTGAAAATGGACGTAGATATAAAAGAGGTGTGTAAGATTCGTAGCAATTGGAGTTACATAGTCTCTGCTTACCTCCATGGGAGACAGGCGTAAGGTTATGTATGTGTAAAATGGACGTACCTTGTACAATGATCCTGTCAGTCTCCAAGTTGAGATGTTCCTCCAGTTCTCTATTTGGTTCACTCTCCTCCATACATGGGCAATCTTCTACCTCCTTCTGCGTGTCTTCTGCTTTTATCTCTATGCTATCACACATCTTGTGCTTGAACGTAGACTGTGCTGAGTTATGGAATGATTTTGGAGGAACGTGCTGGCGTCTTATTTACATAAACGTAAAAAAATTGACACAGTTTTGTGTTTAGTGTGTGTGTGTGTGTGTGTGTGTGTGTGTGTGTGTGTGTGTGTGTGTGTTATGTTTGTGTGTAGTTGGAAGTTGGATTTCAAACAGCATGGTTGGAGATTGACACCAGAGAATTAATAACTAAACTAAATAGAAAAAAAAGAGGTTCACCTTATCTGAACTTTATTGTTACTGTAAGTATCAGTAATACGCAAAACATGTATGTATCATATATTTGTGAAAGGATACAGTTTCCCTCCAGCGGTGCTGCAGCGCGCGTATGAGCGCGTGCAGGCGCGCCCGCAGCGGCAGGGCGAGCGCGGCGCGCGGGTTGTGCGCGGCGGCCTGCACGCGCGCCCACGACAGCGCGTCGCGCGCGCGCAGCACCACCTGCGCGCGGGAACACACGCGCGCGCCGCACGCACGCTCTGCGCGGACCAACTTATTTACGAACTGTTTTATCTGGATCGATCTAGTTATCTCCATACAACTAATGCCATCGATTGTCGATATCTTTGGATTCAGATTGGTTATTAACTTCGAGTGTTAATAACTATTTGCAGTGTTAAATAGTTTTAATTAAATTAACAATAATTTACTACATATTCAAATGTGTGTTTCTTTCTTAAAGAACATTAATGGGTGTGAACATATGTGCACAAGATAAAAAAATATCAAAACAAAATGTCTATCAATATAACTGTATATATGTATACACATTCAGAAATATAAAACCCTAAGAACTAAAAGTACCTACTTACCAGTGATTTGATTAAGCCTCCTGAGCGCGCGACACATGGGCGTGCGCACCCGTAGGTTGCGTCCGCGCGCGCGCACTACGATACTGCCACACAGCACCATGTCGCCGAGCCGAGCGCACGTCTTCTCGTTCACGGAAACCAACTTCTTGCGAAGCTCCCCGTAGTTTATCAACGCGTATAACTCTTGAGCCACTTTCTTTACATCTGTTTCAAGTAAAAAATTAAAGTATATATTTTTTTAACTAATTCATTTCCTGAAATTATTTTAACACTAAATGATAATGGACTTTACGTGGAGTGGCTTCCATCTGTCCTTAATATCTCATTCACTCTACATTCTCGGTTAGCACCCGTTTTTTAATTGTTCAGGCTAAAGATTATAGATGTTCGTATGCCACGAAAGCAGCTCGCTTGCTTGCACTCGGAATAGGGTAGATGCCTAATTTTTATTTTAATATCCGTTTGGTCGATTATTTTCAATTATTAGACACGTATTTTTTATTTTCTTACAGAAACTAATACTTTCAATGATATATTGATTTGAAATGTCGCGTGACGTCACTTCTATGTACATTTCATACGTAGAAATGACGTTTTAGCCCTCACTCCTAAACTTTAGTTCGTTTTATCTAAGTATTGTTTTATTATACGACAAAATAAAAAATACGTGTCGAATATTTTTTCATTATGTAACTTACGGGCTAATTACATTTTTAATTTTCATACCCTGTCATCATCCCTATTGTACGGAGTTACACATCATCAAACAAGCTAGTCATACAGAAAAATCCAATATTAAGATATGAGAATCGAAACCGCGACATGTTGCAAAGCTGCGTCGTGCAAGGGAATTAAAAAATTGTCTATAATAGAAGTTTTGTATCAAATTTTTTTCTGTCTGTCTGCAAAATTCTAGCCAATGAGATTATCTAACTGACATCCGTATATGAACCGGTTACCGCTTAAAGCCACTGGTATTTTCCTCATAATCATAATATCTAAGTACTTAAGTTAACAAGCTAGCTAGATTTATTCACATGTCAAATGAGGTACAATAGCTACATTAATTAATATAATATTAAAGCAGTCATCTTTGATAATGTACTGTCGACCCATTAGTTGCTAGTGCACTGTAATTTATAGCAGGGCTGTCCATACTATATACCCTCGCGGGCTAATTAAATTTCTTAACAAAACTGGAGGTTCAGAAAAATATTTTCAGTTGTATTATGACATTATACATTGTGTTCTTTACTCACAGACAAAACTTGTATACAAATCATACACTGAATTTTATTAGCGTTGTTGCACATAAGATGAAGATGTTGAGTTGAAAATGTGTGTCGCGGGCCACATGAAATAAGCTGCGGGCCGCATGCGGCCCGCGGGCCTTTGTTTGGACAGCCCTGATTTATAGCAACCATAGATGTCGTTATATTAATTCATTTATTAATGTACGTGTTTAATATTATTGTTGTAAAATGACGGTTAGTTGTCGATTAAAATCACTTTTACGATTATAGAGGTATTTATCAGTAACTTAGTGATTGTTTTTTGTTAATTCTTAAAAAAATAATTAACTTTTTTCCATGCTTGAAGAATTGAAGAATAACTAAAGCTTAATAAATAAAGCTTTTATGGTTTTCCTATTTTATTATTACATAATAGTCATCGAAATTGATTAAGGTGAGTGACTTCACATTTATACATAGATATAAATTTAGATTATTAATGCAATATTTTGATGATATCATCATCAACAAAGGACGCTTGTATTTTAAAGCCCGCCACAACCTCCCAAAACCGCTACAACTCCTGTAAGCCAGGATCTACAGTAGATACAACCATGAAAACACCGGAACATTGAAGTCCGGCGCGTGCCAGGGACATGAGTAACTGTCTTGGTTCCCGCTACGAAGTGAATCAGAAGATATTATAAGGGGAGAAGAAAAAAAATATATGGTTTCCACTTCCCTTGGTGAATTACTGCAGGAGACAGAATGAATTAAGCCTAAAAGCACAAAGAAGAGACTGTACAACTGGGTGAAGCCCAGTGGCCAAACACCACGGAAATTTGACTAAAAACTAAGTGGGTCCTATGTGTGAGCTGTTATACTTGATTCCAATAATAGGTATGGCAAAAACGCCTAAACGCACAGAAATTCGTTCTAGATTCTACAAGGTTCATATAATAGGCTACACCATACCGCCCTACATCGCATGAAAAACTTACTCTCATCAAAGTGCACATGTTTAGACAGCTTATGCCATGTCCTGTAGTAGAAGTGACTGACTTGTGTCTTAGTCTTCAGGTTGACATCAGGCATGCCTTTCTTCTTCATCTTAGCGCAGATGTAAGCAGTAATGGCATCAAAATCCTTCCCATACTCATTCAGAGCCTCGAAGAACAAGTTCTTTTCGTCAGTAGACCAGAGGGCTTTTGGCATTCTCTGTTTTACTGTAGGAAATTTTAGGTCTTTCTCGTCTATTTTGTTTGGAGTCTCGCATTCTGGAATATCTGAAAGCAATAGTTTCATATTTACACATAATTATATGTATAAATTGTGAGATTTTGACTAAGTAGTTCGGACGACGCTACGAAAAGGGCTCATAAAACGTATAAATATAACTTCGCATAACCTTTGAAAGACTACATGAAATCGGATAACACAATTTATTGGTGTTCGTCACCGTTAGAAAAAGTCTGTATGAAGGAAACATCCAATACTGGCGTGGACCTAGGATGGTGTGGGGATGGGAATACTCGATCACCTAAACCCCAATTCTAGAAAGTTTGGCAACGAATTTTCAACTCCTCTGTGGTTTTAGTAAGGTAATGCTGATATCGATTACGGATTGCTCATTTGCGATCTTATGTTATAAAAAAATCATCACCGTCATTCTTCCTTCTTACCAGGTCTCTTGTCCCTATCAGCAGGTGGTTCCAGTCGAAGCTTCTTGATCACCCTGGCGCTAGTCCTCTGTTGTTGTTGTGTGGTCAGTGAGCCTAACAGTTCTGTGCGCTCTACATCACCACTAGTTGGGGCTCCCGGAGACATGGCCGCGTCTTTTACGCTCTGAAACAAAATAAAAATTAAATAATTTGTTATGTTATGGGAAGTAATATCACATCACATCAACAGCCTATAAGTGCCGCCTACTGCTGAGCAAAACCTCTTCTCACACGGAGAAGGTTTCATTAATAACCACGCTTGCTCAATGCGGGTTGGCTGATGATGCTATTCAAAATCCTGCCAAGTTAAGCTCAGTGCTAGGCAACTGGCTGCTGCGCAACGTGCACTAGCTTCGATATCCGCGCGGACCAACTCTTTGTGTGATCCACAAATTGCTGTTCGGCGGCTGGGTGTGATGTGTATGTAAATTTGTAGGTATGTTTATAAAATAAAAAATCCTAATTTAGAACTTTATGCGGACGTCGAGCATGGGTAACTCGCCGTCCGACCAGAACCAGGCCCGAGCGTACGGCGCGTCGCGTTCCGCGCATGCCTCAAAGAGCCATCAGCACCACAGATAGGGCTGATGCCGAGTGATGACACGGAGTTTACCTTTGATAACAAAACGAACTCTTCTGTAATTAATAACATACATATCGCGTTAATTTAAACGATATGTTATGCTTATTGGACATTCATCCTACCAATAATATAAATACAAAGGTTTGTAAGGACATATGAGATAGATTATAGTAATTATTACCTAGGCCTACCTACCTACCTACCTCTAATTGTAAAATGTCGAACGATGAATCTGTACTTCACAATTGCAGCAATTCATTTGGTTTCATATTATGAATATCATAAAATGATAGTTAAATGATTGAAGATATAAATGTTATTTATGAGTATACTAGCTTTTACCCGCGGCTTCGCTCGCGTCACGAAAGGATAAAAGCCAATTTGACATACCAATATATATTTATACCAATATTTTTGTTTTCCCTCAGGAATATTAAATTTTTCAGGGATAAAAAGTACCCTATTATTTAATCCGGACTTCTAACTTTACGTCTGCAAAATTTCAAAGCAATCGGTTCAGTAGTTACGGCGTTAAAGTGGAACAAACAAACAAATAAACTCAAATACATATACTATAAGTAATAAGTAATATAATATAATATAAGTAAAGTAATGATAAGTAAGGATGATCATGTATTATGTGCACACTTTGTCATCATCATCATCAAGAACAAGAACCGGTAACAATCCACTACATGAGACGGTTTGCCATTAATGCCCACGCTTAGCAAGCAGGTTGAAGATAGAACACTAATTGTGACATTAATGTCAAACTTTGGTGTCTATTTATGCTGGTTTGTTCCGTTCCAATAAGAAGGTTGGCCGGACGGTTGCTGACACACACGTTACACTCGTGACCGGGTGCCTTCTACTGGGCCAGGTCGGTCTCCCATCGTGTTGGTGGGCTGATATCTTAAGAGCCGTCGAAATAAAAATAAGTAGATGATACTTGAGAATAGATACAGGAGAGGGGTGAATAAATGTTGTGAAAATATTAACATAAACATAACATCACGCCTGTTATCCTCAAAGGGGTAGGCAGAGGTGAACATTATACCACTGTACAATGTAACACCCACTTTTCACTATTTATGTTATGAGTCCCATGTAATAGGGGGTGAGCCTATTGCCATATACCGGGCACAGTTCCAGACTCCGTGCTACTACTGAGAATTTTTTAAAAACCCAGTAATACTTTGCCCGACCCGGGAATCGAACCCGAGACCCCTTGCTCGGCAGTCGCAATTGCGACCACTCGGCCAACGAGGCAGTCAAAATATTCTAACATTTATTAACCCCATTCATGTATCTATTCACCCTTCGAATTCTATTCACCCCGTTTCACGGTATTACGTAATGTATTCTTGTAGTAATAATTAATAAATGTGGTTAATAATGTGTAACACAGGTACTTTACAAATATTAATTAGACTCATTGTAAAAAAAGGAATGACAAGGGCACGGACCTAGTCTGTGGCGAATTATTATTTAACAAAAAAAACAGTAACTAACCCAGTAACAATCGGATTCAGGTTTAATATTAATAACCTTGTTTATATATTCGCAACAACTTAAAAAATCACACAAAGAGAATATAATTTATTGAAAATACTAACATAGTACATGGTGACCTTATCAGACAATTTTGCATTTGTACCTAACTAACACATCGTAATCGTAACTAGTTAGAGAAAAAAAGGACAAAAAATAACCCATCGCTGTAGGTTTCAATTACACGAATATATAATTTTAATGTATAGTATAGTATGTTTAAAAAAATCTCAGTAGTAGCACGGAGTCTGGAAATGTGCCCGGTATATGGCAATAGGCTCGCCGCCTATTACATGGGACTCATAACATAAATAGTGAAAAGTGGGTGTTACATTGTACAGTGGCATTTAGTGCCGTATGGTGCACCTCTGCCTACCCCTTCGGGGATAAAAAGGCGTGATGTTATGTGTTATAGGTACATTAAAATTATTCGTATAATTAAAACGTTAAAAAACGCTACCTGCCCTTATGTTAACGTGTCCGCTAGCGTGTGAAGTGTGAACATTTGTATTCAGTGAATGCAATGTAAATTAAGACATAATTACTTGTTAACCTATTACTGTTTTGATAATCAAACCCAAACGTAAAATTCGAAAAGATTTTATGGAACCATTTTCAAGAATAGTTCAATCCTCTGTTGTAATACTGATGAAAATCAGTTCAGCAGTTTTTGAGTTAAGAGCACACAATACCGTTACACGTGTCTAGAGACTTTGTTGTATAACACGGAAGCCTGAACAAATCAACAAGTCAATCTTTTTGACAATAATGTATTGGAAAACACTTCATAGTATAAAACAAAGTCGCTATCCGCCGTCTTTCTGTGCCTATGTATGCTTAGATCTTCAAAACTACGCAACGGATTTTGATGTGGTTTTTTTTAAATAGATAGTGATTCTTAAGGAAAGTTTATATGTATAATGGATATTGCATCCGTGCGAAGCCGAGGCGGGTCGCTAGTAGCTAATAAATTGTTTAGCAAAATCTTATGATAAAATAAAATTACCATAACAAAAAAGTTCAAGGAAAATTCACCAGAAAAGAACAGAATACCAGTGCGAATAACACAGGTACGTGTGTATTATGCAGCATCCAGTTTTAACTGGTACAATCTAGGTAAGACTGGAATAGCTATGGGATAATATTTCAAAAAACGTAGTATCTGTTTAGTATAAAAAACCTACCACTTTAAAGACATTACTAATATTATGATAATTTATTGTTAACAAATAACGTTCCTTTTTTAACGGCATTTTATCTTTATATTTTGGACCAGAATTTCTTGGAACTTAGGTTTTGAAGTTCGAGTTTTAACTAAAGTCGATTGAATGTCAACATTTTACATGCCTACCTATGATATATTATATATTTTTTATGGGATAAGCCGGAAAACGAGCAGACGGATCATCTGATGGTAAGCAATCGGCGCCGCCCACAGATACCCGGAACACACGAGGCGTTACAAGTGCGGTGGCCTGTTGGCCGGCCTTTTGAGTTAAATGATATTTATAATATTAGAGAAATTATAACAAAGAATTGTGTTATAATTAACAAAAATATATTTTGAATTTAAAATTGTTCTATTAATTATCGTGGCAGTTTTTATGATAAAATCATTATTAAAAAACGATAATTCTAATACACGTTTGCCCTCCTCTAGTGCATTGCACCTGTGCAACAATGATTGCATTTTAATTTTATTATAGTTACTTATGTTATGACGAAATAAAACTAAGTTTCATTATTATGTATATCTTTATATATATATAATTCTTCTGTGAGTGTGTATGTCACTGAATTTCTCTCAAACGACTGGACCGATTTTGATGAAATATTTTGTGTGTGTTCAAGAGGATCTGGGAATGGTTTAGATTCACAAATCAGCCCGGCAGATGGCGCTGCAGTCGGTATCTAGATTATTTATCTATACCTATTATTATATTATTATTTTATTATATGCAGGACAAAGTCTGTCGGGTCCGCTAGTACTATGTATATACTGCGACACAGGAAATGTCAGGGATAAAGTTTTTGCACGGGTTAATTATTCACCATCACCATATTATTGCATTTATGTTGATATCCTTAAAACAAACTTATTATTAGTGTTTTTTGTCTGCATAGTCTAAATATTGAAAACCAATTTCATATTTTTAACACTACATATATCTCAGAAACGCAAAAAGTGGTTCACGGAATATTATAATGTAAAAATGTTTTGAAAGACAAATTGTGATACATTGTAGACGCGATGGTAATGTAGTATTATTGCAGAACTACTGTCGAAGCCACAGATATAATAATATTTCTGTGATCGTAGCTAACAAGCTGTCTCATTCCAAACTCTGTGGATAAAGATCGATTTTTGACAGAAACTCCATAAACACATAACATAACATCTACGCCTTTTATCCCCGAAGAGGTAGGCAGAGGTGCACATTATGCCACTGTAAGTACAATGTAACACCCACTTTTCACTATTTATGTTACGAGTCCCATGTAATAGGGGGTGAGCCTATTGCCATATACCGGGCACAATTCCAGACACCGTGCTACTACATAGATTTTTTTTTAAAAACCCAGTAATACTTTGCCCGACCCGGCAATCGAACCCGAGACCCCTTGCCCGGCAGTCGCACTTGCGACCACTCGGCCAACAAGGCAGTAAACTTCATAAAATTAATGTAAAAACTCAAATTTTGATTTTTTTTAACTCGTCGAGTACCGGTTTTATAGACACAATTAAAGAACAATAGGTCGCGGTCACCGGTGACCGCTTGGTGTTTGACAGATTAAGGGGGAAAATCATCGAATGCCTGGGTGAGGCGGGAGGGAGTGTCAGACTCTTACTGACTAAAAACCACCCCGTTCTTTCTCCTACACGTCGAGCCGGAGCCCCGGTAACCCGTTAGGTTCTTCGCGACACAAACGTTGGATTAAGGTAATAATTTCGGCCATTGGTTAAGAGCAACGTGTCTTACTCATTGCCA